CTCGAAACATATATGGTGAAGGGTGGTGAAGCCTTAGTAGGCATGGGCCTCCGACTGTAGTAGGCAGGGCCAAGCCCTATAAGAAACATGAGCTAGTCTATACCAGGCCAGTACTAAAAGAGATACTCGTATATGAGTGATGATCACAGGAGGTTTAGTGGTATATAGAGTCCTCATAACATCGGTAATAAAGGGTGATAGAGGCTTGGTAGGCGTGGGACTCAAGCTGCAGTAAGACAGTGCCAAGCCCTACTCCGTCGGAGACTGTATTTATATAGTCAAAGCCAGTCCGAGAAAAGATGCTCGCATACTGGTGATACTCACAACGAAAACACTGGTGTATAAGCTGCTTGACGCATATATGATGAGTGATGGCAAAGGCTTCGGAAGCGTGGGACTCCAGTGGCAGTAGTAAAGTAACCAGGATCTGCTGGCACTCGTCTTGCCCAGCACAAAGGAGAACATTTACAGCCTCTTGATGATCAGATAGGGTGTAATAGTACACAGGCTAGTCAGAATACATATATAAAAGGATGGTGAAGGCTTAACAAGCATGGCGGTCAGCTAAAGATAGAGAGTGCGTGCCAAGCCTCGCCAGGTACTCTGACCTGACTCCCATGACCTAGACAGACACTTACGGTTTAGTAACACTTGTGTGAGGTGTATTAGTCTGTGGATATCTTAGAAAGTGTATAAGTAAGTCGTGGACAGACCTAATCACAGTAGCACCCAGCTAAAGATAGAAATAGAGCTTCAGTGCCAAGCCTCGCCAGATATCTTAGATCAGATCCCCATACTCAAAAGCAATCCTCACAGTCTATTCACGCTTACTTAAAGTGTATCAGGCTGTAGAAATTTGAGAGATCACTTAAGACTATTGTGTAACAGCTTAGTTAATGTAGGACTTAGCCTAGGAAAAATTATCTCGAGCCTGATTAAATACTCTAGATCCAACTCCAATGACATAGAGACTTTTCTACGGCTGTATCATATCAACTCAGAGTATGTCAGTCTATAGGTATCTGAAAAGCGCCTGATCACAGGTTAGGGACGCTTTTCCAGCATGGCACTTGATTTGAGCTAGAATTTGAGCTAGAATAGTGTCAAGACTGGTGGGATACTTCAGACTAGACTTCAATAGTGTGAAGGCATGCTCATGCCCCAGTCATGTTTGCTTAAACCGTGCTTTGGTATACACGTCCCAGGAAACACCTAACAAAGCTCTGAGAAAGCTGGATAGTTGTGGCACTCTGATCAGGGTGGAAGTAAGTGTACCAGGCATCCCTAGACCAGACATTAATGATAAATAAGTATAGCTACATGATACTCGCTTAAAGTGAGACTAAGTCTACATATTTTCAGTTATAGACAGACAGATCTGAAAGGATCTGGTAGGCTTAGAACTTAGATTGTGGAAACAACCGCCAGGCTCCAACAGATGTTTTCCACAGCGTTAAAAACCATTCTAATACTGACCACACTTCCATATAGTCACTATGCATGTGACCGTCTTGCAGAGTGGATAGTTGAAGGGAATGTCCAGAGAGCATGGGATTGATGAAGATATATGAAGGTTCTAAGCGCCAAACCACAACTAAAACATCATTTGATTTTCGCAGTACGCCAGTGTGAGAGTTATTTGCCCAGCTACCAGTACGATTTCCCGAGCTACGTGTACATGGGCTTGTGCTGAAGACAATGTACTTGAGTTGTAAGAATAGCTTGGAGGCATAGTACTGGTGCAGGTACCTGTCTGGAGATCCTAAGCCGCCAAGCTAGCGCAGGAACACTCTTGCTTTTGCCACGAGGCCCATCACCAAGATGACTGTCCCAGTCACAAACACAGTCATCTCAACAAAAGCTATACACAATCATATTGAAGCGCACGTAACTAAGGCTTGGAAAGATCTATAGGGGTTGGGACTTGGGGTACAAAATAGCCAGCCTGAGCGATTGAAAGGCTACTTCAGTACTCTCCATCGATCTGCCTACCACCAGAGGAGTCTACTTGATCCAATCACACTTGCTCTATATACTGTAGTGCTATCAAAGCTGAAGCAATACATCCTTAAACATATAGGAGGCGTGGTAGCTATGGTATTTGAGTCTGAAAGGAAGTGCCAAGCTTGACCTAGAGTGCTTTGTTTTTCAATCCTTTACTCACTGAAAATCTTTTCAGACATATATATACCTAGCTTAGTCTAGCGCTTAGGTGTGCCAAGTCACGAATGAGCAGATGTACTATGGGACGAGCTCAGCTTAGCGTCGGTGGGACTGGAGAGTAGCAGGCAAGAAGACGCCAAGCCTCAGTCAATCACATATATACATCGTATTCCTTATTAATCAAAGATATCATGCGACATGCCCATGTCTTGCTGACATACTCTAGTAGTCAAAGGCTCTAGATAATGAGTAAATAGGCGTGGGAAAGGTCCAGCAGTGGTGGCACTAGGTCACAGAATCCTCTGGCTCAGAGTGCCAGGCTAGCAAAGATGCTTTTTAATCTGCGCATGCCTAGTGACTGTGCTTTAGTGGTCATAGATGCTGGGGAAGAGTGACCTGATGTAGGAATAGCTGTCCAAGAATGCTATTGCCGCGGTCGTCGAGGCGAGTGTCAAGGATCTGCAGAGCAGGAGATGGAAGCTCGATGACAGCAATGCTGGTCTCTGCAAGACCTTCTTCTCTTCTTCCATAGAAAGGTGCGGGAGCCTTCACCTCGGCGAGCACAACAAAGAGCGGTGTAGTCAATCATCATCCAAAAATTGTACTGGTAAGCCTCTGTCTCTGGCTAATCATCGTGTACTGAGACAGCTCCATGTAGGAAGGACGGGCTGTCACGTTCACGTTCACTGGACGACCCATCGCCCTCGAGGACTCTCTGAGAACGATATTGGCATGGCAAAGTTCACAGACGCGTTGGCGGATGACGTGGAAGGGAGCTGGGCCACAGACGACATGACCATTGCGCAGGCGTGGAGCTAGGTCAGTCCACCGCTCCTGGTCTGAGGGCTGCCACAAAACCTCTGAGGCGACACAATCCTAGAAATGTTGTGGGTCTATGGCACTCAACGAGAGAGCTTGTAACAGTACAAGTCCTCGCGAAGAAGGGTGCAATAGGAATCATTCAGAAGAGCACTCATCATGGGGAAAGGGCAACGATTAGGCGTGATTGGCAAGTCATACAGATGCTTAAACCTTCATATGCACATGAGTAACATACAGCGATGCTCGCCAAGGGTATTCTGCACTTCCCCAACGTTTTTATCGATGACAGCTGTTTTATACGGATCGTAAAACCAGGACCAGGACTAATCTTTGAAGCAAGGCCGTACGCTTCAGCGATCACTGGTACTTTACCGTCGGTAGCTCTCAGGATCGCTTTTATCTCTGTCTCGGATTCGCCGGAGACGGCACCGATGGAATCTCAACGAAGACTGGCACGTTGTTACAGTAGTGAGAAAAGCTCAATCGGTGGTATCGTGTATCATTCAACATACTATTACTATGGACTCATGATGCGCCCGTCAGTAGACCAGGTGTTCCCACAACTATTCCCTTATTGCTAAATTCTATTGGTAGTGTGGCAACAGCATTCGCACTTTGAACCGGCACTTCCAAAACCATTCCCAGCCCCGTAAGCTTTTCATTCTTGAGCGCGAGGCTTAAATACATCCACTCAAGTACTCCAGGAGCATGCTTAAGTCGCGTTTGGGTGGCAGCTTGATACACATTTTCAAAATCAACAATGGCATTAGTTGTTGCATTATAGAACCGACAGCCGTTTTCCTGGTAGTCGTAGCACACCTTAAGTAGGGCACGGATGTTGGATGACTTCACTGCAGAAGGTGCATTTGTTGAGGGTGCGGTCTGGGATGAATTCAGTGCTCGGTTGATCAACGTCGCTAGTGTGCTGGTACTGTTGTTAATGCGCGTAACACTATACAGTGCTTGTATACGATGGCGCATGTGATCAAGTATCTCGTCCGAAGTGAGTGGGATCGGTTCCAATACATTGCCCAGCTTCACGGTCACAGATGCTGATGTAGACGAAGAAAGTATGGGGGTCGATTGTGAGGATGGTGGGGTGCTGGTTGCCATGGAAACTGTTGCAGGACGAGCAGATGTGCTCATTGGGGGGTACGGGCGGGTAGCCCAAATGGATTTAGTACTCTGGCTTGGCACTTCTGCGGGTACGTCACTCCAACCACGTGGTTGAGTACTTGACCCCTGTCCCAGGGGCTGAGCTGGAACATTGTAGACAAAGGCACATAATCCAACAAAGATTGCGACTGAGGGATGCATGTTACGCAAGTGATCGAATGTGGGCTGGAAAGAAGTGGAGCGATGGGATTCGTTCTGCTGTTTGTGAATGGTTCTGATAGGTATTTGCAGATAAAGAATGAAGAATTTCTGGAATGATGCATGCATGTGGCCCTATTATATGTGCTCGTGTCCTGTACCAAGTCCCTAAATCCCCGAATTTGTCAACGAAATGAAGTCCGGCTCAGGGCTGCAGCAGGCTGGAAACTGGTGCTCAATGTCCAAAACCCGTTGCAAGGAATGTGCGGAATTGCGAACGGAAGCCATGAAATTGAGGCTATGGCCTGGCTTGGATGGCTCGTATGAGATTGGGACTTTCAGTAAGCTTTCATGACAAAGCTTCCATGCCCGGGTCTAACTATATGTGGATTGGTCCCGACCGACGGGTGGTACATCGGACATTCCTTACGAAGGTTATCCGCACGACTTATGAAAGTTCCCGAGTTGGGGGACTACTGTGTGGACGTCCGTGTTTCCCTCTATCGTGGATGACTCGCGTCCATACCCATCGTCGTCCATTCTCCCTTGCCCAATAAAGTGACTATGCACCTGCAATCTTTTTAGGTAGACTTGACTGAAGTTTTCACCTAGTTATACGACCACCCTTATGCCTCTCGAGCTCGCTTTGGACACGCGCTACTGGATCGATACAGCCTGATTCATCGTCCTCAAGGGTCAAGATGCGATCTTGGCGACACACTCTGATGCTACTCACACTAGCTATGAGCACTGGCGCAGATGAGGGAGACTCTCCAGTCACGGTCACATGTCCGTCGTGGGGCCTGCTTGGTATTGCGTGCTGTATCGATCCGGAATTGGACACCGACAAATACCCACAGTACGTTTACGATGTTACGGCAAGCTTCATCAAGAGCGGCGTCGCCGCATTCAGTCAGGGACCGTCTTGTGCCTATTCAACTCTGACTGGAACTACGGATACATTCAATTCCGCCATTGAAGATGTCTTGTTCACTACGTGTTCGTCGCAAGCCAGTCCCGAAGATTGCCAGCAGTACGCTACGTGCGTGGGATGTGCGTGGGCAACAATGGTGTACTCATTTTATGGCGACGATTGGAATGAACGTCAGGGCATCTTACGGCACAACATCCACGACTGGAGCGTTGATTTGCAACTCGGATATGACTTCGTTCCTGGAGATTTTTGCAAGAAAATTGGCTCAGATGCAAGCACTCTCTATCAAGGTGGCTCGGCCGATTTCCTGACGCAGTGCATCCCTACATCTAATTTCTGAGGCATTGCGCGCTTCGCTTAGATGCGAGAAAGGGAGGGGCACTGAAGAGCTCCCGTGACTCGCCGCGATGTTCGCGAGGCTCTGGTAGCCGCCAGGTACTTCTGGCTTCTTGCACAGCTGCATTGTCGACAAAGTCTGCTTCTGGTCCAAAGTTTCCGTGCGCACTTGACGTTTGACAATCATCAGGATAAGATATGGCAGCACGTAATTTGGGGTCTCGTGGATCTCTGACAGAGGGGGCCATGGACCAAGCACTGACGAGGCTTGGCTTTCACTTTCCACGAGCAGCGCTTCCGGTGAATATAAATTGTGGGCCAATATCTGCCGCTCCACATTCCAGTCCCCTCCGCGTCCATCAACGTTTTGGAGACCCAAAGGCACCGTGTATGCTGTTGCTGATCAGCAAGACTGGAATGTTGCGACGTAAGATACCCGTTACGCTGAATAGCTGCAGAAATGTGGTCTTGAAAAAGGTAGGCACATTCTCGAAGATGAAATTTTGGTGAAGGGCGTAAGAGCCCAAAGCACATTGGCTCTGCCCTCGTTATATACAACAGTGGCCGCTATATAGGAGGGCCCGGGGAAAAAGCCGTTCATCTACGGACCACTCTTTATGCATTCTTGATCTAAGCTGCAAAGATGACTACTTTGCAGACGCTGACTGTACTGGCTATAGCCCCAATGTGCTTAGCTGGTATACAGTATGCCCTTCCAATCATCAACAGATCGCCATGGAGCGTCAACGTGGACATGACAGATGCATACGAGTCGAATTGCATGAAGTCGGGTGCTACTCTCAAATGGGTGGAGTCTTATATGGACAGTTGGAAGAGCATAAGCTTGCGGAGAGACTTTGGCAGAGAATACGCTGACTATGATGTCTATCTCCAATACTTCAAGGCCAACTACGAGCTCCCGGATCTTGGTCAGGGCGACACTTTGCAGAATGGTCAAGCAACAATTGATCCCTACGTCGCGAATTCTGTATCAGCGCCCTTCCTCGTCATAGAGGGCGAGACTGATGGTGGTCTCTTCTCTGGGTGTATTGGCTCACACTCTTACCAGGCGTTTGGAGTTACCATTAATGGTACCACCACGAAATACACCTTGAAGATCCGCCAGAAAACCACTGGACTGTAACCAAGGTAAGCCATATCCTGCGAATGACGGGGTTGAGTGGAGCTTGACTCATTCCGAGTTATGCGAACATACTTTTGTCGATTTCTGACTCTCCGAAAATATGCAGTCCTCCAATTCGGCTGATCAAGCGGATCTGGTTGTCGACATTGGGTCAGGTGGCCACGCAAATGCCAAAACGATCGTGACCGAAGTCATCGCGGCTATTCTTACTATTGCCAGCCTATACACCGGCGTAACAAATTTCTGTGCATCTTTTGCCAGGGCTGGACTGGCAGCGGCCCAACCCATAGACACAGAAGCGGCCAACTTGTACTCAAAAATGGCCTCGGTCTATCTTCAAAGAGGACTTGCCTCCGTCGCCATCACTTCTCTCAGTGGTCTGACTCTATACAACATGGACCCATTCGATCTTGGCTCGGAAACAGACACAGTTCCCGACGACGCAGCTGGCGATGATAGCGCTAACCCGATTATACTTGCTTTCGATTCTATCTATCAAGAGAGTAACCCTGACGACCGCCTTTGCTGTACTCTAGGCGAGAACGTATGGGAGAATTATGATTGCAGGATGACTTCTGTCGCACTGGTAGTGCAGTCTGATGGATCCACCGTGCTGGTACCGATGCCGAACCTCTATCGCGCTTGGACATAGCTTGGCCAATTGGAGCAGGCTTAGGATAAGATTTGGGACGGGGTTTGGTATTGCTTAGTGAAACTATACGGAAGACGCATCTTGGGATAGGTTTGAAAAGGGAAACATATGGGGGACGGGGGGACAAAGAGAGAGCGTTCATCTAGCCCTCAGAGTCAACCCTGTGGCCCTTGCATCATGACTCCGATGGCCCAGTATCCAGTATCAGAGGACTATCGACTTGCTAGAGATGTTGACCAACGAAGGGCACGCCGCTGCTGGATATAGAGACCAAGCACAACCGCCGTTATCGCGACATCGAGTGAACGTGACTAGATCGTTGCACGCAGGTATAGGCCATCTAACGTGATTAGTGTGGTGCTACAAAAAGCTCTAGAAGATCCTCAGCTCGATATCCGACCGGTTCTACTCAGTGGCTGTCCACCGCAGGAGCACTCTGCACCCGCTCTTCTGTTGCCAAACGAAGCCTCTGGCCCAGATCTGGTTCAACGCGGCCGAACATAGCGTAGCATCTCTCCCGGATATCCTGCTTGGCGGAGTACAGATGACTGGCGATGTTTCCAACCAAATTCTGTTGCAATTTCTGGCCTTCGCCATCACCCTTCTTTCCCAGCATCTCCCAGAACCATCTCGCCTGCACAAAGTCCTCATCTGTGACCTCCTGCAGATTCCAGACAGCCTGGCCTGACCAGAGCTCATGCGTTTGATTCGCGTCGACAGGCTTGTAGGTATTCGGCTTGATCGTTGACGGGTAATTGGGCGCAGCACCGTAGTTCCCCTGTACGCTCATAAAGCCGTCACGCTGCCAGTATGCTCCTGGATGGAGAGGCCGATTGACAGGAATCTGCTGGTAGTTGACGCCGAGTCGGTGGCGCTGGGAGTCGGCATATGAGAACAACCGGGCTTGCAACATCGGATCTGCTGTGGGCTCAATCCCAGGAATCAGGTGCGAAGGTGCGAAGGCGAGCTGTTCTATCTCGGCGAAGTAATTCGTCGCATTGCGGTTGAGCGTCAGTGTCCCAACAGGACGGAGCGGATAGTCGGAATGCGGCCAGACCTTGGTAACATCGAAGATATTCCACCGGTAGCTCTCGGCGTCCTCCGGGTCCATGACTTGGACCTTGAGATCCCAGGATGGGTAGTCGCCACGCTCGATAGCATTGTAAAGATCCTCTGTTGCGTGGTCGGGGTTGGTCGCGGCTTCGGCGGCTTCTTCATTGGTCATATCCTTGCAGCCTTGCCTGGAGAGGAAGTGAAGCTTGACATATTTGAACGAGCCGTCCGCTTTAGTGAACTTGAAAGTGTGTCCAGAGTAAGTGTTCTGGTGCCGATAATCGGTGGGCGTTCCTCGATCGGAGAAAAGGTACATGACCTGATGGATAGACTCCTGGTTGCTGGAAAGAAAGTCCCAGAAAATTGTGGCATCCTTCAGATTCGTGACAGGGTTCCGTTTTTGGGTATGGATGAACTATTGCACCTGTCAGACCGAATGTGTATCAGTAGGAGCCAGAGCCGGGAGTTGAATTGTCGCCCGATTCAGGTATAGAGGTATACGTACGGTTGGGAACTTGACGCCATCCCTGATGAAGAAGATAGGAGTATTATTGCCGACCATATCTATTCAGCTGTCAGCATGGGCATATATCGGGAAGGACCAGAGCCGTAGTGATGGCTCGCCCGACCTGGGCTCACGGGAACACGTACCCCAGTTGCCCTCCTCGGTGTAGAACTTGATAGCGAAGCCGCGTGGATCTCTTGCAGCATCCGCAGAGCCTTTCTCGCCGCCTACGGTCGAGAAGCGAGCTGCGACAGGTGTTTTTCTGCCAACCTCGCTAAAAAGATCGGCCGAAGTGATATCGGTGACATCGTGAGTGACGACAAACTCGCCGAACGCCCCAGCTCCTTTGGCATGCACTACTCGCTCGGGGATCCTCTCACGGTCGAAATGGGCAAGGAGATCGATGAGGTGTACTATAGCATCTGTCAGACTGAACGTGTATCGAAAAAGAGCCAGAACCGGGTTACGTACCGTCTTGGAGCAAGATGGGTCCACGAGCGCCGATACTTTGGCTGGCCGTTGGCGTCGTAATGGGCCGCCCATGGGAAGTGGTGTAGATCGGTCCGATGACCGCAGCCATGTTGTAAAGTTGGTTAGGGTGATATTCGTGCACTTGGGTGTTTGTTCTGGTGATTTCTAGTAGCAGATCTTTTGCTGCACCTAAGGGCACTCTCGCCCTATATATCTTTGCCACCATGCCATGCGTCCGCGGAGGACCTGCTTTTCATCAGTGAGGTAATCCATCATTGCGCACTTACATTAAGCCCTCCATGGTTGCGTTACTTAATCAATCATATTGCTACATATGTATGACGTCGCTGACAACTGCCTTATTAGGCAAACAAGGGCGAACCGAGACTAAGCCAAAAGCGGCAACACGCCCTGAGTATGAGCAGTGTTCATGCTGACTGATATTCTCGTAGGACGTTGTTGAAGGGCACTTCGGAAGCACCTATGAGCCCGCGGAGATGCATTCAAGGACTGCGCAAAGCCTTCATGGATGATGACCAGGATCCGTCCTCTCGTCGGAATGATGTCCTTGCCACTTACTCGACTGAACGCTGCGCTGTTTGGCGGTGAGGTAGCCTTGCAGACGCGATGCCGTCCCATGCTCCATCCTGTGCCAGTATGGAGAGGCATACGGTTGCCGGCCTCGTCGATACAAGCTGAGCGGTGATCCTGACGCGTTGGTGCACTCCCATAGTATAGCTCATGCCTGCGCTATCCGAGGGCACAGCCGTATGTCATCGCAGGGGCAATGCGTGGACTCTTACCATGTCAACAACATGTCGACAACCACTGCCAGGCTGAAGCAAGCTCCGGACGACAGAAGTGAGGGAGGTGGGCACAAGAACTGTGGCCCCTATGGCGACAGTGAAGGATGACGCAGGCCGATCTGGACTCACATTCTCCCATGAGGGCAATCGGCGCACATGGTGCTCCAGCTATTACTTCCATTGTGTCCCTCGAAAGGTTTTTGTCAAGTCCCTGGTCGACGAACACCAGATGGCTCGAACTCATTGCCTGACTCACTGGTCTTAACGCATCCTCGACCAAAGGCTTACACTGCTGCGAGGCAAAGACTCGTCGTGTCTTGTCCGATATGCGTTGGTCGATCGATTAAGATGCTTTTTCGAACATGCCCCCTCGAGGTTAGCTGGCTGAAGTTGATGACGGGGACCTCAGAGATTCCAGCGCTGCTGTCGTTACCAGCGCGTTATCAATGTCATCGAACCCGAACAATGGTCCTGAGAAGGAGATCTGCCTGTGCTGAATTACAATTCTGTCCTGTCTTCAGAACATACATCCCTCTGCCAGCATTAGCCAGTGGCGATACATCTTGGTGAAGGACCCAATAACGCAGCGTTCTGTGGCTATCGACAAAGCTCTGGTCACGGCGCACTGAATCAGGACGAATCGCTCACCGACCCAATGTACTCGGCTGGCCGTAGACATCCTATCTATCCAGAATGATTGATTAGGAGATCCATCAGCCGATTACTCATATCTCGCGTTGTGAGATTTGTTGCAGTGCCTGCCATCGTTGTGGACTTCGAAGTGGCCCTCGTCATATCGCAACTCTCGAAGAGAAGGTGTCTCCATTTCGTGTTCGATTACATTTGAGATTTGCTAGCACGAGTATGATTTGTCTGCATTTCTGTTGGCTTGGGATCTTCTCAGGCATCGACTCATGCAGAAGGCTCGTGCGGGAGGGATCGGAGTAGCAGCGTACGCATCTAGCCACTGTAGACACTTCAGGCACTTCAGACTGCGACGGTCATTGACCGTCATGTGAGTCACAAGGTCTCATTGCGTCAAGGACCTGTGGGAGCTTGCTGATCATCCTGGTGCTGTATACATACTGGCTGTAGATGGAGCCCGGCTCCAGTTGCTAGCACTGTCTGTCGATTGTGAACCTCGTCCCCGTTCGGGTCCAGGAGGCAAGAGCTCATTAGACACATCCTCGGGTTTCCGATAGAATGACAAAGCAAAGTCTCCGCTAGCTAATTCCGCAAACCTCCGGAAATAGCCTTGATTAGAAGGTGTCTGAGACTTGAACACCCCGTCTTACCTGCATCCGCGCCTATCTTCCGCCAGATTGCCTGTGAGCCTGAAGCCTCGATGTCTGCGCTTGCGCTGCATTGATGCCATTCTGGGATGCGGTGCCTGAGCTGGTCGACAGCTGCCAAGATGCGATTCGCACCAGGAACGAGCATCTCAATTTGCCTAATTAGGCAGTGGTGTCATCGTACGAGGGCTGCCCCGACCACCATACGAGAGGCGAGTCCGCCGCTAGACTTTGAGCGATGCAGCCAGCTCGTTGTTGCAGGGAAGCTTGCCCAGCGCCGCGCCGCCAGCGACAGCACTCGGTCCTTGGAGCTGCCGCGCGTAGTATATCCTAATACAAAAATGTGGGTTCCGCTGAAGCTGACGGCGTTGCCGTAATTATGCGACGATTGCCTCGAACAAGGTTCAGGCGGATGAGGCGACCAGGTACGATCCCCGCTCCAAGGGAAGTAAACATCCATGTGCCGAGCTTCAGACGTCGGTCCCTCCTAGGCCCTGAACCATCAGCTGCCCCGCAAGTGTGCCTGCATCGATGGGAAAGTATAAAGTCGGCACGATCTCAACTACTCCTCACAAGATGCCGTGCGCTCTTCCTGCTCCGCGCTGCCCCAACGTGACTCATTCCCAGCAGCTATGGATAAGCTCGACAGCCTGCTCGAAGCCTGTACGGCCAACAATGCATATCCTGGCACCGCGGCGACGATCGTTGACTCCAAGGGCAACCGTCTGTACCACAAAGCATTCGGTGTCAACGACATCTCGGCTGAGAACCCCACCAAGTTCACCACTTCAACGCAAATGCTAATATTCTCCTGCACGAAGCTCATCGCCTGCATCGCAGCTTTGCAATTGGTCGAGCAAGGGAAACTGTCGCTGGATGACCCAGTCAGCAAATACATACCGGACATTGTAGACATCCCTGTCTACGTTGGCGATGGGACAACGGCAACCCGTCCCCAGAAGACCACGATGACGATCCAGCACCTCTTCACACACACTGCTGGCTTCACATATGTAAGCCCGGCGGCCAATACGCACAAGCGACACTAACGGAGACAGGACTTCTTCGATAAGACCACGCTGCAATGGAGAGTCGAACAGGGCGCTCAACCCGGTGTATACATGGCGGAAGGAAATCGCCCCTACTTTAGGACTCCACTCCTGCACGGTAAGTCGCTCCCCCATGGTCAAACTTGTGTCCGGAAACGAGCGTTGCATTGAAGACTGCCCGAGCATATGTCTCGGGTTGACAGAGAAGCTGCTCTCATTAACCTTACAATCCTGCCTTCTATCATACGCCCTTTCCCCGAGACAAGGCTAATCAGGTTCGCAGACCCTGGCACAGCTTTCGCATACGGCGTCAATATCGACTACCTCGGCCTAGTCCTCGAGGCCATCACCGGACAGAAGCTACAGGACTACGTTAAGGCCAACATTTTGGAACCACTCGACATGAAGTCATCAGTACCGTATCTGGAGAAGGAAGACGCGACCCATCTCCTGCTACACATCCGCGGGCTGACGGGCAAGGACCCTCTGATGGCGTTTCCGGGGGCATTCCCACCAAAGGGACTCGAATTCTACGGCGGCGGGCATTATCTGATTAGCACCGTCGACGACTACGCGCAAATATTGACCACCATCCTCAACGACGGCACATCGCCAACGACCGGCGCCACCATCCTGAAGCCGGAGACTGTAGATAACTACCTCTTCAAAGACATGATACCCGCCGACGCTGACCGCAAACACGTGCCGATCGTCAACAGCTCGCTGCCAATGTCGACGAACCAAGCAGAGTTCTTGCCGGGACACAAGGTGGGCTGGTCATGTGGTTTCCTGCTGAACCTCGAGGACGTGCCGGGAGGAAGGAAAAGCTATAGCGGGATGTGGGCTGGTCTCGGCAACCTTTTTTTCTTCATTGACAGGAAGTCCGACCGTGCCGGCCTAGTAGCCACAAGTGTGTTGCCATTCATGGACGACGGTGTTCTGACGCTGTTTGAGGCAGTGGAGAAGGCTGCGCTTGGACATGAAATCAGGGATGGGGCTGAGGCGAAGACTCTGTTCAGGGTGGATTCGTGAGCGACGTGTGGGATTGTGCAGACTCTATAGAAGTATGCTTGAGCCTTCTCTGGTACTTCTGTTCGTCCTTTCGCCAATAGAGTTCTAGTATCTGGTGCCGAGGGAGGCCAGCACTCGAGAGCCGTCTTTGACAAGCCATAACACGGTAGTATCTTCGGTCTGTTGTGCTGAATGTCTTGAATCCAACACAGACTGTTGTCGTGGCGAATGATCTGGTGAGGTGACTTGAAAATCAGCTATTCAAAATAGCACCAGGGCCGAGTTCTTCAGAAGCTTGGGTCCGGTAGATGCAATAAGCTCTGCAGCGATGCCTTTGATCGAGTTCGGATCATCGATTTTCCACGACTCCCAGTCTCTGAGATCCTGCATTCGAGATTAGACGGATACATCATTGACGAGCGCAACACTCACCTCAAGATCGATCAACGAGTCCCGTACGACCAGCTTCCAATGCGAAAGGTCCAGCTTCACGACTTCGTTTTTCTTCATGATGCCTGGCACATTGTAATCGAATAACGAGCCCTCCGGAATCTCGGCATCGTCGTTCTCCGAGTCCTCTTCATCGAGCTCCAGGTCCTCTTCGTCAGCAAATTTAGCTGCTCTCGATTTCGTGGTGTCATTCTTGCTTTCTTCTGTGGCTTGTGGGACTGGCTCATGCGGGCCGACAGCTAGTGGATCCTCCGACGGCGATTCCTTCGCATCCCGCGACGGCGACACGTATTTCCGCTTATCGAGCTTCTGCCGATACGTATCATCGAAGAGATTCCACTCGTTTGTCTCCGGATCCAGCAGCTGGCTCGGTCGGAAGCCTGCCTTATAGCGCATCTTGAGGCACGAGTGAATGTAATAGCCCATGTAGTAGTAGTCGTATTGATTCTCAAGGGACAAGCCGATCTCGTGGAGGGCGCTGATCTTGCCCCAGTCGTGGTGTCCATGATCAGGATCGTAGAATAGGTAGACGGAGCTCACAGCGTGGGGAAGCAGATCCAGCACACCCACGGCGACCAGCTTGCCATCGAGACGGTAACATTGGTGATATGAGCCGAGCTTCTGCACCTTCCCTTTCTCGTTCTTCTTCGTTGATCTATCAAGACCACCGCATAGAAAGCGTTTCATGGCGGATTCGGGCCAACGAGAGACTGGATCTTTGTGGATCTGCTTTTGATAGCGGAGGAATACATCATATCTGCCATAGATCAGCAGTGGCGACAGCAACGGCGGCGCACCAACTTTTCTTTTGTGAAAGAATCCGCTTCGATGTTGACTTCAAACTTGTGGGCGGGCTCGATTGGCTGACCAGATTTGCCTTTCGGCCGCTTAACGATAGCGTACTCAGCTAAATGTATCGCATCGAGGAGATCGAACTTGTCCCGCTTTAAGCGTTTGCTCCTGTCAATATTAGGTATCTGAGCACGTGCCTGAACGGAAAGCCACCTACTCTCTAGACACTGGGGCCAACATCGCAGCCTTGCGCTTGTACTCTGTACCCAAGACATAATTATTGAGTCTGTGTATGGCACGCCGCTGCTCGCGGGTTGATGTGAATTTGCTAGCCTCAAGTCTCTGTCGTATAAGCAACAGTCGCCGTGCCACAGAGCCGACCTACCTGATGGTATAGTGCGGGCAACATGAGCGAAGAACATCCGGCTTGTAGTAGGTCGTGCCAGATCTTGTAGAAGATTATCAGACAATGCTAGGCACGCATGCCGCAGACCTACCGTCGCCAGCCGCGATCCACGAGTTCTTGATAGTGGTCAACTCTCACGTTGTCGGACTGCATGCAATAGGACGAACCTGGCGCTCGTCAGCGCAGTCCAGGAGCCAAGTGGCCTAACCTACTTCCATCTGATTTCTTGCAGTAACCACATGACTTCTGCCGCTGATAGCCTGGAGTTGTGAGTGCAACGGTCACAGAATGACTTTAGGCGCCATTGCTGGACAAGGCAACCTTACTTACCGTAGGGCCTCAGCATAGAGATCTGCGACATGGGTCCCGGCCCCCGCGTTGCGGAGGTTTGACGGTATTGATGATCAAGCAGGCGTGGCATATGACGAGAATGACACACAAACTCGAGTAATGAGCCAAATGTGACTGGTAACCTCAATGGAAAACGCGGGACCGACAATGCCACCACATCAGAGCCGTTCGAGAATGGAAGGGATCGTGCCGGGGCCCCCACGTTCTGGAAATGCGAGTGAGCGCTCGCGTGAGCGATGACTCGAGACTGTGGAACGAGATGTGGATTGGGAGTATGATAGAATCAAACAGGGAGATGCTTTGAACAAATGAATTGTGCACGTGTTCGTTGATGGGTGACATGGGCGTCCAACGCATAGGCGCATAAGACTAGTGGGAGGGACGTGTTCGAGACGTGCCTGAGGGAGATTGACGTTGAGTGGAGGTTTCGAGGTGGGAGAGAAAGATCCGCCTTTCGAAAAAAAAAACTGACTTGCAGGCTGCACAACCGCCCCTCCTTCACAGCAGCACTATTTCATCCTATGCAACAGCAAGTAACCCATAAGCTGCTGATGGCATAGTACTGTGCAGCTGCATGCCACATCCCAGCTAGGAGTGGGTTGCTCTTTGTTTTCCACTTTGAATTTCGATGGTTCAGCACTGTTTGGTGGTAGCTTCCTCCACTCTGCTTGACCGCTGTCCTCGTCCGGCACTGCGCCTGAAATACTTTTTGAACCTCACACCATCTGTTCTCCTTCCGCTTCTTTCCTTCTTTCTGCAGACAACATCTTCTTCCCCTTCAGCCCCGTAGCCTACGGGACTGAAGGCCTGCACTGCTCTAAAGAAGCCAGTGCTCAAGTCACGACATCCCAAACCCTTCACTCTCTTACCATGGGTATTCTTTAATTTCTGCTGCCCGGCAACCTAAGGCCGCAGCACCAGTCACTTCACCGTTTATTGTCACTTAGAGATATCTTCACTGCGGGACACGTCACACGTTTCGTTTGCTTCAGCACCCCAGAATCAGGTTAAAACTTGCCCGGCCCTCTGCGTTGCGACTTGTTCATATCTGCAACTGCAAGCCCCGATCACACAGCCAGATATCGGACAAATTGCAACGAAAGCGACAAGTAGCAACCCTTCAACATGCCCGAAGTCAAATACGCCATGAAGTCCCGCACTGGAAGAGACAACCAGCGTTGGTGAATCACAAAAGCAGTCGCAGACAGAATGGCTGACCTTTTCTCTAGCTACGGCCCCAAAGGTGAGCGCTTGGTTGCCGGAGTCGTCCCACTTTCACCCGACAAGACCAAAGTCCTCCTCATCCAGTCGAGTTCTCGCAAGGGTTGGGTCCTGCCAAAGGGAGGATGGGAGAAAGATGAAGCCACAGCAGCAGCAGCCGCGAAGAGAGAGGCATGGGAAGAAGGCGGCATCATCGTCCGTGTCGAGAAAGATCTGGGCGTAATTCTCGACACACGTCCTACTACTCCGTCCACCAACAACAACAATCCCAAAGTCATCTATCAATTCTTCGAGGCTGTCGTCACTGAGCAGCGCAGCGAGTGGCCTGAGAAAGCGAAACGAGAGCGCAAGTGGTTCACCTTCGCCGAGGCTTCCGAGCTGTTTGCCCAACGCTCCGAGCTACTCGAGGCTCTCAAGCGAAGCGGCTGCAAAAAGTGAGATCGATGTCGCACATGAAGCACGGCTGAAAGGCGAACGCTCTCCAGCGGCTGCTGCTGGGAACGAACGCCGAGATCTGCCTCTCGAGCTTACGACATCTACATTAGACACAGGCAGCGAGTGTGCGGACTAACTCGGCTACCGACACCGAGATATTGGTGCTCTCCAGGACTGCGAGCGCTTTTGACGACCTTCATTTGGGCTTGTCAAGATGTCTCACGAGCTCGATCATCGACATGTCCGCTTCCTTTAGCGACCATTCTTCAACGTGGCTAAGACGAAATCACGAGATGGCTATGGCGGTAGCTCTCCACATAATCAAGTCGATCCAGTCGCACTATTTCACGAGCTTGCGGTCCAGACTGACCCTGTGCCATGACGCATAGCAGAGTCGTCCTTAAGTGGACGCAGCATTTTGCATAGCTTTGCACATAGACCCGTAATTGAATACGCCAAAAGCAATGACAAATCCCCCAGGCTCGCATTGTCTGAAGTCCTTGAATTCATGCTATTTGCAGCCTGGTCAAGAACGATCACGTATCCCATTGACGCGTCGACTTTACATTCCGGCGACCAGGCGGCCTTCAACTCCCTTGGCAACTACCGCTCCACAGCACCCACAGATTCCCGCTCAGCGCTCCAAATCGACAGGGAAGTTGCCAGCATCACGCTGGTCGTTCCAGCGCTGTACCCATGCGTTCGGGCATAGTGAGCGGTAGGCGAGGTAGAACTGGAAACGTGTGGTCAGCCGACACATGCTTCTGACATTGCAAGCCCCCGAAGCCAGTGTGCTGGACATTGTGGACCGGATCCGCAAGACTGTGTGGGACGTACCTGTCTGCAGGGCTTGAACTCCTCACCCTTGGCGAGGATACATTTGTGATAGTCGACGTAGTTCTGCCAGCAGTGCTTCGTCCTAGGTTGAGAACTTTATGTTAGCTCTTCTTCGCCCTTGTATCATCGTTGCATGGAGGGTCCGTCCAATGCCATCCACGCCTGCTGCTGCATTTCGTGGATCGGCATCGCTTGGTGGGGCTGGAAGTCGATGTGGGCACGTACTGGTTCTGGTTGGGGAAGCGAGCGTCGTAGCCAGCTGTCGTAGACCTCGTCAGTACATGCTTTATGCGCAGCCGGCGCACCTGGCGTCAAGGTGTAGCATACCAGTCACGAATTTGAAGGGCTTGGTGACGTTTCCTCCGAGCTCCTCGGGATCGGGCATCTCGATTTCAGGCATGATGTGCGGTGGTGTAGGGTCGTGTGCTTGACGAGGATATGTCTATTGAGGTCTGGAGGTATGGCCTCAGACACAAAGTGGAAGGAGTGGCGAGTCTCGTTGTCAAGAGTGCGGTCAACTTGAGGTGCAGTCGAGCACATCAGGACTTTGTGAGTATGGTGGGTACGATTTGCAGCTTGTGATTGGCTGCGTCACAACCTCCGAGCTTCCAAGCATCCCCAAAGCCGCAGCTTCACGTTTCGCTTGCCACGTCTACTGCCTTGCTCAAAGACGGAGCGGTACTACTTCGTCCTCGGTTCGTCCTTTCCGCTCCCCGTCGATCCTTCAAGATGAACACCGCACGCATCATGCGGCTGCAGCCGCTCAGACAGGCGTTCAAACCCAACAGTGCCGCCATACGTCAACCCCTCACGAAGCGATCTTTCCACCAGAGCAGGAGTATGTTTAGGGCGAAGGTACGAGCGCACAAGAAGACTTATTGGTGGATTCAAGACTAACAACATGAACAGGAAGAGGATCACAGTGGTATGTCCGACCATGCGGAAACACCAAGATCCAGCGATGGCACTGTATACGGCAGGAGAACTAATTCGAGATACAGCCCATACCATCACCCAGCGATTGAAGAGCCTGAAGAAGATTCCTCCCGAGTTGTTGCCCTTAGGCGACGTCATCTCGTAGGTCCACCGCTCCTGTTGCAGGTAACAGACGCGAAGAATCGCTGACTTGTGCGCTACAGCTTCGCCCTCTTCGCGGCAGCTTTCGCTATGGGTCGCAAGCTGATCTACGACAAGACGCTTCGTTTGAGCCCGCAGAGAAACTCAGGCGGTGCCCATTAGGAGGACGTGCGGGTTCCTAATGGAGTTGGACTGCTGTTGAGAAACAAAAGGAAACAGACGAGGCAAATTGCACCACTTGTGGCTTCGCACGCTACTTGACCTATATCCATAAGACCTCAGAAGGCGTGTTTCAACTGTTCTAATCTGCCCTCCCTCCTGTCCGCGACCTCTCTGACACCACTCTCCCGCTGTGTCACCATTGCTGCTGGTAGCACATCAAATACGATCCGATTCGACTTCGACAGATCTGCAGAGGCGACCTTTGAGCTCGCTTGCTTATTGAGGGGCGAACGTGACGAGAGGCTCCGCTGCGTCCGTCCACTTGTCTTCGCTGTGATTGATGCCGAAGGTCTATTTCCATGTGGTATCGAGTACCAAATGAAGAGCTGCCGTGGGTCATGACCGAACGAACGGTGCTGAGTTCCATCTCATGTGAGAGATGTTCGACATAAATCTGCGCTAGCGTGGACGGCATCGTGGATCTATGTTATCGTGACATTCCGTATACGGCTTCAGTCCCTCACTTTGGCTTGGGTCCAGCAACATCGAGGTCTTCCAACATCTGCATGGGGTCTTCCGGCTTCGCATCAGGAACCTGCTCCGCCATTCGCTCCTGCTCGCCATATTGAGCCAAATAGCCTTCCTGTTCCCACACAGCGGTCGTACTTGCCACGCTTGGCCCACCAGTGTCCTTCCTGTCGGGCTTGGCCATCGCGACCTTGATCACCCTGCCGAATAATTCACTCTGATCCATGTTGTCGATAGCTTCCTTGGCATCGATGGCATCTTCATATTCCACGTACCCAAAGCCCCTGTGCAGATCTGTAGATGACGGCGCTTCTGGCTTTGGTAGTGAAATGTCGACTATCTCGCCGAACGGGACGAATGCCTCTGATAACGTGGCAGCCGTAACGAACTTGGTGTCTAGACCTCCCACGAAGACCGTAGCATTGGGTCGCGTAGATGTGTCAGTCATCTTGATGAGGTCTGCGCGAGGCTGTGTCCTGACACTATCGGCGAGAGAGATCCTGGTCCCGTGAAATGCCAATGCAGTATTAGTGAGTGGATAAGTCCTGATGAATTTGATGTCTCGTCGCAGCACCCTTCGATCCTGGAACTCCTAGGCAGGGAGGGCACTGAAGGTCCAGAAATTTTGTTGATCAATTTGACAGGCTCGAGAGAAGCCTCATTTGAGCGTCAGGTCGTAGGGCCGATGTTTCGAAGATTTAGTAGCCAGGGAGGGTGCTGTAGGTACGATGGACTTTTTTACACGAGTCGGTGCTGTTGAGTTGAGCGTCACTTGAGCATCACCCAGTGGAAAAGCGGTAGCAAAGATGTATCGTGGACTTATAGCCAGGGCGGACTCTGTAGACCTCGATGTGGTGAATTCAAATGACAGAATGACGACACCCCACACTGAAGGCCGCCCTGTCCCCCAGATAATATGCCAACTGGCTTCATGATCTCTGGTCGTTGCATCAACCCCAGAGTCCGCCCCGATGGTCCGCCTGCGAGAAATACCGCGTACGGCGGCCTTTGCGTGGTCTGCGGACGCCGACGCCCCGTGGCTGGCTACGGGTACCAAGTCAGGCGCTGTCGATGTCGACTTCAGCAATGAAACGTGCCTCGAACTGTGGGATCTGTCCCTGGATAACAAGCAGCAGGGTCAAGAGCTGAAGCCTGCCGCCACGATCACTACAGACACAGGGTAGGCATGGAGAGGCCTCTTTGCTATCGAAAAACTACTGACACTGCCGTAGATTCCACGATCTCGCATGGACGCCAGCAGAGGACCGCCGACGGGGTGTCATCGCTGGCGCACTTGACAGCGGTGCTCTTGGTCTCTGGGATGCGGACGCTATCCTTAACGATTCCACCAACGCTGCCATCTCCTGGGAGAAGGTGCACACGGGTGCCATCAAGACACTGCAGTTCAACCCCAAGATACCCAACATCGTCGCTACAGGTGGTGTCAAGGGTGAACTCTACGTCTCGGACCTGAACCAGACTGGCTCACCCATCCGACTCGGCAGCACTGCAGCAAGAGCAGACGACGTTGAATGTCTAGACTGGAACAAGAGAGTTGCAAACATCCTAGCCACGGGCAGCAGCGGCGGGTTCGTCACAGTATGGGATATGAGGACCAAGAAAGAGAGCCTGACACTCAACAACCACGGTCGAAAAGCAGCATCAGCTATCGCCTGGGATCCCACCAAGCCAACACGCTTGATCACCGCCGTGCCCTCTGAACAAGAGCCTCTCATCCTTGTCTGGGACCTCCGAAACTCCAATGCTCCGGAGAAGATACTGCGCGAGCACAGCTCCGGCGTTCTGTCGCTTTCGTGGTGTCCTCAAGACCCAGATCTGCTGCTCTCCAGTGGCATGGACAACCGCACCATCCTCTGGAACCCCCAAACCGGTACGGCCTACGGCGACTATCCCGTCGTCACGAACTGGACATTCCAAACAAGATTCAACCCACACAACCCCAATTTCTTCGCCACGGCGTCCTTTGATGGTAAAATCCAGATCCAGTCGCTCCAGAACACAAATCCGAGCTCGGAGAAGGCTACGGAGCAAGGCGAGGCTGCGGACGGCGAAGACTTCTTCTCGAAAGCACCTACACAGCCTCAAGCATCCTCTTTCTCTCTAGAAAAGGCACCGAAGTGGCTGGAGCGACCGTGCTCGGTGTCCTTCGGGTTTGGAGGCCGACTAATAACCGTCCGACCCGCTGAGGCGGCCTCCAGGACCTCGAAAATCGATATCGGCAAGTTTGAGGTGGACTCAAACGTGGGCAGTGCGACGGAGACGTTCGAGAAGGCTATCGGGAGCGGCGACCTGACTTCATTGTGCGCGGAACGCGTTGCCTCTGCCAAAACAGACGAGGAGCGCGCTGATTGGCAGGTCATCAAGACACTTGTATCCACGAACGTGAGGGAACAGCTGGTGAAGTATCTCGGCTTCGAGGATGCGCCCAAAGCTACTAGAGGCGATGCGGACATAGTCCAGACTCCCGTGTCAACGACAGCAGAGGAAGGAGGCGACGACAAGGTCACCGTCAACGGCGTTGGTCGCAAGAGCCATAAGCGCTTCACATCAATGTGGGCCAACACTGCAGACGGTGACTTCCTGTCAGAGCTCGCTGCTACAAAGGGCACAAAGACCAACAACCCGTTCCAGATCTTCTCGGGATCGGAATCGGATTCCGACCGCAAGATCACGCGTGCTCTGATCCTTGGTCGCTTCGAAGAAGCTCTCGAAGTCTGCTTAAAGGAAGACCGCATATCGGACGCTTTCATGATCGCAATCTGTGGAGGCGAGAAGTGCATCAAGAAGGCACAAGAAGCATATTTCGCGAAGCAGAGCGATGGTCCGAACTACCTCCGGTTGCTGGCATCCGTCGTCGGGAAGAATTTATGGGACACTGTCCACAATGCAGATCTGGCCGATTGGAAGGAGGTCATGGCTACTTTGTGCACATTTGCCAGCGAAAAGGAGTTTCCTGATCTCTGCGAAGCTCTGGGAGACCGATTCGAGGAGCAGATGTCCGCCGATACCACAGCCCGCAAGAATGCATCTTTTTGCTATCTCGCTGGCTCCAAACTCGAAAAGGTCATCTCGATCTGGATTCAAGAGCTGAAGGAGCACGAAGAGTCAACATCTGCCGACGCCGATGCCACGTCAGCTTACTCAGTCCACGCCCGTGGCCTACAGGACCTGATTGAAAAGGTCACCATCTTTAGAAGCGTTGTCAACTTCCAAGATTCTGAATTGTCGAAGTCGGAGGACTGGAAGCTCGAGGCGCTATACAGCAAATATCTCGAGTATGCAGATGTGGTCGCAGCTTCAGGTCAGCTCTCGGTAGCTCAGAAGTATCTGGACCTCCTGCCGACCAAATACCCTGGCGCCGACATTGCTCGTGGCCGCATTGCGCAGGCGACGCAGAAGAAGCAGCCGGCTGCCACTACAGCTACGATGAGTGGCAAGCAGCCTGCTGCTACGTCTACACCAACCAAGACAAGACAAACGGCCAGACCAGGCTATGCACCACCTCAGGATATGTTTACTCAAAGTGCTCCGCAGTCAGGTCCATATGCGCCCCAGGCTCCTATGTCATATGCACCGCCTGCTCAGCAGCCGGCAAATCCGTATGCTCCTACAACGGCTGCGCCCTCAGCTCAAGGCAACCCATATGCACCACCCCAGCAGACGAGAGCACCACAAAGCGGGCCTCCACAATTTGTGTCTTCTCAGCCAGCCGGGATTGCACCACCTCCTAGACAATTCGATCAAAGTCCAGCTATTGCACCTCCTTCGCAAGCAAAGAATATGGCCAGCTGGAATGATGTGCCCGAAGACTTTGCGAAGCCAACATCAAGAAGAGGTACACCTCTGAACGCTGCGCATCCACCAGTGCCCTCCCCATTTGCTCAGCTTCCCCAACAGGCTGGCATTCCTCCTCCCATGGCTCCACCGATCGCTTCAAGAGGGAAGTCACCAGTGCCACCTCCACCAAAGGCTGGCGCGGGACCTGCAAGAGTAACATCGCCCCTGTCACAGCCAGCCCAGTCGTTCGATCGTCCACCTTCTGCCAGCAATCCGTACGCGCCGCAGATCTCGGCAGCCTCTCCTGTAGGGCAGAACGTTGGGCCACCACCCATCGGCCGGGTATCATCGCCGTACAATGCTCCTCCTTCAGCAGCTCCGCCAAGCAATCGGTATGCTCCAGCTCCTGGATCTCAAGCTACTCAGCAAGGCCCTGCACCAGGAGGCCGACCCAATATCGCGCCGCCTCCACAAGGATCTTCATTCACGTCTCCGCCGCCAGCAGCTAACCCATACAGCGCTGCACCCCCTCCGCCACAATCTAGACCAAGTCAATACGGACCTGGCAGTCAACAGACAACCTCTGCACTTCCTCCCACGCCACAGCAGCAGTTCTCGTCCGGTCCACCACCTGGCGGTCCACCTCAACAGCAACGGCCAGAGCCCGCCCCGAAGCCTACGGCGCCGCCAGCTCGCAAGTTCCGTAAGTGATGATTCCTGTTTTGTTTCCGCTCCTGTTTCCATTTCTACAGAGTCCTACCTGGTAGAATTCTACAAATGCTAACCCGCATGATGAATCCGCAGCCAAGGGTGATCGGAGTCACATTTCTGCGGCCGCTCAGCCAATCGTAGACATCCTCTCCGCTGAGATGTCACGTGTTGAAGCTCGTGCGCCTTCCCAGTTCAAGCCACAGGTCGATGACGCCAAAAAACGGCTCAATATACTCTACGACCACCTCAACAACGATGATCTACTCAAACCTGACACGGTGCAGCAGATTGTGGAGTTAGCTGAAGCCCTCCAGAGCAAGAATTTTCAACGTGCGCAGGAGATACAGCTAGATGTTCACCAGAACAAGGTGGAGGAGTCGGGCCTGTGGATGGTGGGTGTAAAGCGCCTAATCGGCATGTCCAAGGGCACCCCCTAGAGGCCTCCCTGGCGGCCAAACCGCATATTCTTAGGGTGTAGCAATAGAGGGAGTAGTGACGCGCCTTCGAGGCCAATGGCTATGACTTGAGCGTCAGAACAAAATGACTTGATCGTGAAATGAGCCTCGCTTGCGATATGGTCCCAACAAAATTCGCTACTTACAGCGCCCGCCCTGGCCAGAAAATCTACGAATTCGGCAAAACAAATTATGCATTCAGCGGCCACCTCGGCTGGAAAATCTAGGTACGATCAGCCACCGATTTGGTATCTACTTCGTACGGCGGCCTCCCCGGCCCAGTCTCCACAATGAATCATTGTCACTGTCATAACGCTTGAGCGAGCCCGTCTTAAGCCTGTCGGTACTATCAGCGAAATAGCGTGGCCTCCAGCGCCCTCCCTGGCAGCAAATCCATGATGCTTCGTTCTCACAACCCAATTTGCCGGTGACGCTCAATTGAGGCTCATGTCAAGTCTCTTAACTCCATCAGCTAACCATCCCAGGCCTTCAGCGGCCTCCCTGGCCAAGTGCTTTGCGAAACCAGCGAAACGGGTTTATACGCTCATCGCCCTCGGAATCCACGCTGGGATTTATAGGTCTTGTGTACAAGCCAGCGAGCATCCGATAGCCAACGAGGCACTTCGGCATCGACGTTGTCGTCCAAGCATGGCCAGTCGTACCTACCGGTGCACTTTGCCTCACGCATCCATCTCCGAGGCTTCCTCCATCCACCACAATGGCCCTCCCTGATTCAATCGGTTGAGCCCAACAAGGCAGGCTACTTTCCCAATCTGAAATTTCATCTGATATTGCGGAGCTTCTTGACGTCACTGGCAGACGCACGCCAGCTCATCATGAGTCGCAGCGGTAGGGCCAGCTGACTCTCAGAAAGTTTCCGCTCCGCCCCTCCGCTCGAGCCATCCACTTGGCACCGCCCTTTACTCCGAACACGGCAGGTCAGCTGCCGTCTTTGCATTTGCATTTGAAATTTGCGGATTTTGTATGCAGGTACACAAAGTTGTATGTCGCTCCAGGGGGATTAGCTGAGACGTGGACCACTGAACTTCTGGGTAGCCCCGCTCCACTCCCTGACTGCCGTTCACCACGATGTTCCGCCCCAGCCCAACGAAGTAGGCCAGCTTCCATCTCTGCGCTTCTATCTGGCATAGCGGAGCCCCGGCGACGTCATCGGCAGATGCAGAAGCTGCTCTTGCCGTATTGCAGAGACGAGCGATCACCTCCGTCAGCGCGAGACCATTACGGAATAAGATTCGATGGGAGTATTACGTGCCTATCTACCACGTCTGAGAGGATCGCCCTTTTCGTGACGCTGTGTTTCTGTCGGGCTGCCTTTACCGCCAGTCTTGCTTGACTCTGCTTGTACCATTTGGTCAATGTGCTTCTGCAGCTCTGTGATTGCTCCGTGTCCCGCAAAGAATCTGCCTCCTGCTTTATCGGCAGTAAGACCGAAGTAACTAGTCGTAGGCGCTGCCAGAAGCGCCTGTCGGGAGAGAGCTATCCAGTAGTCTCCTTGATAGTACGGATCAGCAATTCGGTGTCGATGTACGCCCTCACCTCGCGAATGAGCTCGGTCTTGTCGTCGAAAGTCGCTATCCAGCAGTAAGTCATATCGTATGGTTTACCACTGCGAGCTTTCGCATTGATCGATTTCTGCGAGGAAGGAGGTTGGTCAGCTTCAACGGCTTTCTACCATCGTCGTAAGGTCTAGCACACCATTGGTCCTACGACTGGAGAGGTATGCCGGGGACGAGTAGTGACATCTCGCCAGTGGTCTAGGAGAACAACTACCATGCTCGCAATCAAAGCACTCACCATCTCAACTGCAGCCCTTGTCATCCCAGGCTTGTCCTCGACTGCGCCAACTGTGACATGGAGGGTCTCAATCTTCAGTGGTTCAGTTAGGACCGAGTTGCCGAGAACCTGTATTGTTGCGTCCAGAAAGTCCTGTTTACTGGTATACTAAGATGCACATTTGCGTGTCAGTGATGCTTGGGTCAAGATGGGTGCGACTTGGTAGACCGGAGCACCAGGCATGGAATGAACAAGCTCACAACTCCAGACATTGGCGTCGAGCCTACGATCGTCCAATGCACATCATCGGCCACACGGGCCCAGAATTTTGATGAGGTCTCGGTGGAGGCCAAATTTTCGAAGATATCGCGCACGCGGCCTGCTGAAAGCGTCATCGCGAAACTATGGCGTGAACTGGCGACTTCTCTTTGACGCGAGACGGAGGATCTGTTACTCTCGAGGTCTTTCTGTGGTAACTGCGGTCAATAGTTGGCAATCACGTCAGCGGGGAAGGTGTTGGAGATCATTTGGTGCGAAATGTCCAGCCGAACTATGCGACCTCGTCATTTATATTGCTAGTGCGGGCCAAGGGTCTATACTTCGCTCACTGCCAGTGATCGGGACTCAACCCAGAAGATACGCACTCACATCTTCCCGGCGCACAGTGAGCTACATCCGATGCTCCTATCTTCGGATTTAAGAAAGGCCTTTGCGGATGTGGCCGCACATCAGACATCGCTTGCCCGTGGCCGCGGACGTGAGGCAAGTGTAGCCAGTCATGACGCCGCACAACGCAGAACGCAATTTGGTGAGCTACAGTGTTGTATGGCTACTGACGAGACTGTAACAAATGTCTTGGAAGGCACACAGGACGGACAGATGTGACACGGTCAAACGCCGCAGAAGCCGCGGTATGGGGAGCCAAGGTGGCTAGTCGCGCTAGTGCAAAAATTGGCCATGTTTCACAGGTCGTGAAGTCTTTAAATTCTCCTAGTGGCGAGTTCTTTGCATGGCGCAACGGATTGTAATACGAATTAGGAAGGTATCGCTCCAATTTGTGCTCATACAGTCAACGCGACCAATGTCAATAGTGCCCAAGGCGATGATGGCATAGCACTGAACGCAAGTCAGATGCAGCGATGAGCGATCGCCATGGACGACGCGCTTTACGATACGTCGTTGACGCTTTACGCCGTGACTGAGTCCACGACACCACTTGGTTCACTCCTCAATTGTGACCTAAACAGTCTCAACACTAACGCGCTGAAACTTCGCGACCACCTTTCGAGCGGCCGTGCACGCTATGAGGACGAAGAGGAACAGGAGAAGATCGGCGGGCTGCGCGATTGTACCTGGAGTCATCTTCGCCAGGATGACCGTTCGACACACGGCATCCTAGTCACACTTCTCTACGACAAGATCACTTATAGATTCATCTTTTATGTCAAGCCTACCTCCTCCTCATCAACAACAAGGGCAGGCAGCAGACGGCAAAAGGCGCCGTCAGCGGCGCCACCATCAGCTTCATCACTGCCGCTACTCTTCATCAAGGCCTCAACCTCGCTCACGGCCCGCTTCCTCGCCTTCCTCACAATCCACTTCCAAGCACCAACCATAATGCCCCTCAAACTCCCGGCTTCACATCTTCCGGTCACACTCTCGTCCTACATCGCCAGTCTGGTATCTGCACACGCCACAGTTGCGAATGACTACGCCCTGCAGGCCTTCCTCCAGGACACCATCGGCGCAACCAAACTGACCATCTCCATCACCTCCGCCGAAATCGCCAAGCATCTCCGCACAATCGACGTCGACGTGCCACACGAGACGCTGTTCCAGCTCATTGAACAGGGCCGCAACGATGCCGCGCACGAGAACTTTCTCGAAGCACTGAGACACCATGTTCACCAGCGGACTGGTCTCCTACTGCCGCTGACGGCCGCACAACAACATCAATCAGCAGTCACTGCTTCCGGAAACGAGCCTGATTCTACGGCACCAGAACCACCCCTGAAGCTGACTCGAATCTCGAACTCAGCCTTTGCGCTCGGTAGCGAAGGCCGACTGAAATTCAGCACGAAAGCCGTGGCAGCCGTCGATGCAGTCGCCGGTCTGCCAAGTGGGCCACAGGAGAATATCGTGCGGCGGGCAAATTTGCAGCTGTTGGAGGGACTGTTGGATGCTGCCGCTGCAGTCTCTAAAGGCACCAACGATGGCGACAATTGATTGGACATAGGTACTTAGGTCAATCAATAAGAATATTGATCGTTTCGTAGGGGTACTAAATTATGTCTGGAGTCCTCCCTGGCAAATCATCCGTCAATCGGTTTAAGCGACCGCTCCTGCGTTTTCTCCTCTCGTTTCTCCTCTCGTTTCTCCTCTCGTTTCTCCTCCTTCTCCTGCTGTCTGCGTCTCTTCTTCTCCTCCTTGCATGCCTTCTTCCACCTTCTGCGCACATCCTTCGGCAGTTCGGGTTCCACAGGGAGTCCTTCCGACTCTTGTACAGCCCTGCGATCGTTGCTGCGCAGGAGATTGCTGATGCGAGAGTGCAAATGACCTCCAGCACCCTCCCTGGCGGGTTCGATCGATATATCGCTGTCTGTATTGTTGTTGTGGAAGAGATGATAGTGGCGTAATGATCTCGGAAGGAGCGATCGCGGATAAGGGGTCTTTCGATATGGAGAGACGTGGCTCATCAGTGAAGGATCGTAGATCGAGGATGTTGCGTCGCCGGCACGAGCATCGGTGAGTATCTGCTGCTGGAAGCCACCCGGAGGGTCTTGCGCGATCGAAATCGAGGCCATTGTCCGACCTTCGTAGACTTATCATCAGGCGGCCCCTGCGTGACCGGATCATCACGTTCGTTCGTAGGTCCATCGAGTTGCGTAGTGCCAGCTGATTTCTAGGCTCCGTACTTTGGCAACTGACCAAGCTCCTCTTCAGGGTTCTGACGATTTTGGAGTGCAGTCTCACTTTTTGACTCCGTTGATCCCAAGATTCCTGTCAGGGCGCGCTCTGAGGGTTGAAAGATCTGCTGCTCGAGATTGAAGATAGTTGCACGCGACAGCCATGCTGCGACGGTCTGGCGGTAGCTCTGCCGGGTGAAGGCCTTGCTGCGTCCGTACAGAGTAGCTGTGACAGATCCTGTAGATTCGGAGTCCTCATTTGAAGTCAACACTGCATTGGCAGACAGTTTCGAACCGGGAACGAGGGTCTGAGGAGTGCCTTCGTCACAGACAATGTCGAGTCCGGGAGCATTCTTCACCTTTGCACAAGGCATCGGGGGCGCTAAAATGAGGACCTGTCAATGCAATGAAATTGAGGAATTCGAGGCAGAGGCCTCCCTGGCGTCCAAAAATGATATATCACGATAGTACCGAATGTTAGCTGGTGAGGTATGACTGACAGCAAGCGAACCTTGGAAGTGAGAGGTGTTTGGACGCAGGCGAGGAAGGTACGAATCTCAAGGTCATTGTCTCATGGGAAGGCGCGCACTTGAATTTACTTATACCTTGTGACTTGCTTATATCACCCTGAAGTCGGATAGATGTCGTCCTTGAGCATTAACACTGAATCGAGAATAGGCAGGCACGATATGAGGCATAGATGAGGTAAAGAAGATGAATTTGCGAGCGTATTCGTGCTTCAGATGACTCGTATTGTGATTGGACTGCTCGCGATCGTGGCATCTCGTTCTACTTGTATGGAATGGTTCATTGCAACGCATGATCACTCTGACGCGCTGTGCTCTGGCACAATGAAATGGGGCGTACATGTAGAAAGCACCAATGCATTTGCAACTATACAGAGCTTGCCTCGACGAAATGCTGGTGGATATATCGGTCGTCATCCTGCCCATGTATGCCAGTAGTAATAACGCCCCTATTGATCCTGCTTGAATAACATGCAGTATAAAATCTCTATGCGTTAGGACCTCACACAACGCAGGTCCTCAGATATCGTAGCTTAGTAGTCGTGAGTATTTCAATGATCACTTGGTCCATCCATGTCCACAAAACGTTCCTCGTCATCGTTGATCACCTCTCGGCCACTTTCATCAACAACGATCCGGCGCCCTCTCTTACATTCAGGCTCGCCATCCCTCGCTGCACCAAAGTCGATCACCTAGATATTGTCAGCGCAACGTCTCGCGGACAGCCACATAAGACCGACTTACCTCAATGAAAGTGCTACCGTCTCGTTGGACCGCAGCCACACACCGTCGCTCATTGAATTTGACTTGCCAGACACCGCTAAGGTCCGACAACAGATCCTTCACGCATTCTCCTGTTTTGATGTTCCAAAGCTTGAGATTTCGGTCGCTGCCACTAATGACCTTCTGACCATCGTGCTGGAAGCAGGTTATGGCACCAGTGTGCGCACTCAAGGTAGCCTTGCACTGCCCATTGTCTGGATCCCATATTCGTAGTGTTGAATCAGCAGCAGCAGACACCAGGCGGTCGCAGTTGAGATCCAGTAATCCGACTAGTGACGTGTGACCTTCCAGATTGTATATGGCCGCACCTGTATCGAGAGACCAGATCTTGACCATGTTGTCCATCGATCCGCTGATACAGCGATTTCGTGTTTGATCCAAGACAACGCTGTAGACTTTCTGAGTGTGACCTTGCAAGCGATGTACAGTCTCTCCTGTTGATATCCTCCACACGCGAACAGTGCAGTCGTAGCTTCCACTGACAAGCGTATCGGCGTAGGCTGCAATAGCCCGAACGGAATGCTGATGTCCGGTCAAAGCTCGAATGAAGTACGGGCAGTCATCTGTGTCTCCCTCGGACTCAGCTTGAATGAACGGTGGATCTTCAGGCTTTGGTAACTTCCAGATACGCAGCGTTGAGTCTCGTGAACCAGTGATGATGAGTGGCTGCCTTGGCATCATGATCGCCTTCCCATCTGCGGTCTCGCCGATCTGAACTGGCATGACCACTTGTAAGCAGCGAACTGTTGAGGTGTGCCCACGGAAAACCTGTCTCTCCTCGCCGGTCTCAATGTTCCATACCCTCACAGACCTATCGGTGGAGCCGGACACAAGTGTGTTGCCCTCGTACTGCAACGCCCAAACACCGCCTTCGTGACCAATCAGCCTGGCTCGGAGGACTCCCGTCTTGGTGTCATAAACATTGATGTTGTTGTCGTCACTTCCCGTTAAAATTTTATCAGTGTCGAACTGCAGACATGTTACAACATGGGTGTTGTGCGCACGGAAAGCGATGTGTCGAGGCTTCGCATCTTCGTACATCCAATTCTTCCTGATCATATGATGGCGGCGGTATAACGTCTTATAAAGGTGTAGGCCTCTCAAGGAAGTAAGACCGACGTCCGGGTGCGGGACAGCTAGTATTGCAGCGCTGGCAGCGTTGTACGGACCTTCAGAAGTCGACATCATCTCCATCCAATTGATTGAGCTGATGTCTACAGAGGCGTCGCGTGAGGTCTTGCGTCTCTTCGAAGCCTTTGACGGACCGGAGAGTATCGAGACGGCTTTACGCTTAGAGCGTCGGAACAATCGTGTCAGTCCACTTTGTGGTTGCGACGATGGTGAAGAGGACAGATACTCTTCCATGTCTGTTATGTCATGTCCAGCTTGGCTGATGTCCATCTCATATCCATCGTGACCGGACGGGTCTTGCCAACCCCAGCCTTCTGCAATAGCTTGTTGTAGCTCGCCTTCGGCTAGTTCGTAGCCATCAGCGTCGAATAGCTCTTTCCATACCTTCTCGTCCGAATTGATGAGTTGTCGCCACTTCTTTGAGACTTGTGCAGCGCGTGCCAGGCTCTTGAGATCAAGGTACTGAACGATATGAAGCGCCAGCTCAGAGGGCAGAAGCGTGAGGAAATCACACTTGAGCGCTGGATTTACAACATCAGCTATCAAATGCAAGGTTTCTTTTGGACATCTTCGTAGCATCTGATGCATCAGATATGCCTTCAACTCATCGGGAACTGCTTCGAAGAAATCAAGCATTGCTGGAATCTCGGCAACAGAGAATTTCGAGAAACGGCTGGCTCCACTGCCGTGAAGCGGACGGTCGGTTGCCTTAAGATCAAAGCTCCGACGTTGCTCTCGCGCATCATCTGTCAAGCTGGCGTGAGACGCAACATCAGATTGGGAGTCTACATCCCCAAAGTAGCCAGCATTCTGCAGGTTGGCAGCTGCTGTGACGGGAGAGAGACTCGGACTAGGAAGACTGCCATCCTGACCTGATGGACTTGCTGTCGTATGTAGCCGAGCTGGGACAGATGACAGGGCTCTTCGGCTGGGAGGGCGAACACTGTTGCTGAAGCTGTCTAAGTCAATGGGTGGTGTCGGTACAGAAGCGTCACGCGAGATTCCTCTTCGTGTCGAATCTGCGGGAGATCCGTGGTCTTCGCTTTCAGGGTCGTGCAAATCATCCTCCGAGTCTGCCGCAAGTATGTCCTGAAACGAGTCCGGCTGATCAAGACCAGGAGATGGCAGTGGTGCAGCACTCGTGGACGGCAACAACGAGTTGCGGAGATCGGGACGTTGTCTTGACTGACTGCGAGGGGTGAGAGGCTTAGTGCCTTGCATACTTCGGATTCGCGGGTGTGCTTGCAGCGGTCGAACTCTGCTGCTGGATGCTGCATTCGACAGACGTCTGCGTTTAGAAGGCCAGGTTTCTATGCCTTCGTCGTCTGTGTCGGTGAAAGAGTCTGGTGACGCAAGCCTGTCCAATCGACTTCTGCTGACGGCAAGAGGATGAGATGCCAGTTCGGGGTCTGTTTGCACCCAGGATTCGTAGGCTTGCACAGTCTTGACCTCGCCGTTATTGCTGGATAGTATTTTCTGCTCGTCCTCTAAGTGTTCCATGGCCAACATAGCATCTGCTGCCTCCCGAAAGATCATGGATGTGCCACCAACTTTCAGAGCAATATTCTGAAGCGCAGTCGGGGTGGGCGTAGCTGCCAATGGGTATTGCTTCGAGTCAAGCTGGTAGGATTTGCTCGGAGGACGCATGAGAAGAGGTGGAAACCGGGTCGTGGTGGTGGTAGTGGTGGTGACTACAGTCGTCTGAGTTGCAGGAGCAAAAGAGAACTGAGCGAGTGTGGGTGAGGTCGAGGCATGACCTGGGTCGAGTGCGCGAGCACGCGCTTTGCCGCTGGCCCTGGCCGACCTGAAGACGCGTTCTTGGTAGAGTGAGTCGAGGAGCCCAAGGCATGCCTAGCGTAGTCTTCGCTGTCGTCCATCATTATGTTACAAAATCTTTCCGACAGAGATCAGGCATCGGCACAGCCCGTCTGGGTTGAGCGGCGGCGAATGTTCTTGTTTGGTGGTGTGGCTAGTGCAGCACGGGAGGCTGATGGTGGTATGAAGGCGTTGATCGTGCTTCTAGTTGTGTTGCTCTCACCGTGAAGGCCTGTGAGTCTTCCGTGAAGGTGCCGTTGCAATAGATAGTGTGCCCTCGGATGTTGGGTGGGGGACGAGTCCAGGGACGGCGTGTTAGGGAAGGTCGACAAAGCACGGATGGCGGTGAGATGTGGTGCAGCAAGTCATACAGTGAACGAAGACACCATCACACGTGGCACAAGCACCAGAAAAGCCGTAGATCGGGACTCAGACGCAACGAGGGGGTTGTTGATGTGGTGTTGAATGGGTGAATAATCGTGGAGGAAGTGCGAAGGAGCCGGAGAGGCTGCATTGGTCGGAGTCGTGCTGGCCGTACACCCCACTTCAAGGTCTCGCCTGAACTTGAATGCCTGTGGCCGTGTGGCACACTGGCAGTCAAAACCGGCACGCGTGATTAGCGGCCCTTGCTCGGTCTCGGATCTCGCCACAGGCGGCTGCCGAAGGCCACTGTAGGATTGGAGCCAAGGGAGCCCCAACGCCACCTCACTGTCTGATCTAATTTCACCAGAAAAGGCGTCACTCAGTGCGTCAATCCTCGGGTTGCCTTTTGCTCCTACTGTACATGTACGAGGTATTCATCTTCTCTGATACTGCCCACAGCACTGCAGGTCCCTCCCTGAGGCGGCGATCGAAGGTCATGGTCGAAATTGTATCACTGGAACGATTATGGTACTGGTTGAAATGGCGTGAGGATTCCTGGGTATTCACTTCAGCTACGGTAATCAAAGTCTTGTTCACTGTGGCCATGTCTTACTGAACTTCGAGGCATTTGGTGAACAATGTTTCGGCCTCTGCTGTTACAGGGCGACTCTTGGGTACTACGTGTTGAAGGTACAGCTCCTGCGGCGATAAGTGATGTCGGAACTGGACCTGCTTTACATGCCTCGCTGGCTCGATATGAGGAGTCAATGGACGTGTACAATGCACAGCAATCGCGACAGATGCACCACCATAAGAACACCTATGTGATGCTAATAGACGAGACCAGTGTAGATGTAGCAAGAAGGAAGCCTCTCCAGGTTCAGATACACCGGTGCACAACTCAGCTCACTTCTACTCGGCCACTAGTTGCTGGCCGTTATTGACCTCAATTTGCATCCTTGGGAAGACACTGAGAAGGCCGGCTTACTGTCACTCAGTCAAGGTGATGGTAATGCACACCGCTGGAGCAGGCATTGACAATGAGTTGTGTTTGTTGAGGCAAACTCGGCAGCAACGTGAGATGTTGTGCTTGCTATGAATTCCCTTTCCTCTCTTCCGCATTCCGCAAACCCCATATCTCTCCTACAAGTTTGATCGAAGACGATCTTTCTCAACATCAACAGCTCAGCTACGGTCGATGCGGGTGCAGCCGGTCCAGATGACGTCCCAATCCATGGACATCGCCGTCCTCAGCAAGGATCAAAGCCTGGCCTTGGTCAAGATCTTCCTCAATGCATCTCTTGCCTGTATCTGCCATACCCGAGAGTTGATCAATTGGGAGTCCGCATGCTTCCGCAAACGCTATGTCGACCACATCTCCCTCAAAGGCGACAGTGTATATGAATCGTTCTGCAGCTCAGACCCACCCAGCCCTGGCAGCTCTCAAGAGATTCGTGTTCTCGCTCGTGGTCATGACCACAGAGCTAATGCTCTACTCAACATGATCGTTCGTTGTCTCCTTCTCACTACGGCCAATACTGACACAATAGCAGGAACGTGGCGTCTTCCGTGCCATTGAGGAAGCGTATCTGGACGTGCTTCAAGTCTTTATCACTATTCCGGCAGGCAAATCACAAAGTATTCAAGAGACCTACACCTACAGCTTCACATACTTCGAAAATGCTGTGGCAAGCGTTGAGTGGAAAGAGCAACAGCAGTTCCTGTCCCTGGCGGATGCTCAGCGCAGCTTCAAGACCGCCATCCGAAGCCTCCTCAGGTCTATCCAAGACCTTCCCAGCCTTCAAGGTAAAATGGTCGGAACTTTCGTTTGACGTGAGTGCTGACTGTGGCTAGACCAGTGTTCCTTAGGCATGAGCATGGCTTACAACGACAGTTGTCCACGAAAGTATGAGCCAGAGGGGTTTATGGACGCTTCAGACGACCGCATCCTGGCCGAAGACTGGGCGAAACTATGGGAAGAGCCTACAGATGGGACTAGTGCCTTCGAAGCTGCTCATCATAGTGTTACGATCGCTGCCAGAAATCCTACCAGCAGCCGTCAAACCGCATCACAGGTCAAGGATACCGCGATCAGTCGGCAGCTTCAGCAACTACAGAAGACATCGTCCGGACGCCATCCAGGTCTGGTGTCAACACTGCCATTACCGGCGACTCCCTACAAACAGAACCAAGAGGTCATACGCGATGCTCTTGTGACTCCAGATCAATTGATCGAAACCAGATCCACTCGCAGTTCTACACGACAAATCCACACCAGCCCTGAGGAGCAACAACGTCCATCAGAAGGCATAAATTCGGCCGCGTATGTCCCTGCAGCCCAGCCTGCTGCCAACCCACTGAGAGGCTTGACTATCCAATCTGCAAATCGGAGGAAGCGCAATATCATACCAGAGAAGATGGCCAAGGTTATCGTTCAAGCACATTGCCTGGACTTCGAAGCAGAAGATGGACTGACGTTCTTCGATTCGGTCCAGCTCGACCGGGGTATTCTGTACCGCATTGATCGGTCGACGACAGTGTGCTGCGACTGCGGAGATCAGCAGCAACGTGGTCTGATGGTATATTGTCACCTGTGCGACTCTTCACAACATGCAGTGTGCTATGGGCTGTCTTCCTTAAGACCCCGTTCGCGCCCTGACCAGCATTTGTGCTACTCGTGTCTCCTGCTTCCAGAGGATCCAGACAAAGTCCAGGGAATGTCTGTCAATGTGCATATACGACTTGCTTTGACCTACATTGCGGATCTCCAATACAACACGTTCATCGCGAAAGACCCAGGATTCTGCGATGCTGTGTTCGGTAACGTCGAAGACATCGACTTCTTGCGACAGCGCCTCATAGAGCGCTTAGTCAGAGAGAACATTGTCGCTGGCGATGTCAGTGACAAGCTCGTCATTCTTGCGCATGATGAGGAGGGGCTGAACCGCCTTCGGAATGAATACCTCGATCCGTTGGCGAACGTTGCGCATCTGTACAGATTGACCACCAGCAAGAATGAGAACAAAACACTCGAAGGCGAGCTGAGGGCGTACAGTGGTGGGCGTGAATACAAATTCGGCGTTGGCGTCGAGGACAAAGTGTTGTACAACTCCTTGGGCGAGCCAGTGGTGTGCTGGGGTTACTTCGCTGAAGCGGACGGCAACAACAATAATAAAACCATCGTACAGCAGTCGAAACGCAAGGCAGGAGGTACTAATGGCGGACATGAGCCATCTCCACGCCGTCGAAAGATCAGCATCTCCAGAGCCTTCATCGCGCTGGATCGATCAACACCGCTTCACGAAGACTGATCTCTCGGTTCTCGGCGTGGATTGACAACTGTTGGCACCACAGCCGTACCCAATTCAAACCAAGATCAGCACCAGGCGGACTCTATGGCGGCGGATTACGTATGTTTGAGTATCTGCACTGGGTCGAATGTTAGCTACATGTAGAGCAAGCTGCCTACCATAATAACCTGTTGTGGTTGTGGAATCGTATCAGATCTCTGACAGTCGACTTCTATGCCCGTTGTGCCCCTGATCGGCCTTTCTGAATTCAGCCTGCCGGAAGGGCCCCGGGCCCTTGCGCCGTTGCATCAGACAACAAACTCTTGCAGTAGACCCACAGGGAGTGCTCCGTACTGCATTCGCTACTGCGCACGCTGTAAGATGCTGCAATGCACCCAGATACTGAAGTTGCTGCTGGCACGTCCGAGTCCTTCGCAGAATACGTGCAGCAGAGTGCACCAAGCGGCGACATCACTTGGCGAATGCCGCGGTAGCCCGTACCGTACAGAGTGCCCAGAGATAAAAATGGCGGCAGGTGGCTTTTCGTTAGCTCTCAGCTAGCTCGTCTAGTAGCTCTTCTTGGGCTTCATCCTCGCTTCTGCGGCCTCCCACACTCCTCCAGGGCTTCAGATCTGGAAATGATATGCCCGATGCATGTCACCGCCTTTGACACGTTTCGGCAGGCGCATGTCAACGGACTGCGAAAGTGATCTCGCTTCTTCGCTTCTTTCCCAAAATCTCTGCTACTCGACTGACAAGACCCTCATCGAGACCCAAAACCAAGCATGCCATCTGCTTATGGTGCGCGCAGACATGTCGTCGTATACTGTAAGTTGCAATCTGTTGACCGAACGTCAGCCGGCGCCTACGCCGCCTACGTGCGCGACGAGTCCTTTTGGACCGAAACGCCAGCCAGGGCCCAGCATAGTTCCGCGGTCTGCGATTGAACTTTGGCTGAAAGGCGGATACTGCCTACAGTACATGATGCTTGAAGGGCCCCCAGTCAGCATGCAGGCTCGCCAATAGTGACATGTCCCACTGCCCAGGACCAGGCCCCATCTCCTGAACATTGCGTTACCGTATCTCTCGCAGACGAGATGCGCCAGGATAGACGCTGCAGACCAATGCTCTTCCGGTCGTAGCGCGTTGGAGCACTGCCAATCTCAGTTCATCTGACTCCTCTCAGGGCCGAACCCTCTCATTAAGCCACCTGAACTCTCGCTCCCTCCAACTTGCTTGAATGCTGTCATCGCATCTTGACCACCACTGATATCGGCTGCGTTTCCTTGGGAGTGCAGTAGTGTATACGGATTTCCCAACTCCTCGGTGTACCTGCATATGGACAGCATTGAGTGACAGCATCCCCTTACCGAAGGAGAGACGACAACCATAAGAGTACGTGAATTAATTGGCTGTCAGCGGGAACAGTACACGTCTGTGACACAGTTCACAGCAGCGCAACACCCGATCCGCACCTTGCGCCGTGCAACAGCTGGAACTGGAGATGCGACAGATACAAACGGAGCGAATGTTCTTGCTACATAGCCGCGCCACCACCCGTTTGCCCTCACCGCTGCTTCCGGCTTTGGACCAAATTCTCTTGCTGCGTTCGATTGTTCAGTCGTAGTACACCATGTCGCCCACACCTCTTTTTCACCTTCCCTCGGCCTTAAGAAGACTGAAGACCAGTGCGACCGATACCAGTCACCGAATATCACCAAAACGAGACGATGGTAATAACAAAGCTGAACAGATGCTTGGCATCAGTAGGACAGACTTTCGCATGGCGAGGAAGCAAAGCATTACGTCCACCACATCCAACATAAGCGAGCATCCGCAAATACATAACGATGCCCCGACGTCTCGGCGCAAAGACATGCAACTGCAACGGCCGAAGCTTGAGCTCAAAGCGTCCTCGGTCCTGCTTCACGAGGAGTTCTTGATTGACGCTGGGACCGCCCAACGTCCGCCGATGCCCATTAAGAATTTCGCATCCTCTTCCACGCTGCACTCACATTACGACTCTCAGAAAGTACCCCTGAATGTATCGCAACAGACGTCCGAGTCTTCAAGACGAGATTTGGCACTACGCAGAGGCAGTCCCCAGGTCGTGCGGCCTGCCTTCAGGGACAGAGATCACGCCGGTGGCAGCAAGTCTCCTAGATTGAGTCCGGCGGGCGAAGGTCGCAAGCTGAGCAAGCAGAGGCCGAAGACAAGTGAGACACATAATAATCGACCGGAAGAATATCGGCCTGACACAGGCTATGAGAGTGTACCCTCATTGAAGTCGCTGAATCACACACCTAGCAAGCCTTTGCGTAATCCACGATCGTCAGTTCTGAAGCCTAGTACCAATCCCAGAGCCATGGCTGGATCCACATCAAAGTCACTCCTGGAGCCAATGGACCCAGCATGCGTCAAAGTCAACGTTCGCCGACCAAGAGCTGGAGCCAAGAACTGGTTCGACGGATTAGAGGAAGAGTCAAGCGAAGAAGAAGTGGAAGGGGATCTGGAGCTCAAGCCTCACTTTTTCACGGGCCTCGAGAATGCTTTTCAGCAAGAGCAGATCAAGCCGCCATCAGATCGATCATCAATTAGGACTGATCAGCAAACGTTCCACTTCAGCAATAGTAGCGCAGCAACTCCGAAGCAATTCCTGAGAAGTCAATCGTCGGCCGAGGGCAGTCCACGCGTTGCTGTGCTCAACGCTAAAGCATCGAGGACAAGCTTAGCACAGCACAGTACGCGGACGCAGCGAAGTGAGCGACCAATTGCTACGCAAAAGAAGGCGCATACCATAGCGGAGACAGATTTGATGAAGAAAAGTTTCTTGAACATGTCATCGGATGACGAGACCGAGGACGATGCCCCTACGCCAAATGCTGGTCCAGTCCGGTCGCCCGTTCCGGCGCGGCCGTCCATTCGAGAGAGCGTGGTGCTGGCATTCAACGACGAGTCAGCGGTGGAAGTTGGGACGGCGCAGGAGCTGACTGCCGCGGCTTCAACCCTCGGCTCACAGCATCCCAGAGTACGAACTCTGAAAGTCGTCAATCGAAACAGCAGACCAGACCATATCCGAATGCCAGTCCCCCGGAGAGGAAGCAGCCTAGCACTGTCGTCGCTCAATGAAGTTGCGGAAAGACAGAGCGCGGTGCCACAAGGAACAGAAGATACGATCCCGTCATTTCCAGCAACTCCAACAGAAAGCGACAATACTGCTTATCGGGGGTCGGTCAGCTTGTACTCGGATACTGCATCAATAGAAAGCCGTCGAATGATGAGCGTCACGAAGCAGGAACAATCTTTGCTCGCTGCGATGCGACTAAAAAAGGCCGCCATGAAGCACAACGTAACAAGCAACAAGCGGATGCAGGCCTTGCAAAGTCTTGAGCAGGGGAAGCCGCGTTCACCTCAACTGCAGCACCCGACAATGTCAGGCTACCGGCAACCTGTGCAGCCATACTATGGGGAAGGCATTCGCCAAGTTCAAGATAATTTCTCACGAACATCGGGAACGACTTTCCAGACGCAGACCACAGGTCGACAATCACATCTCACGACGGACACGGCAACGCCACTGAACAGGCTGTCATTGTCATCTGACAGTCAGTCAGCATCGCCGTCTTTGCTATCGATGAGCGGTCCCGATAAGCGGCAAAGCCGAGACACATATTTTTCTGGGACTTCGCCCGGTGATGCTCTTCAAGGTCACTCTCGGCATCGGACCGACTCGAGTCATTTCTCGCACGTGGTGGAGCTGGACAAGGTGCCAGATAATCGCGATGAGATCACTAGCCAGGCATATATACAGTGCCCTATGCTGGCTGGAGCCAGTCTATGGGGGTTGCCCACTAAAAGAGATGCCAGGAAGAGATGGTTCTGCAATGTGTAAGGGAACCGCCTTGATCGTAGACTTCATGTACAACGGCGCTGTCAGGTACAGCATGTCAGAGAGAGCAGAGACATGTAGTAATAGTGTGCTATAACGCGTAAGCCTTTCTGAGTGTACCACGAGAACGCATTTAGGAAGTTCAATATACAAAATCTCAGTGAAAGAGAAAATGCCCATCAAGCTCCCGCTCAGATCCGTCTTTCCGAAGTCAGCCAGACGTCAAGCGGCAAGCCCCTTTTCTTCGAGGTGGGTTCACGTGCCGGAGACCAATCGATCTACGCGACCGGCATTGGATCTGTGGCTTTTGGTAGCGAAAGGACTCCATCGACCACGACTGCAAGTGACGACGGATGACCGACGAAGACACGACTCTGCTTGTCCTCGTCGAAGAAAAAACATGGAACCCGTGACCGCATGATCACCTGCGCTCCGGTTCCAATTTCCATTGTTCTTCTATTGTTCCAATTCCACGGCACACGACTGTGACCGCCTTTCTTATACGAAGACAACTCATGCTGCGTTGACGGCCTATTTCCCTGCTGCAGGTCCTCTTCACGAATCCTTGGTTTTCTTGCCAGGGAATCTTGAAGTGATCAAGACCGTTCCACTCCTTCCCAGTTGCCGATGTGTCGCACACCGCACCGCTCGACGCAGCACAGAGTATAAGACGAGCAGGAACTGCACGTCTGCACATCTGCCTACACCACACCGCAGCACGCGAAATGAACATCGCATCCACAATGGCGGGCAGAACCAAGACAACCTCGCCTTTCATGCGAAATGTCTTACTGATCGCAATGTGCTTTCAATTTTCCGCCTTTGTCTTAGTATGCAGACCCCAACTCGCGTTGCACGAGCCCATTCAAGGATGTCTACAGTACATTGCTGACCGCGAGCCACAGATTTTACACTACTCCCGTGTTATGCCAACGCCGGACGGTCATCGTTATTTGCCTTCTACCGCCGTATTCCTCGTCGAAGCATTCAAGCTCATGATATGTCTTACCATCGCCTTCTGGGAGTTTGCCAGCAAAGCATCCTCATCGGCGACATTGTCCTCCCTGCTCGTCGCGTTCGGGAACGCGATTGTCGCAGGTGACAGCTGGAAGATGGCAGTGCCGGCGAGCCTGTACACTTTGGCTAATAGCTTGCAATATGTGGCCATATCGAACTTGGATGCGGCGACATTCCATGTGGTTTACCAGTTCAAGATCATTGTCACGGCATTGTTCAGCGTCCTTATGCTGCGGAAGACCCTCACACCGAGACAGTGGCTAGCTCTTCTTCTGCTGATGATCGGAGTCGCCCTCGTCTCAATGCCACACCAGCAGCAAGCCTCACTCGCCAATAGCCACCACACCCGCATATACCTCCCTCGATCGGCGAATCCAATCCTACAGCACTTGGGCTTGGCTCAATCGGTGCCGCACATGAGAAAGAGATCGGCTACATACGAGGGAATTGAGGAGGACGAGATGCTGCTGAATACTCCCGGCATGGATGCGTCCGTCGGCCTGCTCTCAGTCCTCGCAGTCTGCCTCCTTTCCGGCTGGTCGGGCGTCTACTTTGAAAGGGTGATCAAGGATTCGACGCATGCGACTTCTCTCTGGATCCGGAATGTGCAGCTTTCGTTATACTCACTCTTTCCGGCGTTCTTCATTGGCATAATCTTCCTGGATGGCGAGCATGTGGCCAAGAACGGCTTCTTCGCTGGCTACAATTGGATAGTGGTCTTTTCCATTGGCATTCAGTCTGTTGGTGGCATCGTTGCGGCATTCTGCATCTACTATGCAGACAACATCTCCAAGAATTTCGCCATTAGCATTAGCATGGTTTTGAGCGGTTTAGCGAGCATGTTGTTCTTCGACTTCCACGCATCCTCAAATGTAAGTCGGTCAAACCAATATCTTGACAGATCTGACAGACTGTATAGTTCCTCATCGGCACCTCAATAGTCCTGGTCGCGACCTGGATGTACTCATCGCATGACTTGGGGTCAGGTCCCACAGCGCCTGTCATACACATTCAGGAATACGAGAAGGCATCTTCACCGAGTGAATTCCAGGATACGTCAATACAGATTCCCAAGACACCCCTGAGCAACGAGGAGACTGCTGTTGCTACATCCAGGCCAGGGTCACCTTCGCATAAGAAGCGAAAGAATGATATGGGTTACTTCACGAAAGTCCATCACTGAGCCGAGTCTGCTGCGAGCATGAGAAGAGCAATCAGGTACAAGTGCTAGAATCCCATAGTAGCTGCTGTGATAGCTGGCGCAGTGCAGACACCCAAACAGCGGAGATGCGATGCTGCTTAAACTGCGTGTCGCACCATGGCTCCCATACGTCATCGAGCTTCAGTTGCCACCACAACTCACAGCTACAAGAGCAGGAATCGACGCGAAGGCCACCAGGACCACTGTGGCTCAGTCATCGTGTCGAGCTCTGAGGGAACGATCGACCAGCGTCCAAGTGCTGCGGACATCGCGATGGACACAGATGGTGCTTGGCCAAATATTTGTTGTGGTCACCTGGGCATTGGGGTCATTATTACTCCGCTAGAACTTGAGCGGCAGACAGGCAGAGGAGCGGTATCGAACCAAAAAAGCACAACGCGTTGTGCTGATCTGTGCACGGCAACTACTTTTAGGTCCGTGGAGAGTGACAGAACTGATCGCAATCAGGATTTGGCCAAGCGATAGCCCGCAAGAAGGAAGTCGTGCAGAATGCGGTCGGAGACAGGACTCGGACTTTTAGCAGGAGAATCCGGAGCAGTAGAAGAGGTGCCTTCCTCAAGGTGACTTGCGTTATGGTCAACTTATGAAAGTGGTGGGAAGGCACGATGTAGGTACCTGCCTGACTCTGATCTGCCAAGCTTCAGTACTCATCTCGATTTCGACTTCCCATCTTCATTTCCCTCTCTCCGGCTGATCTCCCAGAGCCGTATGAACGGCCTCCACCCCCACAAAGATGAATCTCGATGACTTTGACAGGCAGTTGCTAGCCGAAGTCGAGCAGGCATCCTCTCCGACCGTCGCGGCACTGCAGTCCAGGAAGAGGTATCTGCAGGGCAACGGAAGCGAAGAGCAGATAAAGAGACGGAAGACACAAGCACAAGCTCGAGACCAAGTCCCTGCTCCTTCGTTCAATCTCCGCCATGCACCGCCCATGGCTCGTGGCATCCAACTGGTCTGCACATCGCAAATGCCGGATCGAGTCAGTGCCATCTTTCCTTACGAGATCCTCAACGCGGTCCAGTCGAAATGCTTTCCTGTTGCATTTGAGTCCAACGACAATTTGGTGGTATCCGCCCCAACCGGCAGCGGCAAAACTGTAGTCATGGAGCTCGCAATCTGTCGCCTGGTCATGGAGACCAGGAATGCCGATTTCAAGGTCATCTACCAAGCTCCAACCAAGAGTCTGTGCAGCGAACGCTATCATGATTGGTCGAAGAAGTTCAAGCTACTCGGTCTCGATGTCGCAGAGCTGACAGGAGACACCAGTAATGACCATCTTCGACAGGTTCAGCAGGCCAGAATCATCATCACCACACCAGAAAAATGGGACAGCATCACACGCAAGTGGCGAGACAATCGCCGTCTCCTCGATATGATCAAGCTCTTCCTCGTCGACGAGGTGCATATCCTGAAGGATTCACGTGGAGCCACACTCGAGGCTGTTGTTTCGAGGATGAAGTCCATCGGCACACAAGTACGTTTCATTGCCCTATCGGCGACTGTGCCAAACTCCGAAGACATTGCTGCATGGCTAGGGAAGAGCCCAGAGCAGTCAACGCAGCCGGCTCGTATCGAAGTCTTTGACGAAAGCTTCCGACCTGTCCGACTCGAGAAGCATGTCTATGGCTTCCAATACGGTAACAACGATTTTAGCTTGGACAATCACCTGCGGAAGCAAGTGCCAGACATGATCATCAAACATTCCAAGAAGAAGGCCACCATGGTGTTCTGCATGACCCGCAAGTCGGCTTTGCAGACGGCTCAGACTCTAGCTGAAGCATGGCGAAATTCAGAGCGTCATCAGTTGCCATGGCCAGCTCCGAGACAAATCATCGTTGTTGGGGATACTGTGCTTCGAGATACTGTGCAGGCCGGCGTAGCATTCCATCATGGGGGTTTGTCGGTTGAAGATCGTCACGCTGTCGAGCAAGGCTTTCTACAAGGCTTCATCACTGTCATTTGCAGCACCTCGACACTTGCTGTGGGCGTCAATCTACCTTGCTACCTGGTTGTCCTTCAGGGTACTACAACATGGGCTACTAATGCCATGCAGAGCTACTCGGATCTCGAGGTCATGCAAATGCTTGGTCGCGCTGGAAGACCGCAATTCGAGCAATCGGCATGTGCTGTCATTCTGACCCGCGAGCAGCACGTCAGTCGGTATCAGAAGATGGTCTCGGGACAGGAGCTATTAGAAAGTACACTTCATCTCAACCTTGTCGAGCATCTGAACGCGGAGATTGGCCTTGGGACGATCAGAAGCATGGCTCTGGCTCAGAAGTGGCTCGCAAGCACGTTTCTGCGTGTCCGCGTTATGAGAAACCCAGGACATTATCAGCTCGAAGAGACGAACAGCCACGTCGGCACAGATGAGATGCTGCAGCAGTGGTGTGAAAAGGACATCCAAGCCCTATTGCACGCGAACATGGTGGAAGACAGCGGCCGCCTAAAGTGCACCGAACTGGGCGATGCGATGGCCAAGTACTACGTCAATTTCGATACCATGAAGATCTTTACAGCTATCCCGCCCAAGGCCAAGCTTCGCGAGATTCTGTCCGCATTGACGCGCGCAGCTGAGTTTTCCGAAATGCGTCTCCGAAGCGGCGAGAAGTCGTACTACAAGGAACTCAACAAGAAGAGTGAGATCATGTTCCCTGTGAATGTCGACATCGCTTTGCCGGAACACAAGGTATCAATCATTCTGCAGGCCGAGCTTGGTGGGGCTTCTCAGCCTGACGGCGAGAACTTCCGGAAGCACCATCAGCAGCACAGTACGGAGAGATTGGTCATTTTCAGTCACGCCAATCGTCTGATCCGGTGCATCATCGATTGTCAGATATACATGAAGGACTCTGTGTCGGTCCGTAACGCACTCGAGCTTGGGCGATGTATCGCTGCAAAGGTATGGGATAGCACCCCTCGACAATTGAAGCAAGTACCTGAGATTGGCGATGTATTGTGTAGGAAGCTGGCTTCGCAAGGGATCAACAGCATTGAGAAGCTCCTTGCCAAGGAAGCCTATCAGATCGAGATGGCTGTGGGAAAGACACAGCCTTTTGGAACCAGACTTCTTGCTAAGCTGCAGTCTTATCCACGTTTGCGCGTCTCCATCAAGGAGATGGGCAGAGAGATCAAACGAGGTCATGGAGCCACTTTGAGACTCAGAGTGGATGTGGGCTTCCTGAACACGAAGACTCCAACGTATTTCCACAAGACGCCTGTGTACGTCTGTTTTGTCGTCGAAGACTCGAATGGCAACCTGCTCGACTTCCGCCGCTTCTCGGCCGGCAAGCTTGAATCGGAACCGATTTTGCTGAGCGCAGTCGCTGAGCAACCACTTACGCACGTCGGATGTTCTGTCATGTGCGATGAGATCGTGGGCACAGCCATGCATGCCGAGCTGAAAGTCAGTGGTATCCCGGACGCTGTCTTTCCAGCCGGAATAAAGAGCAGGCCCGGTCCGAGGGACGTGGATCATCCAGCTATTCAGAAAGCATCTCAGGTAGCGACCGCGTTCGACGATGACGACATAGAGGATGCAGACCTTCTGGCGGCTACCGAGCCTCAGTAATCGAAGTCCTTCACGATATCAACGACGTCCCAGGCTCAACCGCACTTTCGAGCGAGTTGCCTAACAAGGGCAAGCAGAAGCACACTGCTCGCACTGACGGGGGCACCAATCCTGACGACGGCTATAAAGAGCCAACTCGACTGCCAAACGGAAAATGGACCTGTCAGCATACCTGCGTAGATCGAGGCGTGGAGTGTAAGCATAAATGTTGTCGCGATGGAGTAGCGAAACCCCGGAAGAAGGCAGCAAGTGGTACACAAGCGTCAGAGACTGATAGCAAGCAGAGGAAACTTACTGGTATGAACGGTGTCCAAAGCAAGCGGAAGACATCCCTCGACCCCGAAAATGATAAGGAGAACCAGGAGCCAAGCGAAGTCGAAAGAATTATGGCTCCACTGAGGGCAAACAAGTCATCTCTACCCGTCGCTGCCACGTATAATTCGCCACGCGATCGAGTCAGCTCTGGAGTAGCCGATGTCGATGATCTGCCTAGCGACGATGAAATGGAGGAGCTGTTCAACGCTGCAGACTGTGACTGGGGTGTAAATGAGAGCACCGTGCGAGTGGACGACGAATCTATGGCAGATCTTGAAGCGAACATCACCCAACAAGCCCCGCAATCCCATGTGTCATTGCGAGATGTGCAGAGATACCCAGATGAGGAGCTGCTGGGCACCGGACAGAGCACCAGCCCTACTACGCAACGTGAGACGCAGACTATCGATAAAGCCAACTCCTCCGTCCAACTTGATGACGATGATACCTATATTGAATCGACGGCGAACGAGAACCTATCGTCAGGCAAGCATAATGATTTGCCAGCCTCAGAGAAGCTGTTCAAGTATGTGCCTAGTACCTGTACTCACGAAAATGAGACTGCAGAAGAGAAGAAATTATGCCTGTTCGAGGACGATCAGCGACGGAAATGGGATGGCTTTCCGCTGGCAATGTACGAGGAGTTCCATCGCTGTGCGGTGATCATCGACGGATAGCTGGTTCGAGGCGCCAATGGCATCCAAGGCGAGGTGCATGCTCGGTGAAGAGCAGGTTTGTATGCTAGGGCATTTTCAGTTGAGATAGCGATGAGCTAAGTATTTGTTATGTTCTGCTGCAGCCAGTCCGGCTCGGCCTAGAATTAGATACTCGACAGTGGAGTGGAAGACTCGCCTTCTTATCAATCGCTCGGCCGCTGTGTCCAGCTACGCTGATTGACGACGACAGGCAGCCAAGAGCACCGCAGTCTTACAAGAAGAATGTCCTGTATCAGGTGTTTGCCTGAAGGAGGCAACCATTGTCTTCGACACCAAATCGATGCCAGGACACTTCTTTGTCGATTTTGGAGGTGTTTGCTGGTGTGTACTTCAGCCGTGCAAGTCTGGTACTCATGGAGTCAAATGTAATTTGGCTTCAATGCTGGCATGTTCCTAGACATTGCAAAGAACACCGTTACCCAACAGAAGACTGCTCCTGCCTCAAGTGAAACTACCTCTGCGGGTACTCCCATTCCAAATCGCGCGTCTAAACAGGCAACCTCGACCCGTCCACATAGCAACAGTTTCAAGGTTCGACACCTCAGCCACGTACGTTCGCTTGCACCTCAACGTTGCGAAAGAACACCGACTAAGCAGTTTTCACGCATACGACCTGCCGTCAGGGTCCTCCTAGCTATTAAACGAGACTCGGACACATGCCATGGTTGGAGCAACGGTCTACGATCCTCAGGATCGTGCACATGAACTGCTCGCCAACCTCGTACGCAACTATCGCACCGGCAAATGGACTCCACCAACAACTGCAGACAAGTTGAAGGCTGCTCAGAAGACGAGAAGAAACCGAGACACCAAGAAGACTCGCAGCCCACCAGACCGCCATCACGACGAGACTATTGAGGCCTCCAACCGCGCCAGTAGCAGCGACAGTGCTCTTCCTGAGACATCCCTGGATGTACCTGCCATCAGCCAGCAGATCACCAACTCGCTTGTCGCTCGAAGACGGCTTGCTCGTCAAGAGCCTCCACAGACCACAGGAGAAGCGACAGTAATGCCACCTTTGGTTCTCTCTTTGCCATCAGCTGCCAACACTTCCGTCGCTCACATCCGTCCACAACGCCAGACTCGAAGTAAACAGACGTGTGTTGTGATCCTCAAGTATGGCACGAAAAATGCATATAGACTTCCTTCGGGCCTTATTCAACAGCCTCCTGCAACGACTTCGGAGGAAAATCAAGTACCACACTCGTCAGCTCCTTCCGTCAGCAGAACCAGACAAAGCCGTAAAAGGTCCATTACCGAGATCATGAACACCCGCAGCCGAGATCCGGAGGGTCTTGCCTCAGGCATCGAGAACGCAGAGACGGAGGTGCCGGGCATGGAATATCCTCGTGAGAACCTACCTTCTGCGACACCAGTCCTCAATTTACCAGATATGGATGCCGTTGGGCAACGTGCCAGGACGCTCTGGGAGATACCCGACTCCGAGGATGAAGTGGAGATTCCCGACTCCGAGGACGATAGCGTTGAGTCGCTATCGGGGCCACCAGCGCGACTGCTGCAATGGCAAGATGGCTCGACGATGTCCACGACGACATCTGCTCCAACATCGCCCTCCATGGCTGGTTTACCTGACAAGACTGTACTCATCTGGAAGCAGCCTACAACTTTGAACTCGGCTGCATTGGATGGTACAACCAGAGAAGATTTCAGGAAAGCTCAACGTGCGTCCAGATCCTGTCTAGGCGGCCAGGCAGTCGAGCTCACACCAGTGATCGCAGAGACAGGTCTCTCTGCGTCGGCCCAAGTCTTGTCGACCTCTACAGTAAAGGCAACGAGATCTAGCGCCCGGACGGCATCAGCAACAAAGCGGAGCCGACCTATATATCACGACTTGGACGAGACAGAGAGTGATGACGATGGACTGGTCCGAAAGGGTAGAGACAAGAAAGGACGCTTCAAAACGCGCCCAACCAAGAGGGTGCGACATACGGAATTCCAGAATCTGTCGGCTGAGTCCTTTCAGTAGCACGAGACAGAAGAGACCGACTGATGGAGCGCGTAGTGGAAAAGATGCATGAGCATGTTGGATTGCGACAATGAGATCAAGATAATCAGAGGTGTTGATGGTTCCAAGGAAAGGCAAATTTACGGAGGGCAAGGCAGGCGTCGGGAAAATTGTATGCGGGCCCCTGGAGCGATCCGCCTCGCCTCCGCCCTGAGCATAGTATCGAAGCTCACGAGTTCCAGTATGTACGGTATTACATGTACTATCACAATATTAAAGGACGACAGTCGTGTCTCGGTTGCCGATCTGCGTCATCTCTAGTTGCAACTATAAGAGTGTGCCGACATACCACAGTGTGCTCCTGCATCGGCACCCTCTTGTGAGCGGATCGCCTTATGACGTCATTGGACATTGACTTCTGGTTTGCCTCGCCCGAGGCCACTGGCACAAAGTTTACTGGTGATCCGACATCCTTCCTCAGATGTCTTATGGTTTGTCTCTCATGCGCTCTTCCGACCATCGCCGCGTCTAGATCATGTCGCAGCCCGTTCCGCCCAATGACTTCCACGTCGCCATCGTCGTACGTACCGCGTCCCCGATCTGCCCTTAGATGAGCTCGTTTCCCGAGGGCCCGCCTTCTACATTGCCTTAACTCGTATTCCCCACAGCACTACGACCAGAGCTTAGCACCTCTAACACAGGCTCCCAACAGGCGCCGGCATCGCAGGGCTAGCTCTAGCACTCGCCCTGCACAACAAATCTATCCCTTTCACGCTCTACGAGTCCGCGGCCGAGTTCTCGGTCGTGGGCGCGGGGATTGGGTTTGGGCCCAATGGGTTACGGGCGATGGATGGGATTGAGAAGCGGTTCAGGGCGAGGTATGATGAGGTCTGTGTTGGAAATCGGGGGAAGGGGAAGGAGGGGGTGTTCTTTGAGGGGATGTTGCTGGAGCAGGGGTTGGGATCGCATGAGGAGTGGTATGGGGGTGGGAATGGGAGGTCTGGGTGGGGTGGGAAGGGGTATACGAGGAAGTCGGTATGTTCGTGGTGTGGTTACACATGCTTTTGAGATGGGACTATGCGTTTGCTGATGGACTGAATGGTCAAGGCCCACCGCAAAGATCTTCTCGACATCATGACCAGCTATATCCCGGCTGAGAGGGTCGTCTTCAGCAAGGTTCTTACGGACATTGTTCAGGATCTAGAAGGCGTCACTCTCACGTTCGCGGACGGCGAGCAGGTCAAAGCAAGCATCCTCGCAGGTGTCGAGGGCATTCAAAGTGTGACACGCAAGCATGTCTTAGAGCGGTCTCCCCAGGAAATCGCGCCGGTGTATGCGGGATCGTACTGCTACCGCGCAGTCATACCGATCGAGGAGGCACAGGAGATTTTGGGTGAGCTCACTGATGTGGCGAAGTTCTACTTTGGGCAAGATCGGGGATGTGTCACATATAGAATTTCTGGAGGACGGGTGAGTACGCGGCTCTTTCCAGTCCCTTATGATCTTGACGAAACCTGAGGTGAATGGTGACTGAACGTACAGGAATTCAACTTTCTTCTCTGCGTAGCAGACGGTAAGCCGTGGCCATCATCGGACACTGTGACCGAGAGGCTGAGTCATGAGGAGATGATGGCCGACTTCGCGGATCCGAACATCGACGATAGATTCCGTCGCCTGCTCTCGAAAGCGAACCCCGTGAAATGGGGCTTGTTTCATCACAAGCACACCTCGACATACTATCGTGGTCGTGTCGTACTACTTGGAGACAGCGCTCATGCGTCTCTACCGTTCCAAGCTGCCGGAGCCGGCCAAGGTGTTGAGGACGCCTACGTGCTTGCTAATCTTCTAGAAAAGCTCTTGTCTTCGGCAGCGGGAGAGCCTGCTTCAAATATGCTCATTGAGGCGGCATTGAAGGGGTATGACGCTGTTCGCCGTCCACGAGCACAGAAGCAGCTAGAACAATCGGCTGAGGTCGCAGATATGCTGTTCTTCCAGCATCTGGAAACAGGTTCAGACATGACTAAGGTCCTAGCGAAGATGCAGCATGGCCGGTTCGACTGGCTGTGGGGCCATGACCTGGAAGACGACGTTCAAGCGGCATACCGAATTATGGATGAGGCTGTTGTTCCGCCAGGAAAGGAAGATGCGACTTAATCAAGAATGAAGGATTTTGTACTTCATGCACCGTTTCCGACGCAGTGTATGGGAAGGTCCAGCTCCCAGTTCCGCATGAAGAAGGAGGTCGCACACGAGGACCAATTCGCTATGACACGCCGACAGCATGGTGCTGACGATTCTGTCAAGCTACCAGCTGGAAACACTCCAATGATGCAAGCTCGAAGCATTGTATGGCTCGTCGATGGTAACAGGCGGAGAAGTTAGCTGGTCATATGTCAGAATCCCCGAGTCTGCCTCGAGACAGTGACACTGGGCCGCGGTTGCCTTGCAGGGCAGACTGGGCTCATCAAAACGCAGCCGCAACGAGATACTCCGAGGAAGTGCAGTTGCACAAAGCGGAGAGTCGTGCTTATCAATTGGCAGGAACACTGGCGCCAAGCTCACCTTGTGCCTTAGCTTGTGGCTTCAGTGCTTGGTTAAGCGAAGCATTCAGACCGGTCCGCCAGTAACGGACGTCCAAAAAGTTGCTTGTACCGATACGCAAGACAATATCACTTGGCAACGACTCAATCTGCATGGTCTCCCTGACAAGCAAATCACACTCATGTTAGCAGACATGGACCGCGTCGAAAAACGGTGCAGGCTGAGGCAGGCTCGCAGGGTACTGCTTAACCCCTGTTTAGCGACCGAGGCACCTAGCGAGCTCGACACCACGAATGGGGGCCATTTCACCAGCTTAATCAGTTTGGGCTACACAACCGCTCGTATTCGCATGGCACGTATCTACTCATAAAGCATGTCAGTCGCGCAAATTGCGGCGACGTGCCTTCCTGCAGCGCAGGACCACAGTCGCCATGGCTGACATGTTGACTGTTGGTTACGTGTCAGGTGCGATCGCTGCGGCAGTCGCAGTCGTGCAATTCCTGGTGCCCAATGCTCTTGCTCTCGTTCTTGTGGGGGTATTGACCGACACTCACACTGCAGTAACATGGTCAGTGGTAGGCAGGGCATTGAGCGGGACACACTGGCCTTTGGCACTTCGATCTGATCAGACGGCTTCATATGGCGTGGCCAGGCGCGTCAGCATCATCATATGGATCAAACCTCTTGTTCTGCTGCTCATTGCAGTAGCGGCTATTGTCAGTGAGTGATCTGTGGAGAACAACCCAGAGCAAGTCTTCGGACCGCCTCCGTCGACTGCTGCCGATCTCATAATTGATAGAAGGTCACTGAAACGAGTTTGATAGCGCCCATGGGGCTTTTCGAAGCCATTACCGTTTCCGGAGATACTGAGCCTGCAGCGTTCTTCCAAATCGATGATCGCGGTATACTTGGCTTAGGGACAGCGCCACGTACTTCCTTCGGAATGATGAGGACGTGTGGTAACGTCTTCCTTCCCAAAATATGCCCGGGAAGCTCAGGCAGCGTGAATGTCTCGCGTGACGAGCGTTGGACAAACTCTAGTACTGAAGGCTGGGACTGGAGGATACCGGAAGATCTGGCTCAACTATATCAAAGCGGCTTGAAGTTGCAACCTTCGACCGTGTCAAGCTTCTTCGATATCGAATCCCGGCTGTACAACATCGAATTCAATCCGGATCAGAACAACCAAACCTACATAGTGGATTCCTTTCGACCTCTCGGCAGTTTCGTCCTCAGTGACAAGGCCACAGCAGTGGACGGGCTCATCATCGATGTAGAGAATGGAGCAATAGGATTCAGGAACCACACTGCACCCACGCGGGCACAATTTGGGGCGGAGTGGGAGGAGGATCTCCTCTTCCTTCAACCGGAGACATCCTGTGCGTCGCTGAATCTGTCCCTCCGCCTCGATATCCCACAATCAGGTAACGATGGCGATGGAACGCAGTATCTAGTTGACAACGGCGGCTTCGTCAACATGGATGTCGAAAGCCCATGGCGACTGAAGATGGGAGATTACGTCTGGTACGACAATACTCAGGAAGACGCACAGCTTGAGTGGCGGGCTCGAGCAACAGCGTGGACTGTGGACGTGCTGCACGCCTATTTCATGAATGTTACGAAAGCTGGCGATCGCAAAGCGTACATTAACTCAGAGCTAGGAAGGCAATTTCCCATTAACAGCACCTTTCTAAAGAGCGATGTCAATCAAATTGATGCCACGGACCACTACTATGCCCTCATAACGAACTATCCAAGCGCCGCCGAGATCAACGGAACAGTCGAGATCTACAACCAGTCTTGGGCCGGCAATTATTATCCAAACCCATTCAATATGTCGAGCTTGAATTTCACATACCTCGGAGATCAGTGCTCAGGAGTCGGATCAGACCTGGTGGGAATGGTGAACATGACCAACATCCACGTCAAGTGTGGTCTAGTGTCTGGAACAGGACAACCTCTTGGTGGAGGAGAGAAAATGCTGATGTACGTACTCCCAAGAACTTGAACCAGCCCAGACATCAGACCCAAGAATCCGGCACTTTTCCGATATACATTGTCTCTAATGAGTCCAACAGTCCCAGACCAAACACAAATTGGACGAGGCCTGTTTACAGTTGCGCCAGCGCCGTTAAAGCCACAATCAAAACAGTCCGCCTTCGATACAATTCTACCAACAACGATCCTCAGCCATTCAACCGCCTCGAAGTTGTGAGTATCTTGGACAAGACCTACGACAAAGATAACTTGCCACTCTGGGGCATAGAAGACGCGAATATGACGGTCATGAATCTAGACCCTCTGTGGGGACTCATCGACCCTGAGCAAGCGAACCACGTCAACCTTTCGACGATCCGTTCTGACCATCTGTACCTACCCGCCGGCTCAAGCTCGATAATGTCAGGCAGCGGAGGTACGGTCTACATCCCGGCCAGCACAATGCCCACGAGCGTGTGGTCGAAAGTCTACGATACCGGCAGTACGCTGAACACAGGCACCGACTATACCGGTGCCAGTAATCTGGCCCTGTATAAAAAATGGGACAACCTCACCCAGACTGCCGGTGGGACTGCACAAATGATGAATCTCATGTGGATGGACTATGCTGCAAACGCTCTGACTGGATCGCGTGGCCAGCTCACAACGAATCTGCTTCCCCCAAACCTGGCCCCTACGCTCAGAACGAGCCACCACATGGCAAAGCGAGAGGGCGATGACGATCTACCGAGCACAGTGTGCCAGTTCACCTTTATCGCCGCACTATCCGGTATCGATGGGTCTACGGCATCCCAGCATTCCTTACAGTCGTCGTTGTCGGCCTCATCTGCTTGGCGGCCCTCATCACTATCCTCATCGGCCGCTCGTCACCGCGACGCATCGAGCATTTCCTCTGGAATCTCTCTGCCGGCAGGATTCTGACCTCCTTCCTCTACCCTGCTCGAGCCACATGCAGACCGAGACGAAAGAGTGGATTCGCAATGTTGGCAGCGCGGACATCACTATTACGCGCAGTTGGGGCGCGCATGGTGGACTTGGTCCGCAAAATGCTGTCACTGGCGGAGGAGGATTTGCTGGGGTAGCGACGAATTATGAGCGTGTTGCGCAGAGGGAGGAAGAGGATTCGAGTGAAGGAGTTGAGATGAAGGACGCGGTGGTAGCGCAGACGAAGCCTCTAGCTGGGCACGGGAACGTGAATGGTGGTGGATCGCCAGAGGTGCAGTATCGGCCGAACGCTGGTATGAATCAAGACTATGTCGTGCATAGGTAAGAGCAAGAAGTTTTATCTCACGAATGCGGCGCTGGAAAACCTTGAGATATCCTCTGAAGCTTTGAGATAGCTTCGTAGTGATGACATAACATTATATCAAAGGAGGATGACGGCTTGAAGTCGGCAATGAAATTAGATAGCTGATGCATCATGATGTTGACTGCCTCCGTTTCTGCATAAGTAAATTCAACTGTCGATGGAGCTCTACTGCTTCAGAACACGTCCAAGAATCTTCCCCAGCACGCCCCTAATCAATACCGGTTCACCGCCCCTATTGCTCGCAGCCTCGAGAACAACAGCCACGCTCACCGCAAACACAACCTGCTCTCGCCGCTGATACCTCTTCTCATACACCCTGGGCAACAACGTCGAGAGCGCCTTGGGCGCTACAAAGAACGCAATCTCCTGCCGCCTGCTCGCCTTCTCGAGCAGGATCGACCAGCCGCAGGCCAGACAGCCTGCTAGGGTGCAGAGACCTGAGTCCCACATTTGTGGTGTGATGGTTTTGGGTGAAAAGAGTCGAGGGCCGAGGCGGGTCCGTGCAAGGCAGACGGCGTAGTAGAAGAGGGAGATAAATGCGGCGAGGAAGGAGGAGGAACGGGCTGCTGCGGTGAAGGCGCTGCGGAAGGCTGGGAGGGTTGGTGTGCGGATCTTGGAGAGGAGCTGGAGTGGCAAGTAGAGGGCCATGGAAAATTTGAAGCCGTTGAGGAAGCGGGAGAGGGCATGTACTTCGCAGTTTGGGCCGGCGCCACAATGGTAAAGCTCGCATGGGATAGGGATGGTTTGGGAAGGGTCGCCCCATTTCTGGGGCAGGCCGAGCTCATCGCATAGGCTGGTCAGGAGTGGTGCTTGGCCTGTTTCTTGGCCGTAGATGAACTCGCCTTCGCGGCAGCGGCGGAGGGCGGTGATGAGGCGCGGGTCGATGTTGGCGGCGGTGGATATCCATTTGTTGTAGGCTCGGGGGAGGCGTTCTGGGGAGTAGAACCATGCCCACATTATGATGGCGGCGGAGGTGGCGAAGACGCTTGGGTCCGCTAGCTTCTTGATGAGGGTGGAAAGCCGCGATGCAACGTACTCCGGGTGATGTGGTGAAGATCGTGTGCGGATCCATGTTTTGATGACCAGGACGTCGAGCGCTCGGACAAGGGCAAAGAGTGTAAAGTCGGAAGTCTTTCCGGCGAAACGAGGTCGGTATCCTGGAGGAGGGAGATGATGCTTGTTTGGCGATTCGTAGTGCATGTCCTCGAAGTCCTTGATTCCTCGGGACCGTGCTCGCTTTCTCGACCATTCTCTATCCCGATTCAGCAGGTCGAAGGCGAGCCATGCCGAAAAGAATGTGCAGATGAAGCGCAAATTGACCATCACCCGTGAAGCTGCTCGCGATATGGACAGCCTTTGACCAATGACAGAGGACAGCCATTGCAAGATTGCTCGTACGATCCGTGTAGTGATTGTCGGGCCGGCGACTATGATGCGCAAGCCGTTGGGAATCGGTTGAACTGTGTTGAAGTTCGTAAGATTGTTGCAAGCAGGTTCAGCTTGTACTCCGTGCTGAGGCCGCGCCTTCTGAGTACACGCAGGAGACCAAAGAGTCGAGGGCCAGTCGAGAAGGCATAGCTAAAGGCGTAGGCACGTAGGACTGGCTTCAGTCGTTGTAGGTGCTCACGATGGAGAAGGGGAGCCATGTCGGTCATATTCGCATTTGGCTCGCTTTGCCGTTGCAATGGACCATCGACATCCGTGGTTGCGAAGATGTTTCTTAGTTCGAGGTCGGAGACACACGAGAATACTTGCACATGGCAATGGACGCAGGGCTGTGGACGAGACATGTGAAGCCCTTGCTACGAAATCGTGTTCTTGGCGGCCTCGGTATACCAAGATGGCCATGATTGGCCAGCTGTTAGGCATATCAGACGTTTGATATTGACTCGCCTTCTTCTACAGCGTCTTTTCTGGCAACCTTACGCCGCAAGGTTTGCGAAACAATGGCTTTCGATCGAGCTACGACGTAGTATGCGAGATCCAACAGACAGATAGAAGCTGAAATGGGAAGGTATCTATCCGTTCCTGTTGCTCAGCTGGCGACCTGACGGTAACTGCCAGCGGAGTCCAGTTACAGCAACAAAGACAGAAATGATTTTCGACTACCTATACATGATGGCACTATGTCGGCCGATATTCCAAAGGACCTAGTACTAACGAAGCTCAAATGATGGTCACCGCTGGCTGCGATGAGCGTCGAACTGGGTTCTGACGTAGCTCAAGTGATGGTCAACGCTGACTCAAGTCGAAGCTGTTACGAGATACAGCCAGGAAGTATTTGTGTACAAACCCGATCCTTATACTCATCTTTCACGTTTCGAGAATTCCTCTTTTCGCGTCGCGTCTGCAGTCCAGCCAAGGCGTCAAATCGCGCCTGCGACTGCCAACCCAGCATCTGAAACGCTGTCGACTGCACCTTCCGCTCAGACCTCAATACTGCGCAACCAATCGGGCTGCACCATATACGAAAACTTCCTCGGCCCTTCGTCGATCACTTTCGTTTGTATGCGAGCGAGTCCTCGCTTCTGGGTTCATCGATATTAGCGTCCCACGATCGGCCAGGTCGTTGATCCTGGGTCGCGACCCTGGCACTGTGTGCTTTGACTTGACACATCTCTTGGTCACCGATCCTTGACGACCAGAAGCAGTCGCAGAGTAAACGAGGCTCGAGCGGAGCTGGCTCTCAGTAGCACTACTAGCAACCTCGGCTGCGCCTCCCGTACTGATGCAATCGAAGCATGTCACTGATGCAAGATATATCTCTTGGCAGGCGTTTGAGAAACGTGCCTGACCTGCGCGACCGTTCGCAACTTCCAATGAGAGAGCAGCCAACTCTGGCAAGACCGAGGCAGCGAGATTTGTCCATGATCCGAAGACATAACATTGCTCGCAGTCGAGGGAGGCCCAACCGAGTGCGATGACTTACGTTGTCTGGGGTACTGAACCTGAATTTGAGATTCTGGCGGATCTCATCGTTTTAGGGAGACTGTCGAGATTCAGAGCAAGGAACATTGACACTGCCTAGATTCCGAGCTCTTTGGTACTATAAAGCCCACCTCGACGCAGACAGGTCAATTTCCAACGACTGTGCATACCTCACTGATCATCAAAGCTCTCGAACATCGATCAGTACCAAATCGAACATCAATCAATTCCGACTCGAGAATCGATCAATTCCGACTCCACCATCGATCAACTCCAGCTCGACCATCGATCCATTTCAACTCGGACATCAATCAGTTCCAACTCGGACATTGATCTATTCGGACTCGAATATCGATCACTTCAAACTCGAATATCGATCAATTACAACTCCAATATCGATCAGTCCCAACACTCTTCGTCGCCATGCAGCACAGGCACATGCTCCTGCTCCTTCTAGCCGCGTCGGCGTCCGCATTCCCAGCAAAGGCTGTCAACAAGCGCCAGATCACCTGCGCTCCAGTCCATCTCATCGTCGCCCGCGCATCTGGCGAGGCCCCCGGGGAGGGCATCATTGGTGCAGTCAGCGAAGATGTGCAAGCTCGCGTTGCAGGCTCCGATGCAGAGTCCGTCGACTACCCTGCCACACTGGCCAACTACCAGGAGTCAGAAGCCGCAGGCGTTGCAGAGATGACTCGACTCGTGAGCGAATACGCTGCAGCCTGCCCAGACAGCGAGATAGTCCTTATGGGCTACTCTCAGGGCGGACAGGTCACGATGGACGTTCTGTGCGGAACAAGCAGTGTCGGCTTTCCGGCAACTGAGCCTCTGTCCGCCGACATCGCCAGTCAGATCTCTGCGGTGGTTGTTATGGGGGAGCCGACGTTCGTACCCGGAGAGCCGTATACAGTGGGAGACGCTGCTGATGGTGCTGTGAGTCAAATCCTGGTGGTCGAAAGCTCACCTCCCTCTCCAACCCTTTTCCGACCAGCCTCTTTGCCTGGTGGTCAACAGCTCACCTTCCACTCCACTGCCTCTCCGACCAGACTCTTTGCCTGGTGGTCAACAGCTCACCTTCCTCTCCAATCCCTCTCCAATCCCTCTCCAACCAGCCTCTCTGCCTGGTGGTCCACAGCTCGCTTCTCCTTCCAAATGACCAGCCGCACTCCCTGGTGGTCCACAGCACAGAATCCCCCCCAACAATACAAATCCTAAAAATGCCAAAATCACAAAACATCTTCGCTGTGGTTTTCGTTTCGTCCCCAGATGAACGATTCAGAAGTTTGCAGCCCGAACCCCTCGCGACACTGCTCTGGTACAGCTTGTCTGACTTATACTCTAGGTGTTTCCACGCCAGGATACAGCATCTTGCTTGGCATTCGCAGATCGGATACAAAGCTACTGCTCAGAAGGAGACACGTTCTGCGACAGCGGCAGCTCATTGCTGACCCACTTGGGCTACGTCAGAGCGTTCGGCGATGAAGCGGCTGATTTCGTGGTCGGCCGGGTTGCTGGCGCGGCCAGGGTATGACAACTTTGTTTAAGACGAAGTCGACGGAGCAAGGAGACTGATCTGACGGAAGAGAGAGACTGATCGGACGGAAGAGAGAGACTGATCTGACAACACAGAGAGAGTCATCTGACGAGCGGTAGTGGTCAATTTGAAGAGACGAAGAGACCGGTCCGACGAATGGCAGAGATCACGAGACGAAGAGACTGCTTGAAAGGTTGTCAGGCTATGACCACAAGTACTGGTTAGCTTTAGCACGTAAGATCGTTGATCGTTTTCTGGGTCAGGCGGGCACTAAAGGTCTGATCTCAAGCAAGGTCGCTGGCGATGTAGACGAGACAAAGTCTTGTAGACAATTTGCACGAATGGCGCTGGAGGCATCAAATTGATTACCGAATTTTGTAGAACTTTTAGCCAGGGAGGCCGCTGAAGGTCCAGAACCAGGTTGCTAGTCGGTGGGCAGGCTTGAGATGAGCGTTACTTGAGCGTCACTGACAGGTCAAGTCGCACAAATGGGTATTGCAGATTTTCCGCACAGGGTGGGCTCTGTGTGAGAACCATCAATGTTTCCTACAGAATGATGCCTTGTCATGATTTTCACGCCAGGGCGGCCTCTACGCCAGAATCTCGATATTCTTCTACTCTTCGCTGGTCAAGTAAGAGGCTTTTGGATGAGCCTCAGCAGAGAGTCAATTATAAGAAAGGTTCATCGCGGACTTTCTGGCCCGGGAGCTGGCCCGGGAGGACGCTGGAGGTCCGTAGTTCTGCGCTGGAGAAATCGGCAGGCTTGACACGAGCGTCAGTTCAGCGTCAGTTGAGCGGCAATGCGTAGGAAAAAATTCATCGTACAACCCGGCCAGGGAGGCCTCTGCACGGATTCTGACTCAATGTAAGACCAGGTAAAAGATGAACTTTGTCCACGAATACTTCCTGGCTATGTCTCGTAGAGTCTATGTTCTATTATGTTCTCGAGAAAAGATATATGCACACACCTCTATTTGCCTAGTCTTGGAGGCCCCTGGCTGTCAGCGACACCTCGTGCCTTCTCGATCGCCTCAATCCGCTCGCGTTCCGCCTTCGCAATCGCTTCTGCCTTGCGTTTCTCGTACCTTGCGGTCTGCTCTGGACGCTTTACAGAGATGTCCTTCTCCTTGAAATCAGAGAAGAGCTGCTTGAAGACGTACTCGCAGAAGTAGCAACCGAAGTAGTCGATGATCATGAGCCATACAAGAGTCGATTTGAATCCCACAGGGAATTTGACCAGGCTTAGCTGCTCGTTGAGCTCGGGCATGAATTCGGTAGCACCAGCGAATGCAACGAATGAGCAAGCGACCAAGCCCCAGAACATGCCTTTGTTCTCACGAATGCTTTCTCGGAATGGGCGTCCTTGGTAGTTGATAGCAAAGGTCGAGACTTGCTGAATGAGTTGCATCAGATACACAGAGCTGTTGAGCAGTGAAGGCGCGAACTCGCCCTCGAGATCAACCTCTTCGTCCCGTGGCTCGAATTTGTACACTGTGTTTGACAGGTGAATCAAGGTTCCGCAATGTATCGCGAACTGACTCAGTACGGAACCGAGAATGTACATGTTGAGAATATTGGACTGAGGTCGTTCACGCGACAATGCTTCCACAGGTTTCGCTCGAGAGATTGACAGGAAGCAGACTGACATCAACATGCCGCTGATGGTGACCTGACTGTCGCCAAACTTGATACCAGCAAGATAAATCACAGACAGGCTGTAAGCGCTGATCAAACAGTTGAGCGCCAGGATCTTGTACATCTGAATTGTAGCGACCAGGGTGCACCGGCCTTGTCTGATGATGTTCGGGATCGCCACAACGTTGGCAAGTTTACTGGTAAAAGGCGCTGCGACTGAGGCGTCACCTAGCTTGATAGTCGGCGGCTCAGCGTCCTCGAGCTCTTGCTGAAGCATGCTCGATGTGAGCTTGTCAGCCCATCCGGCAGCCTTCTGCGCGGCTTCCTTCTGCTTCCGCTGCTGTGGCGTCAAGCTCGCATCAGCCTGCTGCAGGGCCTTTGCGCCAGGCGAGATGACTTCCTCTACTGCACCGTTCGCCGCAGCACCATTTGGTTGATCCTCAAGCGTAAGACCCTTTGCGTCTGCGATCTGCTTCATTGCCTTGTCATAGTGAGGATTGCTTGGTCCTGGCGGATACATGTGAGCAATGCCGATAGGAATTGGAGGTGCTGGCTGGTTGAAACGCTTCATCATCGCAGCTTGCTTCTCGTAGATCTCTTTCATTTTATTGTGCCGGAAGTGGTCCGAGATTGATTTGAGATCATCTGTCGAGCCGTTGAGCAGAGCTACACCGATATGCGCTTGCTTGAGTGCGCCAACATCGTTCGTACCATCACCAGCCATCAGTGTTGTGTAGCCCATGTCCTTCAGCCCGATCAGAATCTCTTCCTTCTGCTTCGGCGACACGCGAGCGTAGACCCAAACATGTCTGATCAAAGAATACCAGCCCTTCTGTCCGGTGAACTTCGACAGCGCATAGCCTGTAACACAGAGATCGTTGTTCTGGAGGATTTTCGGATCAATGTCCGCTGTGGGGTCCACCGGAATGACAGTCTTTTCGTCGACGCTCTTCCAGACCAGTTTCGTGCCACTATCATCGTTCTCAGGTGCATCAAGAATCAAGCAATCACGATCGACAATCTCCACCTGGCGAGCCACATGGACTGCAGTCAAAGGATTATCACCGGTAATCATGACGACGCGGTGGCTACTCTCGTTGAGCATCTGGACAGCCTTGACAGCATCGTCTTTGAGTGGTGTCTGAAGAACCAGAAATCCAGCGAAGTGCAAGTCCTTCTCGACCTCTTCGCGCTTTAGGTCATTGATTCTCTTCTGACCAACTTCACCCTCGGTAGAGATGTACTTGTAAGCAAGTGCGAGCACTCTGGCGCCGTTACGAGTGAAGTACTTGAACGTCTCTTCATACTTCGGAGGGATGTCAACAAGCATCTTTCGAATAGTCTCCGGTGCTCCTTTGACTGCAACGAAAGTGCCCTTCGCCTTCTTGCCCGTCCGAGGATCAGTCATGAGCACCACCGCTACCGAGCTTTGCCGCTTCAAAGCGGACGAAAACTGGAAGCGGCGCTTGATTTGCACAATGTGGGCGGCTGAGGTATTGATAGGAGCATGCTTCTTGTTTCTAGGAGGCGGGGTGCTGGTAAGCGTGTCGTTACTGCCCAGCGACCAATTAAGGGCAGTCAAAGTGGCCTTTTCCATCGGGTCTCCGACAATGTCGCCCTCATCAAGTTTGACTAGGGCATGTGCAGTTGCCAGTACTAGAGTTGTGAACACTCCTACCTCCGGGACCTTTACGATGGCGGACTGTGCACCGTCGGCTTCTTTGGGCGCTCCTTCTTGGTTGAGAGTAAGGCCAGCGACGCCTTCCACGACAAGATCCTCACCAGTCAGCGTGCCAGTCTTGTCGAAGCAAGCAACGTCCACCCGGCCAGCAAACGGAATGCGGAATGGCTCTGTACAGAATATGGCAAATTTGCTGAGTGCTGCTAGACTGGTATCGACGGCGAGAGAAAGTTCCATGGGAAGCTCAGGTGGCACCACACTGGTGACGATGAGAATGCAGTCAAGGAGCAACTTCGACCGCTTGCGATCATTCCGGACGCCCTCTTGCCACACATACCATGATGCTGCGAGCGCGAAGACCAGCAAGAACAGGATGAACCAGAGAGCCTCGGCGTTGTTCGCTGAAACTCTCTCGGTTGCGAAGATCATTGTGCGGACCAGACTACCCTGATTCGTCTCGAACCCTGTCTTTTGAACGACAGCCACAGCGCCATTGTCAGGAGGGCGTGGAACACCGGACGGGAGACTTTTTGATACTTCTGTGCCTTCGACTGGTGCAGGATGAGTGATCTGCAGAACCTTGGTACCACCCCAAAGGAATGCATTCTTGTCAATCCCTTCTGGTTCGATACGCGCATCGCCTGGACGAAGCTGAACCGATTCTTTGAGCAGTGGTGTGCTCTCGCCGGACAACATGGCTTCATTGACAATCGCTGTGCCTTCAATGAGGAGCATATCGCAAGCGACTCCCGAATCTTCACCAGTGCGGCCAACAGAAGCCAGGTCGCCAGGTAGCAGTTTGTCACTCTTGATCTCGATCCATTTGCCAGCACGATAGACGTATAGATCGTAAGGTTTGATAGACATGCCACGGAACTCGTTCAGTGTTCTCTGCCGTTGCCATACGACAGTGCTTTCGAACATAACCAGCATAAAGAGAGTGAAGAGCGAGTAGTACCAATATTCGTCTAGAAGCCACAGACCGACGCAGAATATCTGGAAGATGAAGAAGGGCGCGACGGCGTGTTCTTTAAACAACTCTGTGAATGTTGGGACTGGGATATCGAAAGTGTTGTCTCCGTAATGATGGTGCACTTCGGCGACTTGCTTGTCAGAGAGACCTTTGGACAGCTGAAAGTCCTCCAGCAATGGCTTCTCGGGCCTATCTAGAGCGAAGGTGAGAGGCGCAAAGTAGCCTTATCGGGGTAGTAGATGAAGCGTCTCTTCTGGTAGAGGAATGAAGTTCGGCCGTCGGCTTCGCGCTCGAGTTTGCAGATCTGTGGAGTGCCGGAATTGGTAATGGGAATGACCTTGATCAGAGATGCTTCGTCGACTGAGTGTGCTTTGTAGGTTGTAAACGTGGTTGCGACGCTGACACTCCATTTGGTGGACAGCCAGGCCAGGGACTGCAGTGTAGCAATGGTGGCCACCCAGACGAAGGTCCACTCTTTGCCATCGATGTAGTCATCGTACAGGTCTTCGTTGGTGTAGACGGCCAGGAAGATAGGCCACAGGATCGTGAACGGCCATACGTACTGCCGCAGGAACAGTGGACGAGGATTATGCAGACTGGCAGCCTGTATCTGCTCGTTGTTGACGAGCTTGGAGGGTGCTTCTGCCATGGCTGCTGACGAGCCTCAGTCAAGAGCTCGCTACCACAAGATGATTGATGATATGAGAGGAGAGGTGGTCGTGGTAGAAGCGCAGAGAATCATGCAGTTGCGGCAACTTTTCTGGGGCAACTTTTCTGGGACAACTCGCTTCAAGCAATCGCGGCTTCACGGCCGCCTCGCGCAGTGGAGCGCCCGGAAAAAGTTGCCCCCGGCCTTCCGATCGATATCTCTTGGCACTGCCTCCTTCCTCTGTGTCACAATACCTGTCGTTCACTCTTGCCCGCCATAACTTTGACTCATACGAATACCCCGACTCGTCCTCGTCTTCTTGTGTTCTCTGGACGACTCACCGTCGGAGAGCTCTAGTTTCCGGATCTCTTCCTAGGAATTCTTTCCAGCAACTATTCTTGGCTCTGTTTCTGGTGCTTGGCAAAAATCAAACATGGCGGACAGTGGCGGAGGTGACAAATCACTCCCAGAGCGGGTCAAGGAAAAGGTCAAGGAGAACATACCAGGTACTGCCGAACAGAAAGAAAAGAAGGAAAAGAAGATAAAGGCACCGAAACCGCCAAAAGCTCCAAAAGCACCAGCAGAGACGAAGGAAGCCAATGCCAAACCACCCAAACCAGCCAAAGCAGAGCCTGCTGCACCACTCGATCCAGATGCTATGTTCAAGGAAGGCTGGCTTGCCAGTGTGCGAAAAGAGCGACCAGAGCAGGAGTCGGTGGTTACACGGTTCCCACCTGAACCAAATGGCTATCTTCACATTGGTCACAGCAAGGCCATCGCTGTCAACTTCGGATTTGCCAAGTATTACAAAGGCATCTGTAATCTACGGTTCGATGACACCAACCCTGAAGCAGAGGAGGAGATCTACTTCAAGAAGATTGAGGAAATCGTGCGCTGGTTGGGTTTCGATCCAGCAAGGATAACTTACTCCAGCGACTTCTTTGATAAGCTGTATGAGCTCGCAGAAAAGCTGATCTCCATCGACGGTGCGTATGTGTGTCACTGCACGCCAGATGACCTCAAAGACCAGCGAGGTGGCACTGATCCAAAGAACAAGAAGCCTCGCTATGCCTGCAAGCACCGCTCACGGCCAACGGAGGAGTCTCTAGCTGAGTTTCGAGCCATGAGAGAAGGGAAGTACAAACCAGGAGAAGCATTCTTGCGCATGAAGACGGATGATTTTAAGATCGGCAACCCACAGATGTGGGATCTTGTGGCGTATCGGATTCTCGAAAAGCCTCATCATCGCACCGGCGACAAATGGCGGATCTATCCCACGTACGACTTCACTCACTGCCTATGCGACAGCTTCGAGGGCATCACCCACTCTCTGTGCACGACTGAGTTCATACTGTCTCGAGAGTCATACGAATGGCTGAACAACACTGTCGACGTTCCCCACAAGCCGATGCAGAGAGAATATGGTAGACTCAATGTCACCGGCACAATCATGTCAAAGCGGAAGATCAAGAAGCTAGTCGACGAGGGCTATGTCAACGGCTGGGACGATCCTCGCATCTACACTCTTGTTGCTCTTCGTCGACGCGGAATACCACCGGGTGCTATTCTGTCGTTCGTCAACGAATTGGGCGTGACCACAGCAAAGACCAACATCCAGATCACACGGTTCGAGCAGTCAGTTCGGAAATACCTGGAGATGACCACACCACGGCTGATGCTGATCCTCGATCCGATCAAGGTCATCATTGACGACCTACCCGATGACTACATCGAAGAGCTCGAAAATGGATTCGGTCCCAAGGATGTTGACATGGGCTCGCATAAGATACCGTTCACCAAGACGGTGTATATCGACCGGGAAGACTTCCGAGAAGTTGACAGTAAGGACTTCTTCCGAATGGCACCTGGAAAGCCAGTCGGTCTGCTGAAGGTCCCATTTCCTATCACGGCCAAGAGCTTCGTCAAAGACGAGACCACCGGCCTGGTAACGGAAGTCCATGCCAGCTACGACCGACCACCAGAAGGTGAGAAGTTCAAGAAACCAAAGGCATACATCCAATGGGTAGGCGAGTCAGCCACTCATAAGTCTCCCATCAGAGCTGAGGTCAGGGTTTTCGACCCGCTCTTCAAGTCGGATGACCCAGACTCGGTCGAGCCAAGTTTCATTGCCGACATTCGAGAGGATTCTCTGAAGGTGTACCCAAATGCGGTGATCGAGGCCGGATTCGAGGAGATTGACCGTCGTAGACCATGGCCGCAGGAAGCAGGGGAGAGCAAGAAGGAGGATTGCGGTCCCGAGTCTGTGAGATTTCAGGGCATGCGCATTGGCTACTTCTGCAAAGACAAGGACTCTACGGATACGAAGGTGGTGCTGAACCGAATCGTGAGCCTCAAGGAGGATGCTGGCAAGGGATCCTGACCGGAGGTGTACTCGTTGTACGTGCAGAGGACTACCGCTACCACGGGCATATGTCAGGGCTCCGAGCTCATCAGGCGCACAGCGAAGAGTATTATGATCAGCCTTGTAAGAGAACAGATGGCATGATGTAGCACAGAAAGCTGCCACAGACTTGTGCCACCCAGTATCTGTCGCGGGGCTTGCCGTTCCATTAGACGCGGAGCTGATAGCGATAGAAGAGTCAATTTCGACTTCATGAGCCGGCCGCGGAGACAATGCTTAGGTAGCCTCTGATCCTCTCGGAATAACTAGGTAGTACCAAGGATGCAACTGATCGAAGAAGGCGAATTATTGAGATGGTTAGCTTGGAAGTCTGGGCGCTCATCCCTGTATCACGATGCCCGTAGGCGGCGATATTGCCTTGCCCCTCGTAACCGTCTCCAACTCACTTGACCCTGTGTCTCATATCGAGCCGCGACCTCTTGTCAAAGCCCTACTTCATGGGACCCTCAAGGAGCCATGTCGAGGCGCACAATCGGCGGCGGAAGAGTGCTGGGTAGTGGGAAAGGCATCTCATCCGCCGCATCCGCCTCACAGTCCAAGTCGCCGCTGAACGTGCCGAACCATGTCGTCTCTCCTGCCGCCTCGAGCCTGTCACTCGACTCTCCTGCCCCGACCGCAGGCAGCTCGACGCCTCCCTCGAACGAGTCACAGGATGCGACTTCCCGGCTATCCATCGAGCATGGCCCAAGGGACTTGTCAGTGGCAGCCACTGCAGCAGGCGACCGCCTGGTCTGCCCAATCTGCAACGAGGAGATGATGACGCTGCTACAATTGAACCGCCATCTGGATGATGCACACAAGGAGATTGAGCAGGAAGAACAAGAGGAGGTTGCGGACTGGTTCAAGCAGCAGATGATCAAGGCGAAGAAGTTCCAGCCGCTGGCCGTACTCAACCAGAAGTTGAAAGGTCTCGATGTCTTTGAGTCGAATAACGATATTGCACGGACTTCTACGCCTACGCCGCGGGCGGACCATGCCTCTTCTACAGGCAGGGATGGGACTGTCTCTGCGCCGCCGGCTCCCATGCCGCCGAAGAAGGAGACTATTGACCCTGACGAGGTAGTCAGGAAGGACCACTGGCAACGTCGGTCTGGCTACGATGTCTGCTCAGACCCGACTTGTGGGAAGCGCCTGGGCTCGACGTCGAATGGTATTGTCAATTGTCGATGCTGTGGCAAACTATTCTGCGACGAGCATACCATGTATCAGATGAAATTGTCGAGATCGGCACAGCACGAGCCAGTGAGAGGGTTCTGGTTGAGAGTGTGTGAGACATGTTACAAGAGCCGGCCTGGCTATAACGACCGACATGGTCTCGAAAGGGATCACACCAGCGCCTTCACGCGAATGCGACAGGAGAGGATAGACAAGCAGACCATGGAAGTATCTCGCTTGGAGAAGCGTCTGACTCGGCTGACACAATTGATGGCGAATCCGCCGGAGGAGGTCCAAGTAGCCAGCAAGAGATGGTCCTTGTCCTGGGGTCAGAACGATCCCCGGAAAGCTCTGGAGCAGAGTGTTGTATCCTGGCAAAACGACGCCGAAGTCGCTCGATGTCCTTACTGCCAGCAGGAGTTCTCGCAATACACGTTTCGGAGGCATCACTGCCGGACTTGTGGCAAGGTCGTATGCGGTGATCCTGTCACTGGCTGCTCTACGATCTTGCCACTGGATGTAGCCACGAGTGAGTTGCCCTATACATTCATCCGCCAGCGTACTGATGGACACTCAGCTAATTCAGTCCTCGTGCCAACAGAGAAGCCGAACGGCCCAGCAACTATACCTGTCGACGTCCGCCTCTGCAAAGAGTGCCATAACACGCTATTCGCTGGCCGAGACTTCCAAGCATCTCTTGCAGATCCAGCCATCACAGCTTTCACCCGATCATATTCGAATCTCCTTCAGTTCGAGCGTGGCATCAGACTCCTGCTACCCAAATTCCAGAAACTTCTCCAAGCCCTCCAAGACCCAGAATCACCACCGACCTCGACCCAAATAGCAGAGGCATCTCGTACACGCAAACGTTTGATGGACGCCTTCACCCAATACGACGTCGCCGCCCGACGAATACGAGACATGCCCTCTCCTAAGCCCACACAACTCAAGCTCCAAAAGGCAATCTACCAGAACGCCTCACAATTCCTCCACCTCCACATGCTACCCCTCAAGACCCTCCCAAAGATCCTCAAACACGCCACTCCCCACGGCAGCACCTCCAAGACGCCCAACGGCGTCGCCCCTACCACTGCCAGCACCCCCAGCAACCAACACAAACCACCCGGCGCCCTCGCCTCAATCCAATTCAACCACATGCGCCAAGACAGCTCGTCCGCCCTCTCCATGTCCAGCGTCACTTCCTCACGCAATCTCGAGCTCGAAGCAGAAGAGAAGTCGCTCCGCGAGCGGCTGATCGTTCTCGAAGAGCAGAAGTTTATGGTGCAGGAGATGGTCGCCGACGCAAACAAGCGGCGGAAATTTGACGAGGTCGCTGCGTTGGCGGGCAACGTGGAGGATTTGAGTCGGGAGTGCGATGAGGTGCAGAAGTTGTTGGAGGGGGTTAGTGGGGGCATTCGGGGAATTTATACTGGTGAGAACGGCTGACAAAGAGATGCGACAATGACCTTGAAACATCTTGGACGAAAACCTCATGACGAATGGGAATGTCACCTCAACAACATCTAGGTGCGGAGAGCGAACAATAACAGCGGCTGTGATCGCAACGGAGGGCGTCAAGAGCCCACAGCTTGCTCCGACCGACCGACGACGTCTCGTTCTCTGACAGGAACGCTCCGTGTCACGAACGCGGTCCAGACGAAACCCTCCAAAAGGCTTTCTACACCGCAAGAAAAGCGTGAGAAGGGGCTGCTGTGCTCCTTCCGGCCATGCGTGCGCGGGGACTCAAGAAGCAGCACGCCATCGACAAATTCGGTGAGGTAATCCGAAAGTCGCCTCAGAGGAGTGCAACGCACGTCTATCGGAAAAGCTGCAAATCCCAGAAGAGCGGCAGCCATGACCAAAGCGGAGTCCGGCGCAGAGGATGGGCGATATAAGCCTTGCAGGTGTTTGCCAGTTTAGCTGGGCAGTCCGCTTCATAATGAGTAACACGACATAGATCTGCAGCGTAGCAAGCAGGCTCATCAATCAGAGATCCTAGATTATTCAAACATGCCAAAGAAATTCTCGTCATCTCTCGTCCGCCCATTCCACTCCTTCAAATTCCGCGTATAGTTCTATATCGTACACTGCTCCTCCTCCCACACCCCAGTACGCCCCGTCTATATCCCCTTCTCCCTGACAGGACTCTGCAACTTCTCATGATGCCCATCCAACACACCCTCCCCCAACCCCGTCATACTCCTCCTCTTCCTCCCCCACACCTCACTCGCCCACTCCGTCAACTGAAAACCCACCCGCCCCCAACGACCACACCACTCATGACATTCACCAACCGTATCAGCAACGCCAGAAACCCCGATCTCTGCTCCGCGACAATCAGAAGGATTGGCTCGATGTCGTACTTGAAGAACACCCCTGGAATGGTGCTGTGATTCACTTCGCGAGACTGTGATTGCGCGGCGTACTGGTTCGTGAAGATGCTGTTGTGGTGGGATGACTGTCGGAAGGCGGGATTCGCGACGTGGTGGACCGTGCCGTCCTTGTCGATTTTCGTTGCGGGCTGGAGGTCTAGCGTCGGTGGTTGCGGGATCGCGGCTGGGTCCAGTGTGCCTGAGGGGGTGGTGATGCGTCGTTTTGTAAATATTGTAGGCACGATGGAGAGGTAGTACTGGTACTTGTAGAAGTTTGCGTCGGTGGCCGAGGTGGTTTTGTCGAGCGGGTTGAGGAGATTGAGGTAGTGCGGCCCGAAGGAGAGCTCGTTGATGTGGTGGCTGAAGTTGAATGCGTTGTGTTCTAGGTGGGATGGTTGGCCGAACTCCATGTACCCGTGGCCGCGGGCGGTGATGTGGAAGTCGCCTTGGACTTTGTTGCCCTCGAGGGAGCCGTAGATCCTGCAGGTGTCTAAGGGAGTGTGTTTGGGGATCTTGGGCGATTTTGTGAATTTGCGGGTTGGGTTCTCGCGCATGTGGCCGAGCACGTGGGCGACGTGGGAGTCTTCTTCTTCGGCGAGCTTGCGGTCGGGGGTGCGTTGGTTGACGGTTTGGTAGGCGGTGGAGGCTTTGCGGGAGTGAGTAGTCCAGAGGGCGTAGTTGGTGGGTTCTTTGATGAGGAGGTCGCCCGCGATGATGCGGTCCATGGCTGCGTCTTGGACATTGACATGGAGGTCGGTGCATTGCATGGCGACGATGATGTCGAGGTTGAGTTGGAGTTCGTGGCCGACGCCGCGCTCGACGGAGAAGTGGTGTGTCTCGGTGCCATTCCACCAGGTGCGCAGTTCGGTGAAGGTGAGGAGGGTGCAGAGGATGATGAGGGCTAAGGTGAACTGGCCGCCGCGAGCGGACTGGCTGGTGTAGGTTGACTTGACTTTGGCTGTGGAGGATGTCAGCATAGATCAGTATGAGCAAAGCGGCAGTCCTACGGAAGGCATCAAACGTCTTCAACGCCGACAATGCTGGGTTCTCGCCAAATGCATCCTCGTCGAGGCCATGGCTGTCGAATTCTCCCATCTTTCAGCGACGCCAGCGCTGCTATAATGTTTTCCGCGATTGGCGCGACATGTATGGCGCTCGCTTATTCGCAAAACGCCGTCGTTGAAGTCGTCAATTATATCCGTCCAGAATATCACGTCGAGCACAGGCCTCTGTGAAGTGGCCGAGAGTGATCGGCCATCCATATTTCACTTGAACGAGGCTGGGAAACAGCCTCGTCATCCGGCTACCTGTGTGTCCAGTGTGGTACCAGTCGAGCCCGTTCAAACGATCTCACTGCGAGTGAAGAAGAGACATGTAAATTACTGATAATCATAAAACGATCGTTCTTCCTATTGAGAAATGCAAAATACTGCTCTGAGTATCTCGTTGGGGTATCTTCATGCTGCCAGCATTGCTCCCATGCTTTTTCGTGATATGCCGGTTGAACTAGCCATGGAGCCGCCAACCCTCTCTGTGACAAACGCCAAATGCTGTAATGCTAACGAATGCTTGAACACAAATACTTTCGTCCCCCCGTGTGCTTCACTTCACTCCTCGATCGGTTCGAGGGAGAAGTCTGCTCTTCTCTCCGCTCCACACACTGACCATCGCTTCCGCTCCTTGTTGCTTCTCAAGTTTGAGCCTCGTAACTCCAGTGAGCTCCTCCTTCGCAAATCGACCGGCTCGTCTGCGTCTGACTTTCTGCCTTCTTCTTCGTCTAATAGGGCCTGCTCCTCGGCATCTGGTGTATCCTCAATCGTCTCGAGCGAGCTAATAGACGGCGAGCGTGATCGAAAAGATGTAGGCGTGCTCGGCATACTTGAGGCTGAGCTATAGCCAGGATACGGCTCGGTGACATATTTCGTATATGACGGAGAGGTGCTACGAGAGTGGCTCGGACTGCTGCCACGGACATGTAGTGATGGTGCACTCGCACTCTGATGCAACGGGCTTGTGGGTCGTCTTCTAGATCGTGGAAACGTGTTTGAGTACGAGGGCAGTGGTGATGAGTGGAGATAGTCGTTATCGAAGAGGTCAAGCTCTTCGTTTTCTGGAATGTTGGGTTCGATGTTGAGACCACTCCACGAGGAATACGAGTCTTCGAGGTTGGATCGTAATGGGCTTCGTCGGCGGCCACTATGCAGTGGTGATGTTGGCCGTCGTGGAGCAATGTATGAGGGAGTAACGAACCGACCAGACGAGTCGACACCTGGCGATGAGTGTGCACGCTGCATCATCGTCGGCATGCCGATCGAAGTGTGCGGTCGTGGTGTGGTTCTTGAGGGCGACTGCGGTCGTGGTCGATGTGGCAGGGTGGATGGTGGCGTCTGCAGAGGAAGTGGTGCAGGATAGCTGCTCCCACGTAGAGTAATTGCAGGTCGAGACGAGGTTCTCTCTGGAAACCGACGCTCCTCTCTTGTGGGGACGGAGGTAGCATTATATCTTTTGGTGCGAGCTGGGGTCTTGCTGAATCCAACGATCGTCGCTCGGGTGGAGATGGTGCAGGTGAAGGTGATGCCGGTCGTTCGTAGTCTGCCATGGCGTCGGACGATGGTCGGTACTAACGCAGACTGGGCAGTGAGGCAGTCGTAGTCGTAGTCAGCAAGGAGTCATGGTGTATTGCGTACGATTCGTAAGCTGAAGGTAGGATATTGTCCAGGTGCAGTGAAGTCTGTTCTTGGTGTCTCTGGGCTGGGGTAAAAGACGTCGCAATGGCGGGCACCGGCATTCCTCGAATCTCTTCACATGTCTCGTACCAGCCGAGAAAGTAGCTGGAGTGCAGCCGAGTATATGCCACTCATGCACCGACGGTAGTGGCTGACGTGCAGAATATTATGAAGTTGAGGACAAGTCCGACAGGTTGCAGCAGCGTGGAAGAGAGGGTTGAGAGGGTAAACCCGAAGGCAAAGCTGCAGATGCATTGAGGGTGGAGTACATTCTACTCCGGGCGACTCTTTTGGGCGGCCGAACCGACGATGACACCCTTAGAGCCGCCAAAGTGGTCTCCGATACGAGTCCACACTACCCCCGAATTCCCCTTGATGGATTTATCCAGTGCTTAAGTCAACTAGCTTAAAGCCGCCACTACTGTAAGAAGAAGTCCCTGGAGTGCCCCGTGGTTTCTTCTGCCTTTGACATCTTCCTATCACAAGCTCATTTATCATCTTCCACCACATCGTCGATCAAGACGCGTTCGAAGACATGCATCTCGACAGTGCATAGTTGCTCAACTTCACTGAAATGGTTGCAGTGGCTTACAAGACCTTGCAGCGGGTTTTGGATGACTGGGCCATTGACTTTTCCAAAGCTGATGACTAGACCTGCCTTACGTACGCCGCCTCCTAGGCAATCTGCTACGCAGACCGAAATCCTTCAGCTGTGTCAAGCCTATCCAGCGTCGCCACCAAGCCGACATCGCCACCGCCGACCACATTGAAGACACCCTGGAAGCGCGCACTGTCATGATATGGGCTTTTTTCTTGTGATAACGGTCATGCTGCATACAACACGTGCCAAGCGCCAGGGATATGAGATCGTTTGATCGCTTAGCGAAGTCAAAGGTGACCCCAGACGTCCCCAATTGGACCCTGATGTGCACAATTCTGCCGAGATTCGGTCGAGGCACGAAAATGATCCAGATGGTGGCTCTCGACGCAGTGGCCGGTGTCCTATCCGTTGGGTGTGCTGTGTCCGACCTGGAGTCCTTTATCATGTGCTGTGCTTTTTAAGAGCAGAAACGGTTGATGGCACTGCTGTCATTCGAGCAACACAGAGACCTCGCAGATGTGCATGAAGTTTCGCTTGAAAGGCCCTCCCGCTTGAGCCCCCACAACCCCAATGCCTTCATTTACCGGTGGGCAACACTGGCCCTTACCCCTCCCAGGTTTCCCGCCTTGAGTCCTGCCGAGTCCTGCTACACGTGTGAGATGTAGGTGGAGATGGTTGCAAGACACCGCACAGGTACTCCGGCGGGGAGCAATATGGCGTGCGTGGATGTTGTAGGAGACGGCCGCTGAGAGATGACATCTTCTGCTCCTGTTCTAATGATGAAGTGTACGTGACCTACTCGTAGTCGAGTTATAGTACACAGGTCCATCCAGTATGAAGTTCACGCAAGGGATGTGGTAAGTGATCTGGTGTCCATGCCATCAGTGATTCTGGCTTACAGTCAAGGCGGGTGCGAGAGGGCATACAACATAACTGGATCGGGCACTGTGAGAGCGTCACCCAGACAGACAGCGAAGTCAAGCTTCTATTGACTCAACCACAACACAGACGTGGCGATCAGCTCAACAGGGGAACACTGACCGCCAGCATCCGCGCACCTCTGGAGGGCATCACGGCCGTCAAGTTAATTCACTGGGATGGCGCCGACGACGTTGGCCCGCATTTCCAACTCAATGAGTCTCCTAGCCCAGTCAACATCACTCACAAGCCCAAAGAGAGCCTCGACTTCTCTACAGGACCTCTCTCCCTTAACATCAACACCGCCCCAAACTCCCTCGCCTTCACTTACACCTCAACCAACCCCGCCCGGAAACTCACCAGCCACTCCTTCCGCTCCCTAGCTTTCGTCCACTCCAGCAACTCCCCGACCTACCGCACCAGCGACGAGCTCTACGCCGAGAAGGACACCTACATCTTGTTCAGCCTCGACCTCTCCGTCCACGAGAAGCTCTACGGCCTGGGCGAACGGTTTGGCCCATTCGTCAAGAACGGCCAGTCCATCTCCATCTGGAACGAGGATGGCGGCACATCGTCTGAGCTCTCGTACAAGAATATACCTTTTTATGTTTCTTCGAGAGGGTATGGCGTATTCATCAATACGCCTCACAAGGTCATGCTTGAGATCCAGAGCGAGCGGACGACACGGGTCAATATTGTTGTCCAGGCTGAAAGTGTCGAGTATATGGTCATTGCGGGCGGTGAGGCTGGACTCAAAGGCGTGCTGGATCGATACACTGCTCTCACTGGCCGACCGGGTCTGCCTCCGGCGTGGAGCTATGGGCTGTGGCTGACCACGAGTTTTACTACGACGTACGACGAGGGTACGGTGACAAAATTCGTGGAGGGCTTCAAGGAGCGGGATATCAAGCTGGGGACTTTCCATTTTGACTGCTTTTGGATGAAGGGCTTTCACTGGTGTGATTTCGAGTGGGATGAGGACAACTTTCCTGATCCGGCGGGGTATATCAGGCGGCTGAAGGAGAAATTCGGCTTGAGGATCTGTGTCTGGATCAATCCGTATATTGGACAGGCGAGTCGGTTGTTCAAGGAGGGAAAGGAGAGGGGCTACTTCGTGCTGCGTGCTGACGCCCCGAATGGGCGCAAGGTGGTCTGGCAATGGGACAACTGGCAGGCGGGCATGGCGCTTGTTGATTTTACGAATCCGGACGCTAGGTCTTGGTATGTAGGCAAGCTGCAGGGTCTGATGGATCTGGGTGTCGATGCCTACAAAACTGATTTCGGCGAGAGGATACCTTTTGACAGCAAGAAGGTGAAGTGGTTTGATGGTAGTGAGCCGGAGGGCATGCATAACTACTATGCTCTGATGTATAATCAGGCTGTTTTTGAGGGTATGCAGAGCCATGGAAGTGAGCGACCGTGTTTGTTCGCCAGGAGTGCTACGACTGGTGGTCAGAAGTATCCCGTGCATTGGGGTGGAGATTGTGAGAGCACGTTCGAGGCGATGGCGGAGAGTCTGAGGGGTGGGTTGAGTCTGGGCCTGTGTGGATTTGGGAGTTGGGCACATGATATTGGTGGGTTTGAGGGGCTCCCTGATCCGGTGTTGTATAAGCGGTGGGTGCAGTTTGGTTTGCTGTCGAGCCATTCGAGACTGCATGGGTCGAGCTCGTATCGCGTGCCGTGGATGTTTGAGGAGAAGTATCCGGGTGAGGATGAGAAGTGCAGTAAGGTGCTTAGGGAAAGCGTGGATCTGAAGCTGAGTCTCATGCCGTACTTGTTGAGGGTGGCATTTGAGGCCGCTCAGAAGGGTCTGCCGGTCATGCGAGCGATGTTGCTGGAGTTTCCGGACGATGAAAATGTCTGGACTGTCGACACGCAGTACATGCTAGGTGATGCGCTGTTGGTGGCGCCTGTGTTTGATAGAGACGGTTGGGTCAGATTCTACGTGCCGCGAAGTGGCAAAGGCGGAGGTGGAGCGGTCTGGCGAAGCTGGTTCGATGGGGCGAAGACATACGAGGAAGGACGATGGTATGAGGAGAAGCACGACATGGACACGCTGCCTCTGCTAGTCCGACCAGGAGTCGTGGTCCCTATCAACAAGAAGCTGAAAGAGTTCGATGGAGACGTCCGCGATGGGCTTGAGCTGCTTGTGAACGGGCCACTGCCCGAATCGGTTGAAGTACAGCTCGTTGAATCTGCTGAAGTTGGTTCAATTGCGGCATCTGTTGAGGTTGGTGTAGATCTGAAGGTCAGGGGCGTGGATGATGTGAGCGTACAGAAGCTTGAGTAGAAAGGAGAAGGTGCACAGTGTCATATCATTATGTGGCGGCCTGTACTTAGGACGGCTTCCTGCCAGTCGCAACCACTGCTTCCCAGCTCCATGGTATCATGCCTTCTGCTCCGTACTTCTCAACCAGAAGAGCTTCAATAGCCTGTCTCACGGGAGCATCGTACTGCGCCCGTTGTTCTTGCGTCCACAGCGTGTTCTGGATCATGCTCAGGATAGCAGGTAGTGCTGAAACAACGTCCTCAACGGAAAAGGCGACGTCATGCACGTAAGCTTTGCTTTCGACGTCGACGAAACCGTCAGCTTCCAGATTGCGCTTGGCAGCCTCCGGCGTCTCCCAGGCATCGTTGCCTTGGGAGAATAGCTCATGAACCCGACGCCATCGGCAAATGGTGGGAATTCGGGGTTGTTCTTGAAGACAGGCTTAAACTCGTCAATCCAGGGAACGTACTGCCATGTTGCAGTGCTCAGCATGCCGTCGGGCTTGAGCATTCGATGGCATTCTTGGAGGCCTTTGCTGGAATCACGGAGAACAAACGGTCCGAATTCGACGAAGACGTGGGTGTAGTGAGATGAACGTAGCTTTGTGTCCATGCCGTCAGCTTGGACGGCGGTTGTATTCTTCCAGCCTGACCTGTCGATCTCTCTCTTGACATATTCGACCCTGGAAGCAATAAGTATACCTTTTCGCGTTTCCTTCCTTGGCATATGCCACTCAATGAATACTACTTACATATTGGGAGCAAAATCGGCGCAGGTGATCTCAAGGTTGGACTTCGCAGTATCGTCAAGCAGATTAGTCTCAAGGAGCAGTTTTGCCAGAGGAGCCGTGCCACAGGCCTGCTCGAGCACGACGATCTTGTCCAAGGCTGCTGCTTTCTTCGGAAGGCCAGACTGCACGATCATGTCCTTTGCCGGCTTAGATGTTATGATGGCTCCAAACTGCATGAGCCTGCGGGATTCAGTCGCGGAATGACTTGACGGATGATCAGGGCGTACTTCACCATCTTTGGATTGTCCCATGGTGTCTTTGCAGCTGATTGCGCCATGTAGAAAGGAGTATGAGGGCTCGATTGTGTTCAGTGCTGTTTGTTGTGCCTGCAGGTATTGTGAAGCTTCAAGAAATACCAGCGCTCTTACCGTCGAAAATAACAATTCATATGCGGCCCTTACAGCTTATACATATGAACCTTTCAGTCTTGCAGGAAGTACGCTAATGTCAATGTAGTGACGGGGCGCTACGAACTTGTAACGCTTGTGCCCAGATTTGATCAAGCCAGTTGTCCTCATTCGATTACAACAAGCAAGGCTCACGCCCGAAAATACCTTGTAGTCAGTCCGCTAACTGTTCCGGAAAGCCATAGCGATATGGCGCTTGGTGTTGTGGCAGACATTTAGGCAACAACAATATTTTGTTGAATGCAGCAGAGCGCCACGACCATACATTTCAGGGCAACCTCGCAAGTCTAGACACGTTCTGAGTCGGCGTATAGCGACACACTGTATGCCCATACGATCACAACGGTACGTAGCTCGTAAAGGCATCTCAAGTTCGTACCTTAGAGCCGGTCTGTGGTCGAGGCGAGACGCATGAAGTCATTTTTGATATAAATGGAGTAGGGTTGTGACCGTCGACCAATCAAAACTGGCGGGCAGGAAATGCTCCGAACCTCAGGCTCAACGCGACTCGGTACTCAACGCGACGGCCTCCAAAAGTGTTCCATCGTGTCCGCCCATTTCAGGATCAATTCAGCGTTGCGAAGTCCTGGTACTGGGTAGCTGCCTCCAGGCCTAGTCTCCGTGAAGGATGTCTCTTGTCGAGTCTATACTTGCAGGGTCCGCCTGGACAAAATGCCGATACCAACTCGTTCGAGATCCGTGAAAGAACCGCCAAAATCCAATGCTCCTACGACCATTCCGGCGTCCGCTCGGCACCCTACTGGATCTGCGCTTCCGCAGTCACGGTTGACAAGACCTACACCTACCCATCTGCTTGCTGGCCACAGTCGGTCGCAGTCATTAACCGGCCATGTAGGACAGCGCTCGACGACGCGGGCTACCGGAGCTGTGGGATCAGCCAGCAATAAAGCTGGAGTCTTTTCGCCTGCTGAAAGACAACATGATGCGGCAAGGACCATCAGTAACGCCTCCTCGGAAGGAGTGGTTGGTTCACATCATGAGGACGACGGATCACCCAAACTTGTCAGCGATGGCACACGAGGCTCACAGCACAAGCGCGTACAAAGCGTGTCCACGAGCCACTCAAGAAGTGCGTCGATGGGGAATTCGTCTGCCATGATCAAGCCGACGCTGCCTCGGGCTGTGACTAAACCCTTGCGTCCATCCTCGAACATCAAACAGCCCTTCAATAATTACCAGCAGCATTTCAGCCCGAAGAAGTCAGCAGTGGCCGAGCATACTAGTACGCCGCACCCTTCGCCACAGAGCGAACCGCTAAGCACAACTGCATTGCGGCACGAACTGCTGCAGCTCAGCTGCGTCTACCGCGATGCCAATCGGAGACTCCATGAGTTTCGGAACAGTGTTGATCAGAGGCTTGAGTCGTTGAGTGCCGACCGCGAGCGCGAAGCAGACGACATAACAGCACGATGTGCCAGTCGACAGGCGCTCATCAATGCAGCCGCGATTCATGAGTGGCTCCTGGAGGGTGATGGAATTTTGGCTCCTGACAATATCAAGCGGCTTAGTATCTGCGTGTGTGATTTGGAAAGTATGTCAAACCCAGAGGGGCTCTTCACCAAATGCCAAAACGAATTCGATCACTGGCTCGCGGAGCTTCACGACTCACAAGGGCAGGTGCAGACTGAACAAAAAGGTCCCTCGGGGCGAGGCTATACGAGAGTCCAGCCTATTTCCCGCGATCGCCCTCAGCAAATGGCGGAACTCCGTTCACGACTTGCCATCCACATCCACACCCTATCCGATGTTCAGTCCAGTATAGTCGATGTTGTAGCGCAAGCATCTATTCCCGTCCTCATTCGACAACATCTCCAGCTTGCCATGGATATGAAGGCCTCGCTGGACGAGAGCGAAGCTATTGAACACGCCGTGCGGGCAGACCACGAAGCTCAGCTTGCAAAGCAAATCTCACTACTAATGGCAACGCCCACAAAGGTCGAAGGGCGTACGCCTGCATGGCAAGATCCACGAATCTGACCCTGCGGCTCCCAGAGGGACCTTCCAATGCAAGCAGTCAACTACAGCCTGTCGCGTGTATGATACCTCTCTGATTGCACCGTCGGTGATCAAACGTCGGGTCCGGGCTTGTCAGAAGTGTTAATAAACGATAGGAGGAAAAGTGGTGGCTCGGAACGTTTGATTGTCCGCACTTGCTGACTCATTGCCTGCCACGTCCGTGTAGGGGTTGGCGCTGCGTCTACGATCTCAAACGCACCCTAGCAATATTCAACGTTTGGTCCAACCGTAAACGATCGCGTGGAAGAGTATGTTCAGATGCGAGTGCAACTCTAGCGGTTTCACTATTGGGTTTGAGCTGCGTTGATCTAAGTTACGAGACTCCAGGTGAGCCGCACCGCATGGAGTCATACCAGAACTATGGGAACTTATTTCGAAGGAGCTCTGTAGTAGCACGCTCGCGTTCACGCGATCATTCTAGAAGTTGTTGCGGGTGCCGATGGTGGTGCAACGAACACGACAGGATCTGAAGCATTTGCGAGCGTCAGACGGATTAGATGATCCATCGAGCTAGCAGCCATCCACGATGCCACGTGAAGGTGTGTATCCTTAGGTAATAGTGTACATGAGGGTGCGGTATCTGCCACTGCCAAACTTCGGCGACCTTTCAAGTTGTTGTCGGGCTGGCGCGTCATCGCAGTCTTTGCCCGATGCCACCAATAGATATACTACCTTAGGTTCCCCAAACGAGACTATTGTGGTCTGGCTCAGCGCTCCGGTGCGCTATGTCCATGTCTCGAGTGGGAGGCATTGCGTAGCTGGCTTATTTAAGCGTGGTAGGATTAAACGTCGCTAGCCTCAACTCTGCAGCAAGGCATGTTCCGCTCTCAACTTTTCATGCTTCGACTGAGACCCCTGAGAAGACCACCTGCAGTCATGGCGAGATATGTACAGCAGGAGCAGCAAGCAGGCAGGTACCATTCGAGGTAGCTCATGCGAGACGACAACTCTCGATCTACAAAGGCTGCACTCTTTTCATTACCTCTAGAGTAGTTGATCCAACTTTTCGGTCATAGAAGCCCGCATCAGGGCTTGGCTCATCTCTGATCATTCGACGCAAGAGCAGTGGAACTCCCTCCCCGGGGTTTGTAAGGTCTGCTCGGATCTAATCAGTCTTTCGGGCACCTCGCAGTCTTGAGAGTGTACGCCTCAACTTGACACGGATCCCTGCAAGCTCGACAACAGACGTATCGGTTTAGTCAACGGTTCGATGGTTTGATCCACTGCCATGCGTTTCCCTGGATCACGCTACGATCTTCCTTCGTCATCCTCAAGCCCATCACTCATTCAGTCCGACCAGGTTTGCCGTGAAATTCATCAACGATCATTACTATCGGAGGCCGACTACCCGCGGCCTCACACCGCACTGCACCCCGCTGTCAGCATTATTGCCCTGAGCCGTGCCGAACCTGTGTTGCCCGCCAGGGCCTCCGAGGGTTCAACATGCGCAACGCGCTGCAGCGATCCCAACTAACTCCGCTACCATTGTGCGAGCAATCACATTCCTTGAGAGGGTGATCTGGCTCGCTAGGCTGAGATCGACATGGGGTTCTACTTATGACGAACCTTGACTGCCTATGTACTGGGTACATGATCCTCCTGCGGCACCGCACACTTCATTGCTCTTCTGACTGATCAGACAAGAAAGTAGATGTCGTCCTACCAACATGCTATCTTCCGAATCACAGCACCGTCAACAGCCTCATCCGCTCTGGCGATCCGATTCTGCACAGCCTGAGGTCCTTGATAGGTGCCCAGCGGCGTATTTAGCCCGAAAGAGCAGGCTGGAACTGGGGCTCGAGACAGGCTATGGAGCATGACAGAGATACTTCAACAGATCAACCAGGTGGCGATTCTGGTGAAAGAAATGCCCCTCGGGCAGCTAGACCTCGACTGCCGTCGCCTCCCAGCCATAGCAACACCTCGCGCTCGAGCTATGGATACTCGCAACAGCACGAGATATACGCAGGCGCAGAGGCCGTGGCAACCAGGAGATATTCTGTAGACTCACGTCGAGACTACTCGGAAGGAAATCTACCGTCATGGACGCCAGGGTCGCCGACCAGAGTCGTAGACATTGGTGAGCGACCAGGAAAGAGACTGAAGCTCGATTCTATACCGCCGGAGTCCGTATTCCAGCCGCTGGTCGCAGCCTCTTCTGTAGGTCACAGGCACTGTTCCCACGGGGCATTTGCTGACCTAGTCTGCTACCCAGGCATTACCACCTAGCAAATTCGACGACAATGCTCCACGAAGCGTCAACGCCTATACAGGCATTCAGTCCACTCAGTTGGAACCTAGCTCAGCCACAATTCGACAGTGCGAGGAATGCTTGCAAAGCGCAGATGATCTGGGCCATCTTGTGCGGAGCATCCTGGAGTTGTCCGAGATGTTAATCAGTAATACCGGAGTATCAGACACTGGTACTCTCTCCGGTAGTGAAGTAAGCCCCCGGCACAATTACTTCCATGGCAGCTGGGACAGTTTGCTGACAACAAATAAACAGCGAAGAGCGTCCGAGGTGACTAAGCACGGTACCAAGTACAGTATCTCATGGGCAGCTATTGAGGCTCGGAGGCTAGTCACTTTAATGCGAGATGCTTCATCCGCCACCGCCCCTCCGGGAATCTTACTGCCTCCTCTCGGAAGTGCCTTGTCGGCCAAACTACGCCATGATCGACGGCCACTCGCCACCTCATCCCATGGGTCCCACCCACCTAGTGTCACACCCGATACTGCTGATATCGACAATGCATCTCGCCGACCGTCCATCTCACACGACCAATTTCACACTCAGCCTTATGCCATACTGCCTCCGATTATTCCGCCGGACGATATGAAGCGACAACGTTATCAGGACCAGGCTCTGACGGGCTCGTCGACCTCACCACACCCATCATCTGGCAGCTCACTATACGGTCCCAGCTATTCACCATCACAAACGCAAGGTCCAGGTAGAGCCCTTCCTTCTCCGCCAGGAACATATATGCCTCCAAGCACGCTGACGATGTCCGCAACACCCTCAACAGCTCACGCTGCCCATCTACAAGATCTCCAACATCAAATATCAACCAAGACCTTGGCACTACAAACTCTGCAGCGAGAGCACGATCAGCTACTATCTGCCTTCTCAAGGTCGCAAATAAGATGTAGCACTCTGGACAAGAAGTCGCAAGTATCGGACCATGAAATCAACAATCTCACTGAGGAGAAAATTCGATTACAACAGCAAGTTGAAACTCTGGAAAGTCAGATTGAAGACCTCACACAAGCCCGGGACCTTTTCCAGAAGCAATCTTCTGCGGAAGGGGCACAATGGCGACAAATGATGGCGATGTCCTCACAATTGCAGAGCAAAGGTGCCGAGGAGGCGCGACTCCACAAGCAGGAAAGAGAAGAGTGGCAACGGCAACGAGACGAATTCGAGAAACGTATTCGAGAGATCGAGAACTCGAGACCCACTACCATGACAGGCACTTCGACATCGTTACCGCCTCTCGAGATCGAGCTTGAGGTTGAGGACCACGTATTGGAGTCAACCTCAATGGATGTGCTTCGCAACGAAATTCGAGGCCTGCGTCGCCGGTGCCTCGAATTGGAAGGCATCCTGAACGATATCACTGGCGAGACAAGTTCCCTGAATGCGGCCATGCGGGCGATGGCCAACATTCAGGCGCGTATCGCAGGTCGGGTCAGACATGTCTCTGGACAAGGCGAACGGGATCGGGATGGCTGAACACCACTTTCGGCAGTCATCGGAGACACTATGCTCATATTCGAAACAACGATATCCACAAACAGCCTTCTCGGTGATCCGGCTGCAGCGTATGTCAAATCTTTGACATCCCAGAGCTGCAATGGACGGCTGCATTGCCCTGAGGCGCGCCGCTCAAGCGACAACATTTTCTGCAGTCGCACTGGCCGACGCTATCGATGTCGTCCGACGATCGTCGTCGTGGCGAGCTAATGCACCAGTACCACTACCTATACAGTTCTCGCGCTTACTATTTGCCGCAAGCTAGCCAAATATGGTGGCCCAAGATCCTTTTTAGATTCGCCATGTGTATACTAAGGATTCATGAGCAGCCTTGCTTATGAGCACCTGCAGGGGTGGAGATTCGGGAAGCTGTCTTGCAGCCAAAGCTCTTCAGGTTTACAAATACAAGGCCACGCATTGACGACGTCACTTCAATCCTCATCTGCCGCTTCCACTGAGGAAATGCTGCCGACATGGCAATCCATGAAAAGCCGCATCTAGGTCAGGGTCGAAATTACCGCATTGTCCAAAATTCATATACCTGGAATGGTTGGAGTCTGGCGATTGAACGAATCCAATTGGTCCTTTGCTTCAGCATTAGGTAATCAGTCCTGAGCGGGACCTTGTGCTGTATCCGTGCCGGAATGGTTTACACCCCTTCCGGACGTACACATGGCGCAGCACGTACCCGGTGAAGGGTATTCTGCTGATGCGAGAGTGTTCAATCAACGCTACGTCGTCACGGTCGCCATATCGCGCTTGTCTGGGCGAATAGTGAGGTGATAAACATGGTCGAACGCAGATCATTGCTACATTATTTCTGCGTAAGGACGTCTCCGGCACTACCGAACTACCTGCACTCGGAACATGATGGGTCCCTCCCAGACTGCTCATGTCCTGGAGAATCGATCTCACAGGATGTACGATCATGACTTATCTGAGTGGCAAAGACGAGGGCAGAGTCCCGAACCCTGGTATGTCTGCACGTGACCTGAGTTGCTTGGTGGAGAATACTCGTCCGAGAGGAGACGCTTTTCATTATATCTGCGTGCATATGGTGGCGAGGTTGGAAAGGAGCACGCGACTGGGCATCATTGAAGGAGGACTTTAGTGCTTTCTGCTTTAGGCTAACGCTTCACACCATACGGACGTGTTTGCTTAAGTCCATGGAATATGCAAGTGTCGAAGGCAACTTGAACGCAAGCAAGGCAGACGACCGTAATCGGCAAGGCAACTCATAGCCGATCAGACGAGGATGCGGAAGGTACTGTGGAGAGACCATACCCTAGCTGGCTGATCACGAAAACGTGAGACTTGTCGGCAAGCGGATCTTGCGGTCAAAGCGGCCAGGATTGGTGCGCTCGCCCCAGTCCTGGAGTTATGGGAAGAGCTGTATCCGAGCGATAGCAGAGTGCCATTGTACGAAGTTGAGAGGCTTCCTGTTACGTTGTGGCGAGCGAATCAACCCTTGTTGCTTCGCAACCTTGTATTGGGCGCACAATGAATCCTCATCTGTAGCAGCAAGAACATCATACCTTACATCCAGCAATCGTCGATCCGGGTAGATGACGGAAGCCATCTTTGGCAGTGCTATGCGGTGAGTCGTCTGGGAAGCAGCCCATGTAGGTTTGCGTGATCGTGTGTCCGGTGATTGAATCAATACATCGAAACCCATGGGTGATATCGGCTGCTGATCATAGCGAGCGAATTATCTCAAATAGTAATCCAAGCTGATCAGGTTTAGCATGCCTTCGTATAGAATTGCCACACGTGGAGGCGAGAATAGCGAGCAGGCCAGTCAGGGAGCTTGGGAGGCCACGTCGTACACAGAAAGTGTACCTTACCTTAGTTGACGCTCGTCCTTGGGCAGTGTGTGGTGTTTTAGATGTTGATGACTCTCAAGGGGTCTTGCTTACGTTGATGGCTTAAGGTTTTGGTTGGCTTCGAAAAAAGGCAGCGTCATCCTTGGTACCCATGCCTTGAAGTTCTCCGACATCCGACTCCTTCCTGGGCTCTGCAAGGGGTTGTTTGCGGTGGCATATACAACGTGATGGTCGGTGAGGTCACATTGCTCGAGATAAGTCGCAAGAAACTTGCCTTGCAGAGTGATGCAACGGAGTGCACTCGAAAGACGCCTTGGTGGCACATGCCGAAAGTCCTTTGCCAAGCTTCGCTGGCGTGGCACTGGTGTCATAGGGCGATGACTGATCATCGCCAACGCAGGTGGCGGTCTGCGTCGATGCTGAAGATGCAGTCATGATGCGGGGCACCTTCCGGATACGCAGGGGAGTCATGTTGTGATTGCCAGTGCAGCTCGCCTGACGGGATAGTGCAGGGACGAACTATTTCGTGTCTGGAAGTCGCAGACGGGCCCTTCTTGTTATGCTCGCTCGACTCTCCTACGCGCGGAAGACAGGCGCGCATAAGGGGTGGAGGCTAAAGCGTCGCGCATCGCTCAGTAGTGTACATTGGGCTCGGAAGACCTGATCGCTGTATACAAAGTCACTCCGGCGAAAGGCTCTTGGTATCACCGGGTGATGTATTGTGCTCAGGTCACTGAACTTGTCCACGCACCTCGACCCAGTGGGGACATCGTCGAATGGTGACCTTCCCGCGAATTTGTGTATGCCAGGGACGGTAAAGACGACGGGTTCTACTGAGGAGGCAGAAAGGCGATGAGACCCACGACGTGTTGGGCGCAGATGAGCTCAAAATATCCGTAGTGAGGCGCGTGTGAAGCATATCATCCGGTCTCGTCAAAGACTTGTCATCCGGTCTTATGAAAGTCTTACTTGTTATCCGGTCTGCCCAGCATATGCTACATGGTGCAAAGAGAGTTGACCGGTCTGATACATGGCCTTGTACCTTCCATAAGTAGCGGAACTAGGAAGTGGCTTCTGGGTACCAATGCATACACGCCCCGCTGAATGAAACCTGCTGGACATCCCGGCGCTATCATATCTTGCGTGACCTTGCCTTTACATTACGGATCCCCAGAAGTTACAAGTTGTAGCAGGAGGACCGTTACAATTCAATGTACATGTGGTATAAATCTTGTCCAGTCGACTGTATCGTACAAGTCAGCTGGGACGCGCCGCAGTGACAGAAAAGCTTCCACCAACACGAATATTCGCGCGAAGAAGTAGAACATTGTGTGCGAGACTAAGAATGGAACCAGCTCGCCGCCGGGCGTGAAGCCTTCCTCACATCTGTCCTGCAACCACGAGTCAAGCTGCTTCAATTTGGCATTGTTCGGTATGCAAAAAGCATACTTAAGGATGTAGACGAGGTATCTCAATGTCTTCCACTCGGCACCAAAAACGATCTTCGCCAGCTTGGCTGCAGTTGGCTCTTTCTTCATGTTCTTCTGCATGTAGACCGAAAACATCAAGAATGACACGTGGAACCAGGTGACCATAATTGAGGATGCTCTCCAGAACCATCTCTCGATGGTCGTGTTGAAGTGAGCGTTCCATGCCAGAAAGTGTAAACAGCTGAAAGCCATGACGGCTGTAATGCACGGCAGAAGATAAGTCCACCAAGGTGTGTGAGCAAGAGGCAAGTCCGGATCATAGTTGAACGGGATCTGGAAGGGTTCGCTCTCAAGCGAAGGGACGATCTCATGATCAGAAGCAATCGGGACAACGACTGGTGACTCCATGTCATATGCTTCTTCCACCAGGCGCCGTAGGAAAACAATGCACAGACGACGTAGGCGACTGTCAATGCTTCGAGTGAGGAGATCGCCAGAGACTGTATGGCTCGTGCGACGTACTGCACCAGAAGCCATGTGACCTGGGCGCATGCAATACTCTTGAGGAGAAAGTCGGCCTTTCCTCGCTGAGTCACGTCTTGCTCCGAGATCCAAGGCAGATCGATCGGAGCAGGGACATCTGCGTGAGGCACAGTCTCCTTAATGGGCTCGATCTCGACCGTCTCGACCTCAGTCGTTGTAGCGTTCTCTGATTTCGACTGTGCTCCTGTCCTGTTCTTGAATGATGGGCGAAGCATCATAAGATTGCCCTTGCGTTGCCATTTGATGAAGTTTTCCGCCGAGATAGGCTTGTACTCGTCGTTGACATGAAACATGTAGCCGCCCATCACTACAAAGAAACTCTGACCAAGTCCCCAATTTTTGTATCCGAGATCGTGCATAGATGATCGAACGAGAAGGGCAGCTCTCAATTCAGTGAAGGCGAGAGTGGCCACATACTCTGGCGCCACAAGACCCGTGAGCATCCAGAACAGTTTATTGCCAAGTCGCCACCAGTAGGATTTCTTGATGGGCGGAACGTTGATATGCAGGGTGGTCCAGGTTGAGATGAAAACCACAGAAAGGCAGGACCAGATAACATCGCTTGTGCCCCGCGTGTTGGGCCCCTTCACCCACCCAACCAACGGCTCCACCATCACAGCCTGGGTCTGTGGCAAGTGTGAAAGGAGCCACCAGTGTCTGAGGTCTGATGGGGAGAAAGCAAGTCCTTCAGGTCACAACATGTTCACAAGTAGCCTTAGTCGAAGTCGTAAGAGGCGAGATATATAGCTACGGAATCTTTCAGCATACGGCAAAAGAACCGCTCAGCCTGATCTGTAAGAGCAAATGTACCCTGTCGCGGCTCAGCCAGATCGTCGAAGCACTTGCTGAACACCATCATGTGCATAGCTAGCGTGGCAAGTCGAGACCGGTGCCCAATTAAGTGATGTGGCTCCCGCGAATGTCGTGTCGAAGCGAGAGTATCTGCTTGGTTCAACCGACCACAAGTCGAAGAGACCTGGGCGGAAGAGAAGATGGCATTGTTGGGTTACCGCGACTTTCGCATGTCACCTACCTCTGTGACTACTTCCGAGTACATTATCATCCTCGGATTATTCGTGTGAGATGGCTGTGTAGGATCTGGCCAGATCTCAAGTCCGGTCTGCGCTTCAAAGCCCGTGTAGCACTTGCCGTATGGACGGCGCAGGGCATTCGCCCTGCGCCGTTGGTGGCCCCATTGAGGAGGTCTACCAGGTGGCCTTCGCTTGCATTGCCACGGTCGCCAAGCGAATAGCTCAGGACAGGCATGACTATGAGCGCACCTAGCGACTGAGACGACGACGCGGCTCATCTTACCCAGCAAATGAGACGACGACACAACTTATCTTGGGGCCGACTCCTGATCAGTGAAAGCGTAGGCGCAGGAGGTGCTGGACTACACACAAGTCGGGCGCTGTGTAGTTCAGGTTTAATGCACTGTTCATGTAGGTGCCTAGAACGTCGACGTGATTGGTGTGCAATCCATGATCACCCAGGTTAAGCGAGGTAACCATTCCGTAGCGGCAGAGCGATGCGGTTTGTCAGGCGTTGACCGGTGAGCTCTGTTGGGCTGTGCTCGACGCGCTTCGGCTCAACCATACGGCGCCAATGGTTTTGCGATATATTGAATTGTTGCACCTTCGTCTGGAAGTTGAGATGTTCCATGTTCGACTGAAATACCAACGTTACATAATCGAAAGCTTCGCGTGATGACGCAGATCCTCCGAGATTGGGACGCGCGCCAAGAGATCAACTCAAAGTTGTACGAGGCTCGATTGCCCGTTCTCATTATCGTGGTTCTCTATCTCACATATCGGGCGGCTGGGTGGCTATACAGAGGGTACTTGGTGCGCATTCGCTACCACGAAATTGTCTCCCTACCACGAAATCCAATTTGGGGCAACCTTGTCAACTGCGGCCCAAGGTTGAGTCCCCTGCTAAAACAGCATCCCGATTACGGTCTCGAGCAGATATGGCAGGAGTTGGGCAGCCCAGGTTGCTTCCTGCTCGACTTTGCACCTATCTTCCATGGCATCCTGATCGTAGCAGAGCCACAATACATCGAACCACTGGTTCAGCCCACGGAGGACTTCAAGTACTCTCTCCCCAAGAGTGATACATATGAGGCTCTGAAACCACTCATTGGATATGAGGGAATGATCACGAAGGAAGGAGCGGACTGGAAGGCACTGCGCAAGCGCTTCAACCCTGGCTTCCAGCCCAGACATATTCACTCACTGTCTGGCTCAGTGGTCTCAAAGACTGGAATATTTGTGGAGCGCCTTCGGGCGGCCGCTGAAAGGGGCACCACCTTCAAGTTGGCCGAATACGCCAAAGACCTCACGACCGACATCATCACTGAGTTGACTATCGCGCGAGATCTCCATGCTCAGAGTACTCCTGAAGGTCATGGGGAAAAGTCTCGCACTGGGCTACTTACAGCCAGTCGACGTCTCAGCGAATTAATCTACTCTGTGGGCCAAGGAGTTGGCCTTTATATGATCGACCCAGTCCGAGCTGCTAAGGAGTACTACTACAAAACTGTGCTAGACCGCAAACTCACAGCATTGGTGACTGAGCAGGGTGAGTACCATAGCAGGCTTGCATCGGGAATTGAGCCATAACATGAACATTGGCTTGAGGAAGAGCACAAAGGCCTCCCGAGACATGATGACCAACCCTTACCCTGCCATTTTCCTGTTCATGATCATTTCCCGAGACAAAGCTAATTCATTCCTTCCACAACAGCCAAGTCTCCGACTACTGACACCGACTCGTTGTCGATCACCGAGCTCGCTATTGCAGATCTGCCGCTGAGCAAAGAGCTTATACGCAGCTGTGTTGATCAGATTAAGTCGTTCCTTTTTGCCGGGCAAGACACGACCGCTACACTCATTCAATGGATGTATTACCATATGAGCAAAGCTAGATATGATGCAGATCATGCGATTATCCTGTCGAAGCTAAGGCAGGAACATGACGAGGTCTTCGGCCCAGATCCATTCTCAGCACAACAGGTGCTTTCTCAGCAGGACACAGAGAACTCGGAATCGATCTTGACCTCAAAACTTCCGTACACAACGGCTTTCATCAAAGAGACCCTCCGTCTGCATCCACCCGCGGCCACCACACGCAGAATTCCTGATGACGCGATCGGCGTGACAATCCCTCTGCCGGAGTCTGTCTGCATCGCAGGCTTAAGGGTCTACCCCTCGCAGCACTTGATTCACCGCAATCCCAAAATTTGGGGTGCAGATGCTCATCAATTTAAGCCCGATCGTTGGCTGGATGACACGTATGTTGCTGCTTTACCTGCAGGTGCGTATCGGCCATTCGAACGTGGACCGCGCAACTGTATCGGGCAGGAGCTTGCAATGCTGGAAGGCAGGGTCGCTCTCGTGTGTGCGGCTCGCGGATTCGTGTTCGAGAAGGTTGGCTTGACGGGACAAGATGTCAACAAAAGAGGCGAGCGGGAACGTGAAGTGTGGAGCTCACACGCTGTCACGAGTGTGCCAGTCGATGGGATGGTGATGCGTGTCAGTCTGAGGGAGTCCGAACACATTTGAACGACGAAGAAGGAAGTGAAGGGGTTGGCATCTCATATGGTCTTTGTATTCTTCAGCGGAACTGAAGGAAGTCCTGACCAGTCTCAGCACACCCGGAACATAAGTATGCTACAGGCGCCTAGATAGACAGCCTTGAGACCATGCCTGGCGCTTGTCTTCTTGACCAAATAGGCGCTCTGCTGGTGACTTGAAAGGCGCAAGTACCTAGGTATATACCGTCGACCCTTACATTACCATACCGTATGCAATACACCGATGTCAACCTCCAGCTTACTGCGGTCGGTGCGCGGCGCGATCTTGGGGAAGTGGCTAAGATGATGCGGAGACGAGACAACGAAGTCGCAACTTCATATATACCACTGCACGCAAGATATTGCACCTTGCACTTTGCACCTGTGAACAAATCGTGCAGTCGTATCGCTGGCTCCATCAACGAAGACAAAATCGGCCGTTGCAACCCCGTGAAGCCTGTCATCTCAGATGCTTCCGTCGACGATATTTAATGCGAACCTCCCAGCGAGCCCGAAGTGAACCTTTTACAAATCTCTGCTGTTAGAAGCCGGTGATTGACGGTCCTTTCAGACTCGGACTCGATGAAAGATCCTACATGATCCGGCCGTGATGGGAAACACATTCGATCACCTGCTACTCCGTCCACGTCTGGGCTATCCCGCTCGGGCAAGTCAATCAGAAGGCTGTACGGCCATACACATTGGGCGGAAGACCTCGACATTGTCAATGAGCTTGGTGGGCACAGCGGCTGCGTGAATGCGCTAAGCTGGTCGTCAAGCGGTGCTCTACTAGCCTCTGGCTCTGATGACACGTATTTGAACATCTGGGGCTACAACCCTTCCGACATAGCCAGACCCTTCACTCTGAACACGAGCGTCAGCACTGGTCATCATGCAAACATCTTCTCGGTCAAGTTCATGCCGCACAGCGGCGACAGGACGGTCGTGACATGTGCAGGGGACTCGGAGGTGCGCGTCTTCGACCTTGAGTATTCAGCATCCAGCCAGAACGATGGTAATGACAACGGTCTCACATCCAGTACTAGGAGCAGGAGATTTCACGACTTCTTCCCCAATGCAAAGTGGCTCAACGAATCCAATACTAACTCAAGGGTCTATCGAAGTCATGCAGACAGAGCAAAGCGAGTCGTCACAGAAAGCTCGCCGCATCTCTTCTTGACATGTTCCGAAGATGGTGAGGTACGGCAGTGGGATCTCCGGATGCCATCGTCTGCATACCCACCACCTCGAAACGCAAGAGGGTGGTCACGATACCATAGACCACCCGTACAGGGCGTCGATCATGTTCCGCCCCCGTTAATATCTTACAAGAACTACAACCTCGATCTGAACAGCATTTCGTGCGCGGCTACACAGCCGCATTACATAGCGCTGGGCGGCGCGCATCTCCACTGCTTCCTGCATGACCGTCGCATGGTAGGTCGAAGCCTGGCTGATGAGGCTGGCAATCCTGCAGGTAAGACCCCGGAGCTCGGCACAGCAGATGACGAAGCCATGGGCGAGGCTACTCGATGCGTGAAGCGATTTGCCCCTAACGAGAAACGGCGGATGGGCACACACGATAATGGACATATTACGGCCTGCAAAATTAGCGATGCTCATCCTAATGAGATGGTTGCCTCGTGGTCAGGAGATTACATTTACAGCTTTGACCTGGTGCGAAGTCCAGATGCTCGGGACGCTGATACACAGAAGGATCAGTCCTTCCAGGCGAATCGGCTGAAGAATCGTCAAGATCGCAAACGAAAACGAAAAACTGCCACGGAGTCTTCTAATAGTGTGACCGGTAATGGTGCACCTCCGAGAGCATTGCGCAGGGTGTCAGATCATCAAGCAGAAACCGGGGCTACGGCGATGCGGGTACGATATGACGACGGCGAGACTGAGGACATCTCTGTCGACCAAGTGAGTACTTCATCGGGTGTTGACACAAACCTTCCCGCAAGAAATTTGCTAGGAGAAAATCAACGACTTGCTGAGAGTCTCGCTCGAGGCGTGGTACAGCTGAGGAAAGACTTGTTCGAGTTCTCGACAGTCTTGACCGATGAGGCCACGGCTTTGATGGAGACTACAAGTGATCTGACCCCACACACAGCCAAGTTCACCTCAACGTTGGGACAGTGCTGCAGCTTGTTGTCACAGATGGACGATGTAATTCGCGAGTGGTCCTATCCGGTGGATCCGTCAGAGGACGATGTCGCCGAGCAGAACACCCTGAGGCGTTATCGACAGGCGACCTGGCGCTTCGTGCAGGCGGCTGGATGTCTGAGCCGGGTGTTGGGCGGCAAATTGCAGACGCTCAGTAACGCGCCAGACCCGAGACTGAGTAACTTCTCGGCCATTCGACCGGCAGTGCACGAGGGCAAATCTGTCAGCAAGGAGACAAGCTTCTGCTACGATTTCTTGAAAGCGATACTATGTTGGATCGAAGGGGGGAAAGTAGCCGTATTCGAAGGCTTCGTGCGGCCGAGCGCTGTGCCACTAGATAATCCGCGCTTTCCACTAAAGGCCGATGATGCGACAGGCGACTGGACAGGTAAGCTCGAAGCATACCTCTTGGCCTTGGCAACCGAGTCGTTGCCAGTGATCGATCTGGATACCAATAGGTTCGAGACAGACGAGAGAAGACATGTGTTCCCTACGCAGACAGCAGCGCTCAAAGCATTCTGTCGGGCGCTTTTGAGCATTGAACTCCGAGCAAATCACGGACAGTCTAATTTTTCAACAGCGGACCCAAAGGTGCGTGTCATGGATAGGGGTGCCGCTGCACGGTTCTGGGGTCTACGAGTCGGCAGATCCTTGCTTATGCAGGCTGCTGAGGGGGTGAACTACGATCTCGTGCTGCGAGCGTTTGGAGGTGTTCGCATCAGGCATCACATTGACGATTCTGCATTGGCGCTGGGAGAGGTTGACACAAGTGAGACCGAGCGGATAGTTGAGCAGATCGACATCCTGCAAGATCGCTCGGTCACTGAATCTACAGACCGGCCAACGACCCCAGACACCGCAACAGACAGTCGTTTGGTCGACGAGGACACCACCGGCCTCGACGAAACGACGAATGACGGGAACGAGCAAGATGCCTCCTCTGACGAAGCCGACTCCGACTCCGAAGATGAGCAGCCACAAACTTTCTACAGACACCGGGCTGCATTCGGCCGCTCACGAGAACGCGCAGGAGTGAATATCGACGTTCCCTATTCGTCTCATACCCGCATCTACCGCGGCCACTGCAATACAAGAACCGTCAAAGATGTGAACTTCTATGGCCTGGACGACGAGTACGTGGTCAGCGGATCCGATGATGGCCACTTCTTCATATGGGATCGAAAGACTCAGCGGATTGTAAATATCCTGCAAGGCGATGGCGAGGTTGTGAACGTTGTCCAGGGCCACCCATATGAGCCGATGATTGCTTGCAGTGGCATCGACAGCACAATCAAGATCTTCGGCTCTGGCGGTGAGAGCAGGGAACGTGACCGCGCTTCCCGAGGTATCGATGTTGCCAACCCTGGCGGATCCCTTCACAGCTCACTAAGATTCGGCACAAGGACTCGCCGAGATCCTGAAGCAGATGATGACGCAACGACTACTCGACAACAATCAGTGGATGAGGCTGAGCCGCTGAATGAAGACGAGTCGAAGGCTGCAGGCAAAGGCCTACGTTCCCGAAGAGCAATGAAGGATCAGTATCGTATCATTAGCGCGAATGACGACGAGCGTAGGTCTGGAGTGGGCGATGCTTTTGTCACGGTAAGCGACTATGAAAATCTGATTGTTCGCGCATGGCTTCGTGGTCAGCTACGAGGTGCCCGAGCCCGGCTGCAACGCGTCTGATATGCCTGACGGACCTGTATCTCATCTGCTCTGCTGTCTGGTACGTGCGGTCTGGGAGGTTGTATGCACAAGAACACTTGCTAACATGATGCCTGTGGCAGGAAGGTATGCTTGCTCGACTCGCAGCTGCTCTGCAGCGTGGACAGCTACAAGGCATCAACGGTGCTCAACTTGGCGCGGCTCTGGGTGGCGCAGGTGTTGTGGTGAACAACGAGGACTGTTCGGTAAGTATCACCCTCGAGAGGGCTCCAAATGCCTTGTGTAGCGAGACATCAACTGATGAGTGTTCAGGTGATGTGAGCATTCGTCCACAACGTTGCGACCGGAGCCAACACTATGTACATACAATGGTTCTCTCGTGCCTTATAGGCTTCTAGTGCCGCCGTCAGCTCCTGTATATAACAGTACTCGACTGCTGCCTCACGCAGGTGCTTTTTGTGTTGTGGTTGACCTGTCCCACCTGCCCATTTTCGGCTACATGAAGTTGCCCGACAACTGGTTTGCTGCAGCGGAAAAGTTTTTGTCCGCCCCTCGCTTGCTCCTTCCTCTACTTCGGCTTTTCCTCTTCGCGCGTCGAACCCCAGGAACCTGGGGTAACACCACTGGTCCTTTTGGCGCGTGAAATCAGGGCTCTCATGCGTATCCTGCCGACCTGCATTGCCAGAAGACTTACCGGGAGGCTGCCCGCAGGGCCTGTCGGCATGGCGCACGCAGATATATGCTTGCCATCTGCCTCGATCATGCTGAGGATATTCGTGAGCACGACCTGGCCTACTAGATCTATCACCCCTGAGATCTTCTCCACATTCGGCAAGCATTGACCCAGCTCTGACCCGTTGGTACGCTTAGGAAGATGGCGGGGTCGAATGGCAACCTCTACCTGGCCGCAGCCGTGGCGTGTATGACCGCAAGCCTCCTTGGCTACAGCGTCGGTTTCATCGGAGGCATTCTGGTACTGCCGAGTTTCATGCATCACTTTGGCCTCGACCGGCTCAGCTCCAATGACCTTGCAGTGGCGCAAGCTGCAACAGTGACAAGCTGGCTCGTTGGCACGCTGGTGGGCGTTGCTGCTGCAATGCCGATCTACACCAAAATGGGAAGGAAGCCGTGCTTACTGTTCTGCTCTGTCCTGTACATACTCGGAGCCTCACTTCAGATCAGTGGTGTGGGAGGCATTGCAGTATTTGATGTTGGGCGACTGCTCAACGGTGTCGGGGTGGGCGCTGGGACTTTAGTCAGTCCGCTGTAGTATGTTCATCCAACCTATCAAACCTTTATCAGACTAACCTACTCCCAGCATTGCCGAGATCTCGACGCCTGATACGCGAGGCATGCTGATGTCTGGCTATCAAGTCGGGGTACAGCTGTCGGCGCTGGTTGGATTCTGGGGTGCTTACGTCTCACACAAGGCCTTCCCCGATACTTCTGTCCAGCAATATCTTGTACCAGTTGCCCTACAACTGATCCCTGGAGTACTACTTATTCTCGGTACACTATACATTGTTGAGGTGCCTCGGTTCCTGGCCGAAGAATCACAGTACGAGACGCTCAATCGGTCGATCTGCTGGCTTCGTGGACTGCAGGAATCGTCACCAGAAGTCCTGTCCGAGGTCGAATCGATCAAGCGATCTGTCGCCTCTGTCGAGCATGCGCAATCACTTCACAAGGAGTCCTTTGTGGCGCAACTCACATCGAACCCCAGTCTGCGCCGACGCTACTTGTGGGCATAAGTCTGATGATCGCACAGAATATGGCTGGCCTCAATGTGATTAATTACTACGCACCTTCAATATTTCGGTCCGCTGGCTTCACGTCGGTCAATTCGATGCTGTTCCTGACAGGTCTGTTTGGCCTGGTGAAGCTGGTTGCTGCTGCGGCCTTCATGGCGATCTTTGTACGGATTAAGGGCAATCGTTTCTGGCTGAATCTTGGCTCAGCAGTCTGTGCAACCAGCATGTTCGTCCTGGCGCTGTGTATCTGGAGCACGGGGACATCCAGCGCTGAAGGGCGCGGAAACCTCAGCGTCCAAGGAGTTGTGTCTGTGCTGTGTGTATACATTTTCTCGTTCTTCTTCGGAGTAAGTCTTGGGCCCATCAGCTGGAATGTTTGTGGCGAGATATTCCCATCTCGGCTATCGGCAAAGTGCTGTACGATCACAACGTTCACGCAATGGCTGTTCCAGATCGTGATCGCAAGTGTGACACCAAGGTTGATTGCAAGTATTGGCTGGGGCACTTACGTCGTTTATGGCACCTGCTGTACTGTCAGTCTCGGATGGTGCTGGGCCGCCGTCCCAGAGACGAGGGGTGTTGCGTTGGGAAGGGAGATGGACCAGTTATTTGAGAAGCAGGAGGAGATGGTACCATCCGATACCAGCGAAGTCTATCAGGTGGAGGAGGAAGCCATGGTCGAGGTCAATGAGACAAGTCCTCTCATGTTCTCGGACCAAAGAAGGCGCAGGAGAAGCAGTGTCGCCCTGATCGTCTAGGGGCCATGGTTGAACTAGAGGTGCAGATTGTTGATGAAGACCATTTCGCAATATATGACAGGCACTTAATTGCGGTCCCGCCACGCAGATGCTGATCGCTTTGGGTTGTTTGAAAGAGATACGTAGCTGACCGAAGATCCCGCCGACGAGCGCAGTGCTCCACCACTGGTAAGGCTGAGTTCTTCTCAAGCGACGACTAGTTTCTTCAAGCTTCTATATAGTCGTACTACAAACATTCGTGCATGCACTCACCCGCGAAGCAGTCAAGTCCTCTTCGCGACCGCCACCTTCAAGAACATGGTGTCACAATGGAGGCGTCGCACATGAGCACGAGGCCAGTGTGTGCGACGAGTCGTGCAAGCAGAGCGGCGGGAGCACATACGATCGTCGCCCTAAGCTGCTTCTTTGCCTTAAGTTGCGAAACATACGAAAGATGGAACTGATGTTAGCGACTAATTCCAGCCTGATGGCCAGCTTGACCAAACGTGACGTTTGCCTGACATCGAAGCGCATTCCGCTTGGCAGGTGACACAAGGTCGACCACCCCCGCCTTGCAGCCAACCACCACATCCAACGCTGAAAGGCTTCTGCTGCGAGTCCGATCCAAATTGGCGGCATCTGATGCGTTCAGAGCGAGGCTTCGAGGAAAGCAGGTGACAGTGGTACTTGCCGATACCACTTGACAACACTTACGTACCTAGGTATCTCCTTAGAAACACGCCAAGGCTCACATGGAAGGCCCCGTGGGAAGTTGCGACCACTTCAAGAACAACCACGTCAATCCCAATCGAGGTACGACAACAGGATACTGTGTCAGGATGCGCTGCACCCCTCTCGCAGCACAACTGGCCTCACTGCGAGGCACTTCAATACAATGCGGGGCCAGCGACGCAGCCGTAAGTACATGTATTTCCCAACGTGCTCGCCTTGACCCCGTCAACCCCAACCGAACACCGCTGACGATTGTGGCAGACCGAACCATGAAGGTAATCTTTCTATTCTTAGGCGCCCTGCTGTTATATCATACGGCAGGAGCCGTCATCGATTACCATCGCGTCCCACCATATGAAGCTCCAACAACCTATACTGTACAGAAACCACCCCTCGACACTCCTTGGACGTATAGACTTGGCAGCAATCCATGGCCCGAGTATCCACGACCGCAATTACAACGGGAGCACTGGCAGAACCTCAATGGTATCTGGAAGTACAGGAATGCTACTGGCCCAAACGAACCACCTCCATGGAATCAGGACTTGCCTCACGAGGTCTTGGTCCCATCCTGCTTGGAAAGCGCGCTGTCAGGAGTCCAAGGCGAGTACACAATACACTCATGGTTCTCCACAAACTTTACCGTCCCCGAACTCTGGCGAGACGGAAGAGTACTGCTGAATTTTGGTGCGGTTGACTACGAGGCGGTCATTTATGTACGGTAGCCATTCGCGCCAGAATCAAACATTTCACTAACATTGGCAGATCAATGGCCAGCAAATAGCAATCAATCGAGGTGGATATGCGACGTTCACCATCGACGTCACCGACTATGTCTCCACCGGCGATGAGGTGAACTACATGCTCGTTTATGTGTATGATCCGACCGACAGCCAGATGCTGTCAACCCTATTGGCAAGCAAACACTGCGTATGTGATATTTCATGGCCGATTATTCAATTGTACTGATATGGCAGAAGATCCCAATCATTATTTCTACACTCCATGCAGCGGTATTTGGCAGAGCGTATGGATCGAAGCCGCCGCTACCGAGTATGTCACACGTCTCGATCTTAGCGGCGACATGAATGGCCAGGTCACCGTCAACGTTCATACGTTGAACAGCGTATCAGGCAATGCGGAGATCAGAATCCGTGACCGTGATCAGTCGGCGACAATCCTTGCCGCCAACCCGTTCAAGACCAATGGAGAATTCATCTTTACTACAGGGCAGGTTCCAAAGAGATGGTCGCCGGATTCGCCGGTCTTGTACGACGTTGAAATCATTGTTGGCGGTGAAACAATTCGCAGCTACATGGGCTTCCGAACTTATGAGAATCGAAACATCAACGGCGTCTATCGACCCATGCTGAATGGAGAATTCATTGTACGAAAGCCCCGTTCCGCAACATGGCATTCGCTAATGGTATTGTACAGTTCCCATTTGGGACACTCGATCAAGGATACTGGCCCGACGGTATCTATGTAGCGCCCAACCGAAAAGCAATGACATACGATCTGAACATGCTCAAAGCAGTCGGTTTCAACATGGTCCGCAAACACATTAAAGTCGAGCCGTCCTTGTTCTACACTGCTTGTGACGAGCTAGGCCTACTAGTCATCCAAGACATGCCTTCGCCTCGAACAGGCAATCGGATTGAGTATTCGAATTGCACGCGTCCACCGTACTTACCGAACGTCGACGAACAAGCCGACTTCGTCGATCAACTCGGCCGCATGGTAGATCAACTGAAGTCCCATCCAAGCATATTCGCATGGACGATCTACAACGAAGGCTGGGGCCAGCTCCTCACGCGACAGAACGGGCACTACCAGGAATTCGACCTGGTCGACCTCGTCAGATCTCGCGACCCTACACGACTCATCTCTGCTACCAGCGGCTGGACCGACCATGGAGCCGGCGACTTCAGCGATACCCACAGCTATGCATCCCCTAAGTGCGGAACGCCCTTCTACAAGATCCCCTCACCAGCATATGACCCTACCCGCATCGCATTCCAAGGCGAGTTCGGCGGCATCGGTCACAATCTGACCGACGCCCATCTCTGGAAAGTGCAAGATGCGATCGACACCATCAATCAGACATACGAAATCAATGCCGACCTCAACAGCTTCAATTACCGTGCCCGTCAGCTGCTGCGTGAGTTCCGTGAACAAGTCGAGCTGTTTGACTGCTCTGGTGGCGTGTGGACGCAGACCACGGATGTGGAGGGTGAGCTCAATGGCTTGTTGAGTTATGATCGTCGGGTGCTGAGAGTGGATCTGAATGTCTGGCGGACAGAGATACAGGCGTTGTATGATGCGGCGGCTGCTAGAGGGGCGATGAACTACTCTATCGGCGAGCCGGTCGAGCTGGAATTGAAGAATCACCTGTGAGCACAGCACCAAAGCTGACTCGAAGCGAGTTGGTCTGAGTGGATCGGCCACACACAGCAGGAACATGAGTTGGCTGATCCATGTGGGATCAGAGGAAGGACGGTGTGGACGCCTGGAGTTGTCGACACCGGTGTCGCCCAGCTGGAATGGCTCTGTCCGGAATTTTCTGGCTTGCCACACCATCAATACCAATGGAAAGGCTTGAGTGCTAATAGTCATGATTGCCATACCCTTACTAGTATTATTACATCGACCGTCTCGAAGGACTGGGCCCTACCCGAAGAGCTCAATAAGCGCACTTCAGAGCTGCTCAAGCAACCTGGCCCAACAAAGTTGTTTTCCTCACCAGTTCCATCACTATTCGTTGCGGGGAGACCTCCAGCAGTATCACCGCTGCGACCCACTATCCATACTAACTCTCGTCGACAGCGTCACCACACTGCTCTCCACGTCCACCGACTCAACATTACTATCCGTCCTCGCCAATCCCGGCTCCGAGTTCGTGCTCCTCGTATACCCCGTGAAGCCATCTACGATACTTATGTCCGAATCACCTGAGCCGCCTTGTTCAGAAGTGGAGTTGACAGAATCACTGTCCGCGCGCTGACGGCTACGGTAGCTCGGTGGTGGAAGGGAATAGGCGGGCAGTGATTCTGTCGAGGCCGCGAAGGCTGACGTGTCCACTGCTGCGGTTGCGGCGGTGACTCCTATTGCTGCTGCACCGTTTGTCCTGTTGGAGCGGGACAGCAGGTCGGCGATGAGTGTATACGCGCCTCTGAGGTTGTTGATCTGTGGGGCGATTGGAGATCCGTTCTCCGGATCGTCAGAAATGGGCAGAGTACTCGTTGCAACGACGACGCTGGCCTTTTCGTTCTTGCATTCATTCCACTCATCCTTCGCCGCCTTGACTGCATCGAGCCAACTGCCGACTCTGAATGGCCGCGACACCTGCTGCCAGCGCGTTCGAAATTTGTGCTTACATGCCGCCTTTCGGTAGAGAGCGCGATTGAGGCGTTCCTCTCGGCGAGCAGCGCGCTCGACGACACGGCGGGGGTCGCGGAAGCGGCGGATGCAGAGGAAGAGGGCGAGGGATAGCAGGAACAGTGAGATCAGGCACGCGGACGCGATGATGTAGGCGTATTTGAAACGGGTCTGGAAGGAGACTGTTGCTGTCCAGAGCGAGGCTGGGATACGGATCGTGTCACTGGCTGTCGAGGGCGTTGAGTCACTTGGGGGCGGTGCCGCAGGCGTAGAATTTTCGACCGAGACATCGAGTTCGTCGTGTTGCACGGTGGTGTCGGCTGAGGTGTTGATAAGAGTGGTCTGCTCCTGGGTGTGCTGGCTGACGACGCGCTCGACTTCGTCGGAGCAGTTCATGTGTGCGGTCTGGCTGAAGAAGGTGGCGTTAACGTGATTATGGTGCGAGAAGTGGGTTGCGAGGAGGTGAGCAAATGTCGGGATCTTCGTCATGACAGTCTTCAGGTAGCATCTGAAGGACACACAGTGCGAGAAGTCGGCTTTCCAGATCGACATTATTCGTGTCTGTGTCGCTCTGACCTCCTGCTCGATCTCGGCTGCGTGTGCCTGCAACAACTCAAGGCGTTGCAGCTCGCTGGTCAGGTCGCTCGGAGCGCTTTCTGTCGAGGTTGGTGTCGCAGATGGGGTGATGCTGACCGGTGAAGGAATAGGAGGGCCTATGTGCATGCTAGGTATCTTCTCGTCGTGCCATGGATTATGATGGTGAAAAGCCACATCCGGCTCTGGGGTTGTCCAACCAGATTTGGGTCCGACGTCGAGGAGGCCCGTGAAGTCGGCGGGCAACGGGTCCGCATCGTCGATATGACGAGTAATCTCTATCATCCGAACCCTCCTGATCTGGGGTTTATCACCGCTAGCTTGGCTGTAGGAGAGAGAAACACGAAGCATTACATCGTCCGCGACATGGAAGACGATGTCACTGAGCGTGACGCGACGGCCAAAGGCATCGTCCACGCATTGCCGTGTCAACAAGTAATCAACATTCTTAGCCGTGCCGTCCTCCTGTCGCGCCGGCAGACTCAACAGGTGCAGACGTTGTTGAAGCGTTTGTCCGTTGATTGAAAGCCCCTCATACTGGCATTCATCCTGTGCCTTCTCTACCTCAAAATTCAATGTCTGTACAACGTCAGCACATGATATGGTGGAAATAGTGACAAGCATACGTGCTTCACTCCTCCCAAGTCAAAAGCCAACGAAGCAGTCGCGCGGTCCTCATATCGGACACCAGGCGCTGTAGTAACGTCGAAACCCGAAGCCCAAGTCACACCAGCCCACAACAAGCCAAACAAAAGAGAAAAAGTCGCGGAGAAAACACAACGCATCACTCGATACAGAATGCTTAGCAACTCAAATTGTATGAATGATTCCAGCGAAGTGGCGAACGCATGGAGACCACGCGCTCACACACCACGACTCACGAGCACATGGTTCTCCGTGTGCCACGCGTTGATGTTGGAACAGAAACGACAAGAAAGAGACGTGGAAGACGAGAGATGAAATCAGGCATCCTCGAAACCTGAGGCAGCATGAGAGCTAAGGAAATTATGGGGCTGTGCTCGGGCGGTAGGGCTTGCCTTGGGGCCCGAATACGACACGCGCTGGGAACGGCGTGTCGTTCTACCGGTCTCTCCGAGTCTCTGTCTTGCTCGTACCGAGTAGCATCTAATGAACGATTCCCTGCACATTTGTAGGAGGTGATGTAGCGGTGATGCGAGTTGTCTGTGCGCTGAGACTGTAGATATGTGTAAGATCAGTTTCGCGATGCGCAGGACTTGAAGATTTCCATTGCAGATGATCACGTGATTGGCAACACGAAATGGCGTAGCGCTTTCGAGCAACACTGCTAAACTCTTTCCAGTACCCTCACTGACGTCCCTCCTACTATACCAATATTTCAAACCACAATTTTGACGGCATAGGTTCTTGACAGGATGGTATGCCTCCCTCTCTTTCTCCGAGCCATGCGACCCACTGACACAACCCGCATAGTTACCGTTGGGCCTGTTGAACGCGGCCCAAGGCCATCCCATGCTGGTCGAGCTCAAGAATGGCGAGACCCTGAACGGCCATCTGATCGCCTGCGACACGTGGATGAACCTGACGCTCAAGGAAGTCGTACAGACGAACTCGGAGGGAGATCGTTTCGTCAAGCTGGCGGAGGTTTACGTCAGAGGCAACAATGTAAGTGGTTTCTTCCCGGCTTTTGGGAGGACTTTGTCGCCTGGTAGGCAGGCGAGATGTGCGTGTCTCAAACTTAGACAACAGGAGCTGACGTACTCGGCGACGAACAGATCAAATATCTTCGAGTGCCAGATGAGGTAGTCGAAGCCGCAAAGGAGCAACAGCAGCAACAGCAGGGTCAGGGCCATAGGGGCGATCACAGAGGCGGCAGGGGTCAGGGTCATCGTGGAGATGGTGGTCGTGGAGATCGTGGGCGTGGCAGAGGTGGTGGTGGTCGAGGTGGAAGGGGACGAGGCGGTAGAGATCGTGGTTGAAGGATTTTGAATCTCAGAGGTTGCATTGGTGGAATATCGACGTCATCGTCTGCTCCGCTGGTTCGAGCAACCATGGCCCAAATCGCTACATGATGATGACAGCTGGTAGAGGGGTAGCCCTGTCTACGCTGGTGTGCTTACCTATGCTGGATGCCGGTCGACAAGCCTTCCCAGGGCAGACCGAGGTCCTTGGACACAGTTCACCTTATTCACGGAAGCATTGGGTGGAGCGCAAGTCCTTGCGCAGACCACGGCGGCAGCAATCGCGATCATCACTGCCAGAACCTCGCAATTGTCGGATTCGGCAAGGAAAGGCAGGGCTGCTGCATCTATCGATGGCACAGAGGCTTCCCTGCTGGTCGCACCTGCTTTGCACTGGCTGGACAGTCCACCGCTGTGATATCCATTCGGGCATTGGCGATAAATCAGAGCATTTTATTGCGTACAGACTCACAAGTTCACGTGAACGATTCCAAACCGTTAGATGCGGTCGGATTAGATTGCATGGTTGGAGTCAAAATCATTTATTATATTGTCGTGAACCGTCATTCCAGTATTGCGCGTAACAGGCCACCCAACTTTTGCGTACATCACCGGTCGCATGAGCAACGCCGTCGCTCTCATGCCTAGACCCAAGACTATGTACGTGCATACTTTCAAGCTTCGTGGACCGGTCGTTCGTGGTGGGGAGACCACAAGCGAGCCCTAATACAACGAGTGAAGAAGACTGTCATCTCTTCGTGCTGCTGACGAGGCATGAGAGAACCTGCAAGGGTTGTCAGCAGTCGTATCGGCTGAGGTAAAGGCTAGCAACGTACCTTTTCGCCAACTACTCCCTGATTGTACAGATGTTTTCCTAGACCCCGAATCACTTCCATCTGCTCCTCAGGAGTGAGACCCCACATAGCAGATTCAATCAGCTGGCCCGGAGTGGTATGGTAGACCGCAATGAAACTCTGGTAGTACATGTAGGCCAGCGTGCCCATGATAAACTGACAATCCATTCGATCGGTCATGCCGCCATGGCCCGGGATGCTATCGCCAAAGTCCTTGATGTGGAATGAACGCTTCAGGCCTGATGCAAAGAAGCCGCCAAAAGGAGCGATCAGGGACGCAAATGTTGCGAGGACAAAGATATGGAACTGAATTGGCTCCATCCAGAAGGTGTAGTAGCTTTCGGTTTGCCAGGGCAACTGCACCTCGTATGGTCGTGCAATAAACACTGGGTTCGGCTTGCAGGTCAGACCACTGAACATATTGGCGCCAAGGTCTTGGACGGGGCAGATGAAGTAGGGGAATTGGATCAAGAAATTCGTCATGGCGTAGCCGATGATGACAGTACAAGCCCAGGCTCCGACAAAGCCCTCGACGGTCTTTTTGGGAGACAGCTGGATCAGCGGCGTCCGGCCAAACGTGATGCCGCAGATATAAGCGAAAATGTCGTTCGTGATGACCAGCGAGACAGGTATGAAGAACCAGATGAGGCCTTCGAAGACGTTGTTCATCATGAAGTGGGCTTGGAAGACGATGAGGAAGAGTGCCATGTGCGTCCATGCAAATTGGCGGAATTGGAATCTGTAGGAGCCCTTCTGGAGAGAGTAGACGAAGAAGACAAAGCCTATGCAAATCAGCTTTTTGGACCACGCTGCAGGTTCGCTCTTAACTCACCAACAATGTACAGACTGAAGCTGATGAAGCGATGGTGTGTCGCAAAGGGCTGCAGCACCTTCTCGACCAGCAAGACGTGCTTGAAGTAGTAGAGGACACTCTCGCCGTAGAGGTAGTACATGGCCACGGCGAAGAAGTACCAGTTCAGTGATCTCGTCAACGGCAGATTAGCCTGCCGCGAGGGCACTTGCGCAATAGCAATGACCTCTTTGAATGAGATGATGACAACCACGGTGATGATGCCCAGAATCCATATATGGCCGGCGGCTAGCAGGCCGAAGAAGCCTCCGATCATGACCAGCGTCCATATTGTCCTCGTAATGAAGGACTGCTTCTTTTTCTCATATTCTGAGGGCTCTGGCTTTCCTTCCTGTATCACTCCATTGCGCACGTCTTTCTTCGGGCTGGACGGCTCGGACGAGGCATCTGTAGAGGAGCTCTGGCGCCGATTGCTTGTGCCATTGCTGCGGTTGTGGTCGAATTTGACCTGTCTGGCTTCGCCATCGCTTGTGATTGCTCGAGCGACGAGCAGGACCGTGTGTGAAGAGCGCGGTCTGCGTGGATGCTTGCAATATAATGGGCGTCAAATTTACAGGTTGTTCCAACAAGATTGCTGTCCAGGCACCAAAGACGTCAGGGCTGACACGTGCGGGCCACTGGAATTCGCGTCTGAAAGTTGCGGAGTCTGCCGGACTTTGCGCTGCCTCTCGAATTTCTTCTGAGACTCTTTCGCGGACGGTTTGTTTGCGCGCGGAAGACAGGCATGCGATTGTGACGAAGAAACGAAAGCCGAACAAAAGTCAAAGGCACGGGAAACGCTTCATCAGCAGGCAATCTCTCAGCGCTTGTTCAGGTCCAAGTGTAGCGTCACCATGCATAATGCCAAGCCCGGAGCCGGAAGACGCGGCGGACACAAATTCCATCGTAAAATCAGGTCGAAATACTTGATGCACGGATAGGTATTTCGAACTCGCCCGTAGTAATGACACAGTCCGAAGCCTACGGACTAAAACATGTCTGGCTCGCATTGAATGTAGTATGCGCGACTGTCTGACTATCCTCATGAGACGCGAAACATCCCGCAACGACGGTGTGTGTGACAACATGGGCTCTAGAGATGCTGCGCTGCGAGACACAGATTGTGTGATGATGCCAACAGTATATACAGTCACCAATCAAAGCCCGAACTCACAAAGGGCGCTCAACGAGACTGCTCCTTCTCCGCTCAACCTCCTCGTCCTCAACTGGTGGGCCGCGGTAGTTCTTCCTGCCCCATGCGAAGTACCAGATGATGCTGGCAGCTGTGCCACCAACGAACACAGCAGACGCGTAGTTCATTGTCTCGGCCGTGACCGGGCTGAAGAAGGGGAACGAGAATAGTGGTGTTACCAAGAGTGACCATGCTGTGTTAAATGTCAGTGATTTGTCTCGCAAAGAACCACGAGATCTCGAATGTACTTACCGACAGAGATCACATTGCAGATGAGACCGAAAACGCCAAAGTTCCAAGGCGCTCCCTTTAGATGTTTGCGTCCAGTGAAGAGATTGACAGCGATAGGTATAACGTATGCGATCGTCAGGAAGATGACACCGGACCCGGAGAAGGCGTTGAACGCAGCAGTCGAGCCGAAGTAGATCAGTCCCAGTAACACCTCAATGATGGTGCAGAAGAGCATAGCGTTCAACGGCATGTCGAGCTTGGTATTGACCTTGCTCCACAACTTAGACCCGGGAATCGCGCCATCGCGAGAGAAGGCCCAGATGCAACGCGACGATGCGACCGTGCAGGCGGTCCCACAAAGTATGGCCAGTATCAGGATCGGGACGCACAAGGCGAATGCTCCGCCCTCATTGCCAATCGCTGAGCGCAGGATGAACGGCAGCGGCTGATAGTAAGGGTCGGCAATGACGTCCGCAAGCGCAGGAATGACAAACATGAGCGGTACCAGAAAGATGATACCGCAGAGCCAGTTCAAAGCGAGAGCTCCAACCATAGCCTTGGGCACCTGCGTAGCTGGATCCCTGGTTTCCTCACACATGGACAAGATCATTCCAGTGGCAGAAGTTGCGTATGCGGCGTGAAGCAGTCCGATCAAGAACGACCATCCGTCAACCCATCCGGTGCTGGCGGTGAAGTTGCCGAACGCGAATCCTGCACTGTTGCGACCATTCTTTGCGATCGCAAGGACACAGATCAGGATCGCAAAGACACCAGCAAAGGTAAAGTAGATGGTAATAGTCTGCCAAAGGTCAGTAAGCGTTGGTAGCAAGGATCATAGAATTTCAGCGTACGTCTAGCATAGGGAGGATGCGATTGCCGAGAGAGCATATCAGGTTGCACACAAGCGTGATAGCCAAGAAGACCAGATAGTACTGATAGGTGTCAGGCGCCCAAACGCCGACGCCCTCGTCGTCCTGGAAGATGTTGACACACCCGATGAAGAAAAGTGTTGTGCCGAAGTTGACTGACAGTGTGATGATGATGTTACCGAGAGCGTAAGCCCAGCCACAAATCCAGGCCGTGATTCTACGAAATCTGGGTGGTGACAACATGAAAGTCTGATAGTATACACCACCAGACGTCGGGTACACAGAGGTGATCTCTCCCAGTGAGATAGCGAGGCACGCGATGATCAGACACACACCGCACCAGCCCCAGATCACTGCCACCGGACCACCACCAGCAATCGGGTAGAGCAAAGTTGTGGCAAGACCATAAGGTACCGAAGCTAGGACGAAAGACATGAAGGCGACCTGGAATGTCGATCGCGAGCGAACGAGCTCAGATTGGTATCCCAAAACATTGAGAAGCTCGTCGGCATTTGCTGCCTCGGCGCCATTGGCAAGACTGTGGCGGTGGCCCTTCTCGACGGACTTGCGGTTGTATGTGCGGTCTCCGTCGAGCATGCCGTTCCCAGGATTTTCTGGGGACGCATAGTCGAAGCCCGCAGGTCTCTGACGTGCCATTATGGTTCTTGTACGTGAGCTGATAGCACTGGCGTTTGAGTCGCGTTGGGATCTTTGGGAGTTGTTGCTTGCTGGGCACTATGTCGCACTGGGAAAGACGCCGTCACACGCAACAGAATCGGATTCGGTCGACGGTATACACGTCGAGAGCAAAGAGGCCTGCTAAGAGAGTGACGCGCAGGAAGAGAAGCGTGAGGAAAAGATGACGAGACTGGGCGATTTTGAGCTGTAAGTAGATAGCGGCCATTGGCGGCTGCCAGTGGGTTGCTGCTCAGGTAACTTTTCGTTCCGCTGGGGAGCTCGTGTATCGACCCCACCTCACTGTCGCTTAGAGCCTTGGCATCCGGTGGATTCGTGAAAAGCTCGACAGAAGATAGGTCGCCCGTCGGTACTGCTATCCTAAGGAGTGTAAGCCCGGATAAGTGCTGTCACCTTGTCCTCCACCTCCTAGCACCATTCACGTGGGAATGCGAACGATTAGCTTGGAGGGGGAATGCTTAGGCTGTGAATCCCATGATAGGCATGATAAGTCGTCCCAAACTACCTACCAGGACACTTCAAATTATTCAGGGCTTGCAGAGACCGTAAGCGCGGCTGCTCCTACTGCGTTACTAACGTTCGTCATAGCGTCCTCGTCGAGCAGGCACTATCGCAGTGGATAGAAACCGATGATCGCAAGTTTGCATCTGCGAGGCAATCCCGAGGTATGATGACAGGCAAGGCCCATGTAGAATCGATGTCCGCTGTAGAGAGTTCACAGGGCGAAAAATCTCTTGTTGCAGCAAAACTTTGCAGGACTCGTGCCCACGACCAGCCGAAATAGGGTTCTCATCGTGTGAGAACAATCTCAGCTCGTGGAAAAGATGCCTGGTCGGTGGTGTAGCTCGTGGCTCATGCTCGATTCGTGGGGGCTTATTCGTTAGGTAACCTCAGGCCCCGGCTGGGCATAAAGTATAGGCGCGTAGGTAAGCATGATTGCTGTGTACGATGAGCGTCGCTCAGAGCTCACCATATAACGCAAGCTGCACGACTGCAAGAAGAACAACTGCCATGAAAGAAATCTGCTTTGCAGGAGATGCGAGTACTTCAAATAGTCTTTAGCACAGGCTATGGCACCAGATGAGCAATGCGACGCGTGTCGTCTTCGGATCCGAATCTCATGGCGGGGCGGACTGCCAAGCCTAGGACCAGATTCGGCGCGTGAACGCGTGCTTGGGTTGCTAATGACGATCACATCCACGTTAACAAGACCATGTCTCGTCATCTCAAAAACCAATAGCAGCAGTGAGTGCGTGTTTGTCTCGGCCAATGGCTCCGAAGAATGAATGGCATGGACGACAACGAAGACGAGCACAACTTTTCCGACGATGATGATTTCGGGAATCTCGAAGATGACGCCTTGCAAAAGCTCGAGCACAATGCGATTCTTTCTACACAGAGAGCAGCCGCATCGCAGCGGCCTGCTTCCCTCAAGACGGTGCCTCTGCCTCAGAGCCGCAACTTTGCGAACGTTCAACCACATCTGCAGCATGCCATCATAGATCCTTTCGACCATGATGATGACTTCGAGCTTGTTGAGCCAGATCAGGTGCCCACGCCCGTCGAATATATCGAGCGGCCTACATACAATCACAGTCGGCCACCTGGCGAGACCACGCAGAGGGAACAGGCAAGGCTGCAAAAATATGGCAACTCTACTTCATACTCCCGCAATTATGGTCCACCACCACAGCAGCGAGGGTACCAGCGCAATGCGCCTCAGCAGACCACGACAACGAACATGTACAATGCGAGCCGCACCACGTCGGCCACCTATAGTGCTGCGAACGATGTGAGCCGCACAATGTCGACCACGTTTGTTGCTGCGAACGATATGGGTCCAGTCCAAGCTGATCTGGCAAGCTCAAAAATAGAAGAGCTCATGAAAGAGCGTGATGCACTGATGGCCCAGCTGCAAGAGGCCAAGGATCAGGTCATGACAAAGGTTGGAGAGATCTCGATCATCAGGGAGAACAAAGACAAGGAGACGAAAGTGTATGATCGACAGTTGGCAGCAATGAAGAAATCCATGCAAGAAGAGTCCGCTCGGCAAAGGACTGCTATTGAGTCCTTGACGTCGAAGCACAACTCACTCATCACCGAATATAACATGACAAAGGACGACCTGAAAGAAGAAACTCGCCGAATCAAGACTCTGGAGAGTCGACTGAAGGACAAGTCTGCCAACAAGCAGGATGGAGCTGTGCTCACGCCGAAGAAGCAAAGGCCTGCAAATTCCTTGCGAGACGGCTTCGATGACGACGAGGTAATGGTCATGTCTCCTTCGAAGTCCGCGCCTCGCCGTTCGAAGCCTAATACTCCTACTGTGCCGGGCAAGAAGAAACGCAAGGTAGATGCCAGTCCGGTGAAACCACTCGTTCTATGGCAGCCAGATGATACGCCACAGCATCACGGACAAGACTTCCCGCAGATTGTCTCGGGCTACACCGTACCAATCATTCAGAAGGACAAGCAGACCGCACGAGATTTAAAGTTGATTCAGAAAGTCATCAACTACCAGCCCAGGTCTAAATCGGGGAAATTGATTGAGGTACTGATCGCCTTTAAACTACCCAGCCGTCCGAATCAGTCGTTCTCAAGCATCGTCCTTGACGCCGTCGCTCGCCTGCATGGTCCTGGACTGGCAACGGATCTGCTACAGATCTTCATCGACTTGTGGGCTCAATCGATAGCCGAGAAATACTACGATTGTGTAGGCCTACTCATAGAGGTGGTGGACTACATTGCCGACCTACGTGCATCGGTGGTCGGCAAGAGTGTCATCGCAAGCCTTCTTCCGGTCTTGCAGGACTCTGCATCTATCAACGGTTCTGCTCGCTTCAAGCATTCGCCTGTGTATCGTGCGAACTTTGGGCAGTTCAGACAGACTCCGGCCTCTGCCTTGAATCCTCTTGTGGACACCACAGTATGTCTCGAACTGCTATACAAGGTCGCAGGGCTATGTCTGGACTCAGAAGAGTTGATTGACCACTTCTGGCGATTGATGTCAACCGAGTTTGTGTTGATGATGCTCAACATCTGGCAGCCGATACCTGACATTACGTTGATGCTTCACTTGCTTGCCACGTCTATCTTTCATACAACGTTCGGAAACATCTGCTCAGACACCTCAACGCAAAGTACTATGGAAAACCATATTGTCGCACGAGTCTCATCCCTGTTGTGGGAAACGCCAAAGGTCGACGAAGGACTTCCTAGCCCATCAAGGTCAGATCTTTGTCGTTTCCGGCTTGAAGCATTAGCTCTACTGTCCAGTCTGGCCTGTGAGCCAGCGCTTCTTACAGAAGACGGTCAGCATCACCACGGATCGATTCTTCTGGCATCCCATCCATCCGCCATCGCTCGACTTGTTCGAGTTCTGTATGATTCTGTCGCGGGTTTATACTTGATGACACCCTCGTCTCCGCTCTATGCTCAAATCATCAACCACGGAGTGCAACTGTTGTACCACATAATGACGCAGCATGGCGAGGAGATCGATCTCCAACAGAAGCTGGCAGCAGTCAATGGAGGTGTGCACAAGCATCGGGTTGTATTGACGAGACTGGCATTTAGCGAAGGTTGGTTCATAGACTCTGATGTGACTGATGAGACATGTGCGATGGCAACTGCGATGCTGGAGGACAGTGTCACTCCAGACGAGGCCGAGATGATGATTCAAGCGTTTCCAGGCTTCAATGGGCGGAGGAGAGAAAGGGTGACACAGCAGCAGTCTGGTAATGATGACAGCATGGTAGGGGTCGAGTGAAGCGGTCTCTGCAAGACTTTATGCAACAGCGGATGTGACATAATGATAACAACGATGGCACGATAGATGAAGCTCTGACCAGCTCGTGGCACCAGGTGGTGAAGGCTGCCTTACGATCACGCAAATAGCAGGATTTCTGCTGTCATCCGGCCAGCCTCGCGGCTACAGCCTGGCGACGTCATTTGATGTTTTGCAATCGTGAATGTTTCGTTGCGAAGAACATTTCGTCCGTCTACACAAGCCTTCCTTCAGCCGTTGAGGCCATGAGCGTGCCGCTGTCGCGTTCACACAAGACGTTATTCAAAGATCCCCGCTAAGCACTTCTTCTCGTCAACCACCGGCGCGTCTGACCGACCCGTTCGCCATTCACTTCAAACAGCGACCATGTCCGAGCCCATTCCTGAATCGATACCCACCTCGCACGACCGCATCTCCTCGCGCCCAGCGAAAAAGCTACGCCAACTCCCACCGTCCGCCACAGCAAGGGAAAATGCAGCACACACCATCTCACACCTCATGCTCGACCCCGACATCCCAGTGGCTCTGCCTCAGCCTCGGTCGCCAAAACACACACCTCTATGGCGCCTCCACCAGAGATCGTGACGAACGTGCAAGGCAGTAGTGCGGGTGCGGGCTCAGGCGAGTTTCATGTGTACAAAGCGAGTCGGAGGCGGGAGTATGAGCGATTGCGATTAATGGATGAGGAGGCGAAGCGGGAGGAGGACGATGCGGACTGGGCGGCTAAGGAGAGGGAGAGGAAGGAGAGGGATGAGGAGCAGACGAGGCGGAATCGGGAGCGGAGGAATAAGAAGAAGAATAACCGGAAGCAGCAGAAGAATGGGAAGGGTGGTGGAGGTGATGACGGGATGGAGGAGGAGGTGAGGGAGAAGCAGCCGTCGAAGTTGCGGGAGGTGCAGAGGTTGGCGGATGAGGATGAGGGGGCAAATGGAGAGCACGAGGTGGGAGGGGCGGTGCAGCAGGAGAACGGCATTACGATTCATGACGACGACTGATTAAGCTGTCACAGAAGCTGACACCGACAACTTATACTTACGGGTGCGCTTTGAGGGGAGGGCCTTCGCATCGAACACGAAATCTTGAGCCACTCCGTCATGGCCCTCGATGCTTCGTCAGCTCCGGCATCATCGAGGCGCATCAGGTACGAAGTCCTGATCATGTGGAACGAGAAGCACCACTCATGTTGCGACGATAACCTACATGAATATCACACGCCACTCACGGAGCCGAGTGTCAACCCGGCTATACGCCATTTATATGTGTGGTGGCAGCAGTATGGTGTTGGGAATGCTGCTTTCGATTCACTCGCCAGCATGGCCACGAAATGCAGAGACTTGCCGGCTGACACAACAACCGCGAAGGTGCGTTGATGAAGGAAGAGGAGCGCGAGGACGTGACTGCTCGGCAGAGTCAACGGCATGATGAAATGGGAATGTAGGTTAGGCAGCACTGACCGCACCTGTCGCTGCTGCATCTCCTTAATTCCTAGCTCTAGTGAACTAGCAGTCACTACGCAAAGGTGTAGCAGCGGCGAGCTGTACAGACTGGGTACTTAAGTAGCAAGAACTATTCTCCAAGCCAAACGACGAACCGTGGAAGTTACGACTGAGCTGGGGTCAAGCCGGTAGACACGCCTTTCGCTGCCATTATAATTACATCACACTGACTTCATCTATTCGGTCGGTCCCTGTGTATCAACCGAGACTCGCGAAGAGCATCATGCCCGAGACGTCTGATCCTACGCAGAATCCTCCCTGTGTTTCGGAACAAGGCTTCGTCGCCCTTAGTGCCATCTATCCATCGCCAAACATGTACTGTTTCATCGTCTTCGAAATGTCCAGCCTCGTGTCCCCTGATTCGTCAACCTGCTACGAACGACCCCTGCTCCTTCACGATTCTCGTCGTCTCCCATAGCTGTAGCAATTGTTCATACAGCTCCTAGCAGCAGACTGTTACCATCGCCATAGCTACAATCGCACGGGTGACCTGTCTTCCAGAGACAACGCGCGGACACAACAAGCTGGGACAAGGACCATACCCCTACTGCATACCTAAGCTAGCAATCAACAGCGCTTCTGCCTCCTTTGCGGACGGAACAACTACCGACTTGAGTGCACAATCAGCAATTGGCAACACCCCACGACTATGGACTCCGACGACGAGCCACCAGTCTACGCCTCTCCTGTCGCCCGCAAGATCACGACCTCGGTGCCCACCAGCTCAACCCAATCCCCATCGAAACCATGGCACGCCCACGTCAACCTCGACCTCGTTCTGTACATCCTCTCGCGCTCAGTCTTCCACCCAGCTATCACACTGATCTTCTACCTATGCCTCGCCGCCCTGCACAAGCACAAGGAGCCTATCTCCTTCTACGTGCTGTACTGGTCGGCGTTTCTGTGCTCGCTAGAGATCTTGTTCTACCTGAATCGGAGGATCAGTCTCGGACCGCCGAGGGACGTCGATTGGGAGAGTGAGGTGGTCGTGATTACGGGCGGGGGTAGTGGGCTGGGTAGGAGGTTGATGGAGGCGTTCGTGATGAGGGGTGTCAAGGTGGGAGTGCTGGATATCAAGGGGATTGATGCGAGGCGGAGGAGTTGAGAGACGGTGCAACTGGGGAGCTGGTCTGGCAGACATGTGACGTGGGCGTACTAGGTGAAGTTGAAGGGGCTGTAGAAACGATTGTGAAGGAGGTATGTACCCTCACGACTCAGAGCAATACGTAAGAACTAACGATGCACAGCTCGGCCCACCCACAATCCTGATCAACAACGCAGCAGCACGCATCAACGCCCTTCCTCTCCTTCCAACAACCAACTCATCCCCAACCCCATCATCAGACGAGAAGCAACCACTACCAAGCCAGACTCTCCACCCAACCCTAGCCACCACAACCCTTCACACCAACACCCTCGCCCACTTCAACACCCTACACACCACCCTCCCGCACCTTCTCTCCTCCACCACCGGCACCACATCATCACCATCTCCTCCATCCTCCGACACCTCTCCCCGTCCCATCTCTCCGACTATGTCGCGTCTAAAGCCGCCGTCTCCGCCCTCCACACCTCCCTGACCCACGAGATCCTCTCCCATCCCGACCCCTGGGTCCGACGGAACATCAAGACCTTGCTGGTAGAGGTAGGCGAGATGGACACGGATCTCTTCAGTCCGGTGACGAGGCTGCCCTGGTGGGTGAGATGGCTGGGGCCGCGGGTCGGGACGGGGAGAGGTGTCGGAGGATGGAGGAGATGGTGATGATGTGGTGCGGTGGTGGAGGAGAGAAGGTGCGGGAGGGTGGTGGTGTAGGGTGTTGAA